AGCTGCGTCACCCCGCTGTAGTCCGTAATGGACTGGCCCGAGGTCTCGCTGCAAACAAGCGGCTGATGGAAGAGAGAAGGTGAGTTTTGTTTATTCACTTTGCTAAAAAGATATTTGGTGGCTAGTGCTATGGCTGAGACCCGATATGTCCTGTTGATGAAGTTAGCTGCTGTTCTGAGCATTATTTGTGGCTATAGAGTGGCGTTTTGGTCGAGGTTGTTTATGGCTCCTCAGACAGCTGTGTATTGCTATCTTGCGGTCGTTACTAAAGTTGGTATAACTGGAGAAGTAAGCGGTCGGCAACATTCATCTCTCAAGGGGGTGTTGAATTCAGTGTTGCGGTGTGTTTGACCCTAAATTAATTTTACGCCGGAATATCCCTTTAACCGGTACTGGTGCATGAATACCAAACTGAAAGCAGAGACCCTAAGACTGCATAAATGGACTGGGTTTCTGTTTCTGTTCTGGCCGATAGATGAGCTGTTTTCTTCATCCTTCTGGACTTCCTCTTCATCACTGCCACAAACAGACTTTATGACTTGAGGTCCAGGAGCCAGATCACTTCTGTGCATGTCTTGACCCGTGATAAGTTTGGCTCGGTTGGTGCAGCAGGCGTCCCATGTACAGAGGCGGCAGTTCTCCTCACACCAGCTGTTGGATTGGTTTCAGTGTGATTTGGTGCATGTCTCCTCTCTTCCCTTCTTCTCCACGTTTCAAACATGTTAAATCCTGAATATGGTCAAATATACATATTATGCCTGATATACAGTCTTTTTTGTGTTTGCTCTAAATACATCAGCAGTCATAAATCAAAGTCACGACAAACTCTGGTGGGAGAAACCTTTGAGCCCATAAATAGAGAAACAAACAGCCTTTCAGAGATAAGCTGCTTTTCAGTAAATCCTAATGAAAACGAAGCCGTAGGGAGGAAAAAAAATCTGAGTGAGATTAGAAGACAGTACATGGCGTCCCACATCACTGTGCTGACAGGTTTCAGTGATAAGATAGAGAAGTTAAACTATAAACTACATTTATTTGTCAGAATTACTATGTTTTGTTTTAAACGTGGATAATTAAAAGACTTAAAAACAAGATTTTTTTGTGATTTAAAAGAGAAGGGTTTGACGCAGCAGCAGCAGCACATCAGGCAGATGCTCCTGATCATGCAGCACAGAGGGGGTTTGGGTCTCTTGGCATTTTGTTCTCTACAGTCTTCATGTCACAACAACAGCTCCCCGGGCAAAGGCCACCCAACAACAGTAAACCCCAATTCAGTGCATGCTTCATCTGGGCACATGTACGACAACGCCTCCTCAGCATGACTCCCCACAAGACACTCAGATGTGACCTGATGTCCTCTGTGCACTAAAACGTGATCTGCCTCTGCTTGTAACCTACTCCAACTCCACCGAAATCATGTCATATACATCCGAAATACCGATAAAGGCGAAGCTACAAGGATGTAGTTTTGCATCGCCTGAACTCTGAGACATAAGACTGTTTTAAACCATCTCTGCAAATCAAAAATCAATTATTTTGACCCACTTGTGCAGTGATTACAGGGGTGTAACTAGACCTTTTTTGACTGGGGTGGCCCAACTGGGGCTCCAAGTCTTGCAGGGACGGCATGAAGTATGTCTGCACACACATTAATAATTGCGTCTAATTTAACCATTTGAACGCCGAGGCATAATGAGTGTAGCCCTTTAGCATTGCATTATCATTAATATGTTGCAGTTTATTTCTATATTAATAATACGAATTTAAAAAGTGACACAAAATGTAGCACAATAGAAATGATTGTGAAACACAATATTGCCTTTTGTATCATGTTTAATACATACTTTTATAAAACTTCTACCAATCAATATGACCAACAAATTACTGAGAAAACACCTTTACACAGTCTGATAAATGATAAAAATGTCCTCTTATGGCTTATCAGTTTCCAAAAACATCTGATGTATTAAACGAGATAAATAAATAAATTTGTAAAATTTTAAAGACTTTTTTTTTTTCAGTAGTAAGTGAAATAAACATTTCAGCTCCAAAAAAATTGAATTTTCTGACCATAATTTGTGGTTTCTGGTATTATAGAGTTAACTCAATTTTTACAGATTACAAAAGGAGATTTTAGACTAAAGTACATTTGAAATACTTGAAAAACTGCAAATAATTGTTAAAATCAAGTTTCCTGTCGAAGAAAACCAGAATATTTAACATTAGTGCCAGCCTATGAAACAAATCTGCACTGACACTAAATATTAGGAGTACAATAAACTTCGAGAAATATAGTTTATACGACTTTTCTACATATATGACAAGAAAAATCAGCAAAACCACAGAGATTATTGTAATTTAATGTCTTTATTGAAGATTCAGCAGCAGTAAAACATTAAATTTGCTCGTTCGAACAATCGTCCTCATGGAAAAGTGTTCATACAGTACTAATTGACAGAGAGTCAAGCTTTATCATCAGCTGTACAGTCCATAGAAAGTGCCGGTACGCTTCAAAAACAACAATTCGACTAAAACAGCATGTCAGGATTGAGGTCAAATGAACATGAAACAGAAACAACAAACTCCTCTGCGGCTGCACAGATTTATCAGACTCACACGGGTTTTAATGGAGCAGTTTTACACTCAGTGATTGGAAAATGAAAAGGACAGTCCTGTGGGATCCAGCACACTTCTTTCTTTCTTTTCTTCGCACCTGCAGCTCCAAATACCATCCATTCCTGACTAATCGTTTCTTTACAAAAGCCTCATTAACCTTCACAAACATCTCAAAAACACGCCCTACTCTCTTTCCTTCAGTCCTGTCTTCCTCTGTGAGAATTTATTAGGTGTTTAATATCAAATACAGAGTTGCAGGATCCTCTCCTGACCCTCCTCATCCATGTTTCCCTCCAATCCTTCTATCTCCATCTTTTTGTCTTCGTGGCTCACAACGAGGCCGATTCTGGTGACGCACCACCGCTCAGCCAATGGGCGCCCTTCATCATGGATGTAGCATCACCAAGACAATGAAGTGTTTTTTTTTTTATTGTCCAGTGATGAATAAGGGGGATGGGACCGGGACGGCGAGGGGGAGGAGCTAGCAGCGAGGGCAGAGGGGGCACGTGGCGCCCAACGAGGCCTCAGTCTGTCACAGGGTATCACATCAGAACGCGAGCAGGCATGCGCACTTTCTAACCTTCCCCGCCCTGCTGGAGGAAGGGGAAGGGAGAGCGTGCGGGAAAACAGACACTCATCTGCCTTAAACCTGTCTTTGTGGCGGAGGGAGGATGGGGATCAGGAGGAAATCCACCTCATCTGGCTCACGAGAAGATCTCTCACACTTAAATGAAACTTTGAGACTTTCAATCTGTGCCAACGCGATATAAACTGAAGACAATAGCCGCCTCGTTATGAATGGGGCCGCCTGACTTGACCTGAACTAATAAGTGAACCGCATGAAATGAGTCCTGATTTGCTCCAGGGTGTTATCTCCCTGTTTTAGAGCCTCATCAACCTTCATTTCTCCTCATTTCACACTCCTTCCATCTTTGCGTCGTCTTCAAATCAGGTAGTTTCAGTCAAATCAAACAACATCCGAACATCAAATTTGATTTTTAGCATCTATCTGGAGCTCAAAGACTTCATTATGTTCTCTTCTCATGCTTGTCGCCATCAGCAGTCGGCAGTCGCCCCCAAAAAAGCTCTCCTCGCAACTCTCAATCAAAGCCGCAGCTACAGCACCACATTTTTGCAAATTCACTGTTGGGCATTCGTGTGGAGCGTGCACGCCATCAGCCTTCTCGCTTACATAAGAGAAAAAGCGTGTGCATCAGCCTGACCACTTCCCCTTTGCGCGCACGACAAAACAGATTCTGGAAATACTGAATAAGCTCTGCAGCCTTCAGAGCAAACTAGAGTTCTCATGTGTCTAAAATTAAAGTTAGCTTTCAATATTTCGTACAATATCACTTAACATCCATTGATCTCTTGTTCAAAATATTCACAGCTTTATTAAATCATTACAAAATAAAGAAATACATTCATTTTATCATAAAAACAAAACAGACTCTTGAAATTTCCTTTGATTAAAAGTCTGCACACCCATGCATTAATCTGTTACAGGTACATGTTTGCATGTAGACGCTGCAGGAAGAGTTCGTATTACGGTAGTCACACATCTTATTAACAGGACTTCATGGATTTCTCATGTTAAAACAGTGAAATCACAGAAAATAATAACACCATAATAAAAAAAAGAAAAGGTAGTGAGTAGTTTTAAGTCCCTTTGCTGATCTGTTGTAGCTTTTAAAACAAGTATTCTCTGAGACTCTGACAGAAATGTTTCACACGTGTACTCTGTAAATGGACAGATTTGTGGTTACAGCTCTCTGCGAGGTTTTCTCATGGAAGAAAAAAAAACAAAAAAGAAAACCTAAAACAGGATGAGCTCACTTTTTAACCCCCCTTTGACCCTGCGTGTGTCTGCCATGACTTTGTTACAAGGTACATCTCAACTACAGTCAGCCATCCTTTAACAGGCGTCACTGTTCTGTGTTTTTTTTTTAACCCTTTCTGGACCGTCTTAGGCTAAATTCACAGTTTTTTCAGAGTTTTTACCCTTTTTTTTAAGCTCAGAACAGGACTGGTGGCATGAAGCAGGCATGTGCCTTTGTAACAACTAATGGTCAGACTCAGCAGGCTGTCAGCTGGTTTCAATCACCCACCCGAACCAGTCCTCAAAACCAGTCTTCTCCATGACCCCAAGTGAGCGGACCCCCATAAACCCCCTCAAGGTCCCCGACAACAAAAAGAAGAGAAAACACGTTGCAGCGGCCCTGAAATCTCTGCGTGTGTCGACTGAGGAATCCCAGAAATTCAGTGTCCGAGTGTGACTATGACTGTGAGGTGAGAAAAGTGCGGCTCCGTCCCGGCTCCACCTCCTTCCCTTCTCATCATCGGCTCGTCCGTCATCTCCGCGATCAGAGCAGTCAAGCATTGGTTCAGGGCGCCGGCTGGGCCGCGTGGACCTTCTCCGTCATCTGTTTGGCACTGTAGTAGGACAGGCTCAGGCCCATGATGGCCAGCATCATGGCGATCTGGTTGACGGCGCGGTCCTGCGGCTGCGTCTGCACCTCGCCGGCCACTTGCCTCTGCAGGGACACAGAACAAACGGGGCAAAGGTCAGAGGTCAGCAAACAGTGGAAACAATGAGAAGAATGTCTCGTCGACAAAGAGGCTGAAGCCTGATTGGACGAGCAGGGAGGAAGCAAACAAACATTCAGCAAATACTGTATTTTGTCTTCTTCCTTAAAACACCAGCCGCCACCAACAGCTGCAGAGCCGTGAACCATGTGACCAAACCTTTGGTGGAGACGGTCATTAAACATTTACAGGAGGGGGAGACTTTCACAGAAGGGGACACTGTGTTTTCTGCACAGAGCAGTCTATACGACGCACCAGGAGTCAAATAACATGCACAGTATAGAATGACTGCAGCTTTGTGTCTGTATGTGCGGCTCTTCCTTACATACTTTAACCCCTGTGGTGCTGCTGCAGGAGCGCTGAGACAAGACTGAGAGTGTTTCAAACATTAAAGCGTCTAAAAAAAAGCCGCTAACTTTCGCCCCACTTCATTTAGAGAAAAGACTTGTTTTTCTTCATGCTAAGAAAGTAAAAACACCCGTCAGAGTTGAACAGCAAAACTAAAAAGGTCCTTCCACACCGGGAGCGTTTTTTCCGTGCGATTATTTCAGACGTCAATATTTTTTTCGAACCCGTATCCCGTCAATACAAGCGTTCACATCAGCGACGTTTCCCGTCCTGCGATATTGCAGCATTTATTTTTCGTATCACAGTCGAATTTTCTGCATACTGATGATCAGATTTCGTGTTGTTGCGACGTCTGATTCACCGGTTTATCCAACATGGCCGACCGGCTGATTGTTTACGTGTCGGAGAACAGAGTGATTTTTGATTAAAAACACAAATATTACAAAGATAACGATCTGAAGGACAACTTGTAGAGAGTCATAACGTCGGATTTCTCATATGACGTTAACAGTTTGTTAAACGTCTTTGTTTTAACTTTCATCTGTGCTAAGTAACTTTAGCTCGTAAGCTAACCTGTTCAGATACAACATACCATATGTATTTTCACTGTCTCAAACTCAATCACAGCGTTGCTGTCACAGCACCATTAGGTCTCAGTTGTTACCTTACGTTTATGGATTATAGTTTAATGTTCTTATCTGGTACTGGCCCCGACTCAGTACATGCTATCATGACAGACAGACATCTCAACACTAGTGTCAAATCGGAACTAAAAAACAGTCAGTCTGCTGTTGTGTCAGTCTTCTCGCGTCTTTTTTCCCCCCCAGAAAGTCGATTTGTATAGTCAGGCGCGTCAAAATTCGCCTCCGAATAGTTCGTAATTTCGCGTCATATAAGGACCTTAAGTTTTACCCTGAGGTTTTAAAAAAGCAAAAACTTTAAATCACTTTTAGCCCGTTTTGGTCTTGAAATGCGTCCATAACCACTAATTACCAAAGACGTTTTTTCACTCCTGCTCCTGATTGTTGAATCTTACATAACAGGCTGCCTTTTTTCCCCGGTCTGCTGAGCTTTTGAGTCAGTGGACAGCCATATGAGGGGACAGTCTTTGTTCACATATTTACACTAATTTGGACACAAAGACTGTGTACAATGCAGCAGTCTGGACGTATGGAGGGCCACCGCTCATGACTGGATTATGATGACAGCAGGGGGGGAACTGAGGAGGAAGTTATTCTAAAGCGATTAGTGTCCCCCCTAATTATGAAGGTGATGAAAGTGGATTGTGTACCACCAAACAGCACCAAGGCCTTTGTTTTGAAGTGGCTCAGATTAGTGTCAGTTTTAATGTATATGGACACTAACATGTAAAGTACAAAGGCCTGGCAGTAACTTTTTAATCACTGTACAACTCCAACAGATGGTTCTGTGGAGACTCAAGATCTTATCCTTGTTATTCATTGTCAATTTTGGACAAATTAAATTGATTTATGTATCTGTAGTTCTTGTCTAGAAGTTGTATTTTTAAGTCAATCGAAGCTGCACATACCTGCAGGAGGCGAAAGTATCCAGGAGTCAGTCTGCCCAGTCTGATGATCATGTCTGCTGGTGTGGTCTGAGGTGATGGGAAGAGCTGGGGCGGCTCTCAAGACCTGCAACGACAAAATAGAGTATTCACTTAGTAACTCTGCAGCAAGTCTGCACAAAAAGACCAATAATTAAGTTATCAACATAGAAAAAAACTGCTTAAAAACTCAAATATCCACGGGGGTTTCTTAGGAAATGTTTTTAGTACATGTTGTATTTTGTTGTAGCCAAAAATTAAAGATGAAGGAACTGATAAAATCGACCTTACGTCAAACTGTAATGAGTTTAGAAAAGTACAGTCTCAAACGAAGGAAGAGAACATGGCCACAGGCGTGCACACAAACTAAAACCATCTGATTATTACATGAGGGAGGAACGTCTCTCGCCTGAAGCCGTGACTTGGAGCGGCCAAGAATGAACCCCATGCAGAGAAACCACAAACGTTCAACCGATTTCATTTCACATCTGGATTCTGGACTCTAGGAATGCCCGTAAACCTTCGACTCTTTATTAAACCGTTGTGTTTCAGCCTGAACAAACAGAGCTTCTATTCATGCTGCGCCATAACACGGGCGCTGCGATAAAGGGGAACAATTTCATTGAGTCGCACATGGTCAGCCGCATGTGTCACTGACGTAGAAATTAAGATTTTGCACGAATTTTGGAGATTTATACTAGATGAAGAACTTCGAAGATGAACATTTTCACGGGCTGATGTCATCTCAGACGGGACTTAAAGTGAAGCTTTGCATTTTCAAACTTTGCACACTGGACTGATTTTACAGGAGAAAGCAGAACTTCCCAGGAAGAACAGATGAAGCAGAAGATGATTTGCATTTAAGGACGACTAAGCGACATGAAGGGCGGTGATGGGAGTCACTTTCCGCTTGGTTCGACCACAAACTTAAGTTCCAAAGACGGTAAGAAGGAGGATTTTCAAGCAGGTGAAGGTATGTGAAGCATTAAAATGCCAACCTGTTTGAAGTTACACCCCTTGAAAGAAGAAGAGAAACATGATCCGAGATTTTACGGCATCCCCCGCTGTGAAAAGTCAGTCTTACTGGAGAAAACCAACATCTTTCAATTCCTCACCTTCCAGAGGTCTCTGATGGCGAAGGAAGAGACTAAAACCGCCCAGTTGGGCCCCGGACTCTCCAACCACGCTGGAAATCCCGACAGATGCCAAACAGAGGGATGAACCTGAACTACTGAGAGCGCCTCAGTGTTGTGCTCCGCCTTTTTATACAACCCTGCTCTCACCCAACCAGATCTACGGGGCTCGCCTTCAACACACGCCCACTCTGAACACATTGCACACACCGCTGTCCACAGGCATTACTCTCAGCGGGACGCTTTCAAACACACCCGGCCCCGCCCCCCTTCAAAAACCAGAAAAACCATAGTAGAGCTCTCGGATGCCAATTGCTTTACTGGGAAAACTCAAGGTAAACATCAGAATAATACTAACAAAACAACATTCACATTCTCAAAGCTTCATGCTATTAAAGCTGTTTGTCATAGTTTGGTGTTACATAACCCGCCCTGATGCGTCCATTTGATCTCAAACTAAATGTCAGCGGGTGTCAATCAAGAGTTTGGCAAACCCCCCAAATAAGAGACACAGAAAACAGATCCTCTTTACGATCATTTCTCTCAGCTGTATAGTCATTTCTACATTTGCTTTGGTTGTTACATAATCTGTTTCCATCCCACTGAACAAATAGATGCAGCTTCTCTCAGTGGCTCTTTATGACTGAAATAAACCAACGTGAACATCATGCAATTCAAGCTTTTTGGAGTCTAAAATAACCCCCATATGTCCTAAAGTATTTACTGTTACCAAATAGGCAATGACTCCACCTCCAATGCATTATTCCTCCCTCTCTTCTCATTGTGCAATAGCCTCTTACTATTACAATATTCCCCATTATATGTATGCTCCACATCTCCCGTCTTTACTTTGCACTATTTTGTTTTATTCTTTATTTTTTGTAGCCTTCCTTTCCGCCCTATTCAAATTAAGTTGCACAAGGTGTGATGCAAGTGTTTGGGTTTCTTGTAAAAGGCTCATTTACATCTCATTTTCACTTATATCAGCAGCTTTGTGTTCATAGCTCTATAAATACACAGGTGGTAACTCTAGTGTCCTGTGCAGATAGAAATTTGATGGATGCTACATGCTGCCATCGCTGGAAGATGATTCTAATAACTGATATGGTGTTAGTATTTGTTATCATACTGATAAAAAGATGAGCTGAACGTCTATAATGGAAGTATATTTTTAAAAAGATATCACAACTCACATCTGGAAAAACAGGTCCTTAAATTTAGAGACTTGTGTGACAATCAAATACGCCACTGATGGTGCAAGTTAGTCAAATTCGAACTTATACAGTGGAAGCATTTCTGTTAGGCCAACCCAACCAATGGGACGTAGAGGGGGAAGTGTGTCATGATGGTTATAGTGTAGAAATGTACGAATGTTTCCATATATGAGTAAAGCATTAATGATTCCCAATGGTGGTGAAGTAGACTTGGGTCAAACCTGGACATTGAGTCTTTACATTGGTGCCCAATTCACGTCAACTACGGGTAATCCCAGGCGTTAAATTTCACCGTGAAACAGGATCACAATAATCCACATTATCTGCAAGTTAAGCTCATTTTGTTTGATTACGAGATCAAGTAAAAGCTTCGAGTTTGACTCCAAGTCTATTCAGTCTAAAAAAAGTTTTCAATGTTGTTTTATACTTAGAGATTTTAAAACAGGAGTTCTGCATCTCTGAAGGGAGTGGTTTCCTGACGCTCTTTTAGACAAATCGTTGTTCTTTCCAATGAACAATTAACAGACTAACAAAAGGCTCACGACAGGTTTTACGCTCATAGTGTGCCACTGGTTCAACCGTGAAAAGAACCAATGTGGGCACACGGCCAACCAGGTACAATAGGCTTCCACCTACCATTGTTTTTAATGCTCTAAATGCTGTTGTGTCATGTACATGTTTCTTCCCTTTGAGTCTCAAAGATCACTTTAAAGTGTGATCCAGAAACTAGTGCAGGACCAAATCTCATTTTTTAAATAGCTTCTCCTCTGTTAGGTTGCTCTTTAGTAAATAAGTTAACTGCGTCAGCACTAATGCTGGTTTGAATGTCCCGTCTGTGCTTGCAAACAAGAAGAGCCTATACATTACGTGTCAGCTTGGGTGTCGCTGGCAGGGAACTTGCAGTAGAAACATTTATCTCGTCTGTACATTGCTTCGAAAACAACCTCAACTCCAGACCCAAGACGCAAAAAAAGTACAAGTGTGAGACTTTACATACACCTCAGATTTTCACACCTGAAAACTTCCTCAAAGTTTCAGGGTAGACGTGTGTTACCACAAATAAAGACGCTGATTTTGTCCAGAAAGTTTTCCAAAATAAAAGTCAGGATGAGGCGAGATATGAACACGCAAGTTAAGTCTGGAAGATTCACATGATCAGTGGACTTTTTCTTGCTAGCGAAGGGCAGAATCACTTTTTACGACTATTGCATTCATCATCACTGCAGGGCTGAAAACAAACTGAGCTGCGCTGACTTGCAGACTGCCTGATTTTCATTTACTATCAGCTGTTTGCAGCACCGCATTCCTCATTAATCTTAGTCTCTGTGTGCAGGGCACTCAATAATCATGAGTCAACAGTCATGCAACATACAAACAAAACTCTTTCGAACAGCTGATTCAGTAGCCAAGACTGTTGGGAGTGGTTTCCAGCAAGCTTTGGCAGGGACTCAGGTGAATCACCTGAGAGATATTCAGGTTTATTTGAGGATTCACATGAAAGCAAAAGGGCGTTTTCACATCTGCGCATCACCTGTGGCGAAATTTCGAAACACCACCTGCAAACAGACGCCATGGGTAGAATTTGATCGCAAAACTGATCAAACGATTTTCAACCAAGCAAATCTGATCTTGATTGCAGGAGGATTATGGGCCAAAAGCAGAAACAAAATGCCTTTATGTCAGGACAGTATGACAAATAAGACACCAAAAATTGGAATCTACCACATGTTTTTGACAAATGTTATTTATAAAAACAAGGATGTATGAGAGCATTTCTGTCACATCTGCCCCTTAACTGTTAAACAGGGTACATCGTGTTCTCAGCATCATACAGCCAATGAAATAAGAGCACGGCTCCCCTTCCATCCCCCCTTAGTCCCGCCTTCCAATGTCACATTTTACTCCACGCTGCAGCCCAGACGCCTGCAGCCGGGGATCTCCTATGAGCCAGCGAGGACAACAGGCGAGAGAGAGAGAGAGACCGATTCATCAGGGTCAGAGGGCTGCAGCAGCAGAGCGATCAATGAGGTCGAAAAAAGAAAAGAAAATTCCTGCCAGGCAACCGCACCTCAGGGTGACATCATCAACAGAGACCTCTGTGCCTGTTGTAACATGTAGACGCTCTTATTCAGCGTCTGGACATCCTCTAGATTCATGGCAATGGCATGTACCAGTTGTTGCCATGGTTTCCCTCAGCTATGTGCAATCAAGCTTAAATAGTGTGATGCTATAACAGGCAGTTATCACAGTAGAATTTGATGTCTTTTTAATAGATGTGCTGCCACGTTTTAAGGCACCTTTAAGGGTTTTAAGTCAAACTGTTGTGTGTTCGCAGCAGATCCAGGCTTGAGCTGAACATTGGGGGAGGGGGACTGCTTTTCCTCAAGCTACTCTAGGCATGATTACAGGGGATGCCACAGTTCACCGGGTTCAAACAAATCCATGCTCTTCCCCCAACCAGTCTTGGGTGCTCACAGTGTCCATGAAACACAAGACATGACCTCCATTTTGGGGCCCCCCAGTTGTGCAGGAGCCAACATGGCTGCACTAAAGTAAAAAAGTTCAAGTCATACAAACAACCTTTTTGTTGAAAGAAGCTTTTTAATTCAGTAAAAAGGAGCCAGATAACAAGGTTGTATATAAGCATCAAGATTAAGAGTTTGCCCCCTACTGTTAGGAGCCCCTGCTAATCTGACACTTGGGTGTAAATCTAATGAAGGAGGGTAAAGTGACCCCAATGACTCTAATCACGCTTGTGATAAAGAGCGAAAGGTGCAAAAGCAAACAGCAGCAAAAAAGGTGGAAATTCTTGGTTTCCTTTGTCCTTTGTTCCTTTTTTCCAATTCAAGAGTCAAACAGCAAACGTCTCCATCAAGATAAGTTACAAAAAAAAAATCACAAATCTGATTTTAACAATTTTTTTCCACCATAATCCCAATAAGAAGCACCTTTGAGGAAACCCCTTTAAAGGGCTGCTTCCCAGTGTCTATACTGGCTGGGTACAAAATGTACAGAGGACATACCAGCGCTTGAGGACCCTACAGAAAAGGGAGATAAAGACTATCTGCGACTGAGTACAAAAAAAGCTTCAAAATCAGCAAATTTACCTTTTCCCCCACTATTGTGTCATGCAAAAAGCAACCAAACAACAGCTATTCCTCCAAACAAAACCAAACTTGGAATCTTCTCAATGAAAATCTCCACCAAAGAAAAATATCTGTAAAAATCCTGCATTAAAAAGTCTTCAAACAAAAGCTTTACAAACAAATCCACAGCCACGTTGCAGATAGTTATCAACAAACAGGAGGCAGCAGGTTTTTCATGGAGCATATCCATATTTTCTATCAGGACAACTTGTTCAAAAAGTTATTTCACTGAAAAATCTTCATATTTCTGGAATGACCACTCGGCAAACTTAAACGAATACATGAATTCAGTCTTTGTTGGTTATTTCTTTTGGAATTTTGTCAATTTTTTGTGTATTTTTGCGTTTAAAGTTTGTTTTCCCCTATAAATTTCCTTACAAAATACACGTTGGCCGACAGAAATTAAACAGTTGACTTAATGTGCACCAGAAACTGCTCTGTGCATCACTTTTTACTAGTTTTTTCCAAGAAAAAAAACAAAAATAATCAAATTAAAATGAGCTTCCGCTTCAAAACAAACCACACCAACAAACTGGAGACAATGGGAGAAATTTCCCAGCTGGAAAACCCGGTGAAAGTGTTAAAAAAAACAGCTGTAAACGCCTGTTTCTCACCGGTGATTCAATTATTTAGTTACTTTTAGTGTCAAAGTGAAAAAGTGAAAATCTTACCTGCAGCTGCTGGAGGTTTTGGACCTGGTTTTGGGGACGGCTGGGTTGAATAGTACAGGGCGTTCGCGATGTAAAGCATATATAGGAGGCCGGGACATGTAGTATGGAGGAGGGGGTGGGGCAGCCGGACTCCTGCAGCACACACAACGCATGTCGGTGTGCATGTGAACGTCATGGACCCCCACGTCTGTAAGGAATGGGCTCGTCCGCTCATTGTGCTCACATGTTCCGCATGCTGGCACGTTTTGTCTTCCTCTTTTGTGGTTTTCTTACTTTTTACTTTAACTATGAGTTTGATGCGAATACATGGTCCAAAGTACTCTGAAACCTTTACATGTGGTGTGTAGACTTTGGAGGTGTGAGTGGTAGACTTTAACAAGATAGTAATGCAGTGAAAAAGTTGGTCAAGAGTTGTTTTTTGTCTAAACTATTGGTGAAACAAACGGAAGTCACTTTAACTAGAGAAAAATCGCCCTTTGCATGAATAAATTGAGATTTAAAGTGAAGTTTGATCTGAGAAGCAGTGTTTTCCAGATTAAATAATCCCATTCTGAGTTATTTTATACATTTCAGGCTTAAACTCTTATAGTTTTGCAGAGGTTTGTCAAAGGACTTTATATCCCTGTTGGGCTGGAGACCATTTCATTTTATACCAACTTTGATATCGATGTAGATGAGCTTCTGACTGAAAAATCCAAATTTACGACTGGCATTATGACATTAACAGTTGAGCGACAGGGTCCACTCAGTACCTTGTCTTGCAAAATCACCAGAGTTTGACAGTTTCAACAGAATTAAGATGCTCTAATATTCATTATTCCCAAGAACAAGACTAATTGTTCTACTAGAAACAAAGTCATGAACAAAAACCATAGACTGTATATGGGGGAGAGTGGGGTAAAGAGAGACATTTTTTACATTTGCTCCCCTCTAAGTGAGCTAAAACGATATATGAGTAAAATTCACACATTTCCCAATAATTCAGGGTGTTTTCTAGGGATGGAAATGATCAGAATGTATTCAGGACGAAGGGCAGAGAAAATATGATTGTTTTTAAAAAAGTGGTCTTGTGACATGCAGGGTATCGTATTGTATTTAACAGGGCTCCCCTTGTTTGGTGGCAAACTCCTGTGCCTGGCTGTCAAAGCTGACAGATGGTACAAAGAGTTGATCTGAAACAGCATCTTAATAATCTCCTGACTATCCTAAAGGTGCTGTCTAACAAATTTTAGGTCAGTCTGGAGAATATTCTAAGCTCAAGTGGCTGCAAAACTGAGCATTTTTTTTGCCAAGTTCAGTTCTGATTCTTGGAACAATCAAATGGACATAGTTGTTTAAGTTCATGAACTAACACTGTCGTCCAGTTTTGCCAGGAGTAGATTGGGTATTTATTTAAAACAACGAACAGAGTGTCTGTAGAGATACGCCCTATCCTTTTGAGATTATAGTCGACAGATTCATAATGAGCTTAAAGACAAAGATGGTGCCCTCCATACTTATGCTACACATTATGTGGGGTAAACACAGCTGAAATAGGTGACCTGTTATGTCACTCTACATGTGGGGTAAAGGTCACAGCAGGGGGACCACCAAAAGACATTTCAACTATTAAGTGAGATTTAATTTTACGATATAAAGCTCAACTTCAAACGTTAAATGCCTTCCACTGTGAATTTGTTCTGCTTTTCTTACTGTCCTTGCAGCCTTCAACATATCCATGAATGTCCTTTTCTGTGTTTTGTCACAGCTGCCGTCCCGCATGCTCAGCCCCCGACATGGTATCACCTTTCTCCTGAGCTCGACTGCATGAGGAGGGAGGCAAAAGCTAAATGCCTTTAAGTGTCTTTTTGACTCTGTGGTATGTGTGTCGTTTCATTTATGCCCAAGGACGTGAACCTGCTGACCACACTGAAGCACATGAACCCGCTGATCCTAACTAGCGGGATTAACCAGAAAACTGACAAGCATGTCGTTCACATGTTAACCTCTTTAATTCTAATCACAAAAATCATTTTTTTTCCCTCTCTAAAACATATAAATTCATTAAATTGTTTAAATTTTATGGCTGTTAGATGATGTCTGTATGTGGGGACAGTAGCAGCCCTGATGAGAGTTTTATAGGAGTACAATAATCCAGAAAACTGTGTCTAGAAAATCTGTAACTGCATCTATGACTTTTCTCAAGTTTCTCATGCGTATCTCCTACTTTTTTTAATTAAAGGAGGTTTGTTAACTCCCGTGTCACCTTTGAATCTTTATAGAAATCGACATTAGACTCATCAGTCCTAGAAAAGACCTGTAAGAGCGGCAGTATCTTCAGTTATGTGATGAAACTCTCAGTCTTGTCAGGAAAAAAAAAAAACTCAAAACAAACCGCGTCACATTTGACCGACTTTCTCATCCTGTCCAAGTTTGAGGAGAGGGAGACCTCAGCTGGTGTTGTGATAAAACAACTGCCCCTGCTGTCTGCGCTGATCTGACACCGCTCTCTACTGGTGGCAGCGTGTAACGACACTGAGGGTTCTTCAAGAGCTGCTCTGTGAACTCATGTCCTCTCAAATGATAGATCACTGACACAACTTTATCCAAACGTTTAAGGATTTAGAATAAAAGCAGTTAAAAACACAAATTGGACGTTTTAATTGGCTGTGTTTTCACTATTTTAGGCCATCAGTCTGAACAAATCTGTGGCAACTTGTACAAACTTTTTCTGCAGAGCTCATACAACACATTTCTATTCCTCACAGGCTTTTAATGAGACCCAACATACAACCAGTAACTGTTTTAAATGTGACCGTACTGTGTCCTGTTGGTTGTTTTCTGTGGCAACGTCCTCGTTTGGCATTTCCAAATCATAACACTCAGCATTTTTGTTTCCGCTTTAACAAGTCTGAACACAAACTGTCTTGTAGTAATAAAATCCTCTTTACTACATTAGCATGTTTGTTTTCTAATATGGGGGCCAACAGTGAAGTCAACAGATGGTTTAGTGTCATATTATGTGGTTTACTTTATTATCACATGGTTTAAAGGAAAGTTGGTCCTTTTACAGGCCTTTTTTTTTCCTGAATCTTGCTTTCTAAGAAGCATTTTGATGATCATCAGTGTCCAAATCAGCCTTGAATTTTCATGAAAGCCTTTTCATTGAAAAATGATAAAAATGAAAAAAAATTTTTTTCTTTACTATGTCTGAGGAGGGAAAACACGGTAAATTGCTCCAAGTGACATGACAAAAGTGGAAAGTTAAATTCACTGAAGTACTCATGTTTTAGATATTTATAGTGGTTAAGTTTGCAGAGTCTAATGTTTGACTCGATCAGCTATTAAAGCAAGAATGAGTTTAATAAGCTTCACTTTCTCAGACTGCCCGGTTCTTGCTCCTAAGTATGTAAATAACTTTTTCCTAAGGGTCATCTCATGTTCGTGTTTTTGTTTTTCCACAATCTGTTTTCTAAGTTAATCAGTTAATCTTTGTGCACTTCCAAGCATTCAGATCAGAAACAAGATATAAAAATGATGTTCTAAAGTATCTGAAGAAAAAGCCACATTATGTTGCTGCTGTGGGAGAGTCTAGCATTGGTTAAAGAGTGACACACTCTGTTCATTCAGATCACGTTACATTAATAAATAAGAGGATATTAGCATGTTCATGTGTATGATTACATCTGCATTGTATTTAATATAACCTTAAGCAATGTTACTTTATTATTTGCTTGAGGTTTCATAAATATAAAAACAGACGGAAACTACTCAGACATTTACAAAATTTTATTTAAGAACATTTAGATCAACCATTGAATCAGAAAAGCTTCCTCTCCAAACAGAAACATAACTTAAGATAACGTTTCATCAGATGACCGGGTTCACAACATACATGTTTTTGGGATATGTCAAACGTTTCACCTAATAACAGTATTTTTCTGTGGCATATTCAACGACTAGATCTCATGTTAACATACAGTGTTTCAAAACATTTGGTAAGCAATCTTTTTTTTTTTTTTTCATTTAATCAACATTAAAATTCAAGGAGAGACCAGACAAATCCTACTCTCCTTCAATTTTAACAAAAATGTTTTAGCTGCCTTATAATGCTTAAAATTAGATTCAGAAAAAGGCTTGTCAAAAATATCTATTACTCAGCAGTTAAAATAAAAAAAACTGAATTAGACAAACTAAAAATGCCACGTCTACAAGATATGGACGGTAATTCTTTTAAAGTGGATATGAATGTGACAAAGTTTTGTTACACCGAGTGCAAGCCCAAAACAAACCTATAAATGACATTTTTGTAATATAAAACTTGGTAAAAAATACTTATTTAAAACTGTACAATCACCAAGTACACAGAGTGACAGATCAACCCTTGTTCATTTGGCTTCGGTCGTCTCAGCCTTTGTGTCCTGAGGGGAAGAAAATAAAGCAACACATTACAATCATGAGATGTGACACATATCTGATTTTTTCATGTAAGTGTGAACAGTGCAATTCTGATGTTTTCAAATCCGACCCAGGCCTCTATTGTATGTGGTTATATATCGGATATGTAGTGAGCAGTGTGAACATAGCCTTAGTCTAGTGTCTTTGTTGTGTAGGTATGTACAGTAGTCATTCGGTCAGTATCTTTTAAGAGCCCTTCTAATCCTAATTGAGACCGTTACTTAAACGCTTTCTAATCCTTCGTAATTTCAATAAGCTCTTGCACTAATACTATAAATATGTAGGGGGAACCTCCATTTCCCCCTCATTTTACAAAAGTGAAGCCAAAAAAGACGCGGTGGAGCACGTATCAGAAATGTATGTTTATGTATTTCAAAGTTCTAGTTTGGTTTATGTTCCAATCTATTATAATGGAGGAAGCAGATAAATGACCTAGACCACAGCCAACCACCAGGGGGAGCTTTGGAGGTTTTGGCTTTACCTTCAGGGAGTGGTCCATCTCTCTATGCAGTGTAAGGTCGGAATTTATTGTAATAGGTGAATCGCTTCTCACACTATTATACTGTAACTGCAATGCAAGCACTTAAACAATACACTTTTTTAAGTCATTAGCTCAGATATTTTATGAGAAAATCTGCCTACATATCATGCTCAACTAAAAAATAAAAAAGTTTAAAATATGTGTTGTAGTAGTAGTTTTTTCTCATGGCAAGAAACAAACCTCAGCCTTGGCGTTCTCACTTTCAGCTGCTTTGCCCTTCTTCGCTTTGGGTCCCTTCTGCAAATGACATTACACTTGATTACAAACGTATGTCACATGTCTTAGTGTAACCAAAAGAATCATGTGACCAAAACATCTGAAGTTTTTTTTTTTTTCCCCCCCATCCAGAAACTGGGTCAAGCTTAATTTCCCTTAGAGGAATCAGTTTCACATGCGACACAGCACAGAGGGACAGCGAGCGCTGTCAAAGTGTTTCATACTTTTGCAACCGCCTTTTTCTTCTCCACTGGTAGGGGTTGTGGTTTCTGCAAAACAAGGAGGAAGACGATTATAATCACATATTTAATATTATTGGCTATTGACGATCTTTAACAGCGATCTTGCTTTTAACGGTCATCAAATGCATAATGGAAAGAGAAGTTTTTAAAAAGCCCACTGGTGAAGATTATCTTATTTCGTACAAAAATCATTTCTGAAAATGTTCAACTTGGGGTTTCAATAATCTCAAGGGAGGTCTTTTATTTGGAAGAATCTGTTTTCTGAATAAGTACTAAGAATAACTCAATCAAAATAAACAGTGTTTTGTTTCCAGGAAGCTTACCAGTGCCAGTCGGGCGGATTTCCTTACAGTCTGTTGGGACAGAATATCAGAATCAGAAATACATTAATAATGCCCAGAGGGAAATTGCTTTTGTTACAGTACTCCAAGGCAAATACAGTAAAAGAGGAGATAAATAATAGATAAAATAGATAAAATAAGTAAAAATATAAAGATAAATAGATAAAATAAGTAAAAACACAGAGATAAAAAGATAAAATAAGTAAGAATATAGAGATAATATACAAGTATTTACACTATAAACAACACAACACAAATATTAACATCGTATGCATAGGTTAAAAAGCAGACTAAAAGACTGAAATAACCGCAACAGGCCGCATGCACATTGACGCTTGCACACCGAAGAAGAGATATAAATATATAAGACATATAATCAGTAAGTATAGCAGAATGAAGTCACTTGCTAACTTATTAATACAAACTATAATAACCGAAGCATAAAATATTTGTAAAAAAAAAGAAAAAAAAGAAATTGACACTAAAACAGGAACATTTATGTGGTATTGTAATTAAACAGTGACATAAAAACACATCTCAATTACAACTCAATTATCTATAATGATGTGTTCGTAATAAAGGGGGCTTTAATACATTAAAATGATTTTAAAATAAATTATTTTCACAAACCTCAGAGGAGACAGCCTTCTGAAAAACAAATAGAAAATTGATATATATTAAAATATGACAATAAGTATGAAATATGTTAACTCATAGGAAGAACAATAACTGTTTTTTTAATCGTTATTATCTTGAACAAACAGTTGAAGACAAACGGAAATACTACAGTGATCCTCTGATGCACAGTTATGTCTGAACGCCACAAAGAGCTTCCTTCCCGCTCATTTTTGAATTCAAATCGGGGCTGTTCTGTCACCATGACAGCGGCTTGGCGCCTTGACAGCTTCCTTTGTTTTCGATCTGCGCGCGCCGACAGACAGCTGTTAAGAAACTGATAAGATTACAACTCAACTAATCGGCCGTAGCCGCCATAATCGCAGCCAAGAAAAGGCCGTTTTTGATTCAGTTATCACAAACCATACGTTAAGATTTCTACAGAACGTATATATTTAACACGACTAATTGAATATGTCAGTTTTAACAGTAATGGATACCACACACTTCAACGGAATGTGAAAAGTCAACACGCAGTACTCAATACATACCAGGAAAAACAACAAAATTACACAATATTTTAAAAATATTAGTATGAGAAATGTCTGCTGATGAGGGCAATGTCATACTTTTACTGTAAAAATTATCCTTGCAGACGAATGTAAACCCTCCTTCAAACAAAACTGTCTTTTTTTTAATAAAGAGATTTAAAAAAATAAAAATAATAAAAGAGAGATATGCCACATCCCCTCCCTAGTTTCTTCCTCATACTTGCAGGCTAATCATGCCTCATTATGTTCCCTGAAATAACATGTAACCGTCCGAGATGAGTGTTTATTGTAAAAGACAGAGCTAATACATGCACATTTGCAGCGTGTGTTAAGTTTGCAGCCTGTCAGCCTGTCGCCCCCCCAGCTCTCAGCCCGCTGTCAAAGATGGAAGAAACAGACGATGCAGCGTATTTTTGCACGGCGCAGCGTCTATGTCTGTAATAGTCTTAAACTTTTACCCGCAGGAGGTGGAATTATTAATACGAGGATTACGATTCATAATGAACTGGTTGAAAGAGGTTTATAATTACTGCCCAGACTAAAAGAAACATCGACGGGTGGGAGGATGTCTGAGCGGGTTTCTCCTGTCAGACCCGCCATGGCAGCAGTGTCTGTTTGTTGGGGATGATGACGTTCCTCCAGAGCACAGACGTTAAAACGAAGCCGAGCTAACGACACGAATATCAGACGAGAGGTTAAAAAATCAGAAATAAAATAAAAATCTTACCTTTGTTTTGCCCATGTTGTTGACAAGAAATGAACAAAAAAGCTCACAAAAATGTAACCTTTTAAATTTGTCTTTTTCAGAGATAACAGACCCAACGGTTGCAGAGGAAAATGGCGTATGTATAATGCAAACCAATGTTTTTGTAGTTTATACACTGAAATATAAGAACTAAACCGGTCTGAACCAGTTTTGTTTCTATGCCTGTCATTGGATGTAAACGTACCACGTGACTCCAGGCGCCTCCCACTCCTTAAAGAAGCAGGGTGGCACTTGAGATGTACCGGTGACGGCCGCGGGGAGGCGCTGTGTGTAAGGATACTGGTTGGTGTTACAGCCAACAGTACAGTAAAGTACGTTTAGTTCTGCGCAGTTGTTTTTAATCACGTTTTGAACCACACGTAACCTAAAAGCAAACTTTTTAGTTTAGTTAAGTTTGCGTATTTAATCCTAAATGATGAAAAACGAGGGTCTAGCGTTTTCACACGGTTTAAAAGAGGCGCGTTTCTGTACACCAGTCAATACATGAAACTGAAACCCAGAAGGAACTCTAGTCAATCTGGTGTTTGAAACGTTGTTTGTCTTGTCTAAATGAAGCTGCTTTGAGACAAATTTCAGACTTTAACAATGAAGTAATACTAACAACTTTAAGTACATCACAGAAAATCACAGGTGAAATGTATTTTGAAACTTGAAGGTTACTAACTTAAATTTAACATTACTCCTCACTTATTTCAACCTCATTTGAAAGTATATAATAGCATTTTAATTCTACAAAGTGAGGGGCATTGAAACAAATACTTATGTAGATAATTCAGCATTTTAGGTCATTAGCTTTAGAGGTTGTTATGAATCGAACTAAGGCTACGTTCACACTGCAGGTTATGATGCACAACTCAGATTTTTTGTTAAGTCCGATCTTTCTGTGCTGTCGTTCACATTACAACAACGAATGCGTCCGTGAAGTGACCCGCATGCGCCCAAAGCACAAATTGCTTTCTGCGTTTGTTTGTGTTGTCGAACAATGGTGAGGTTTGTCGCATATCGATGACGTATAGGTCGGATCAACACGACCTGAGTGTCCACACTGCAGTCACATCAGATACATATCCAATTTATATCCACATACAAAAGAGGCCTGGGTCGGATTAGACAAAATCAGAATTGCACTGTTCACACTTAGATGAAAAAATCAGATATGTGTCACATATGGTTAAAAAGTCAGAACTGACCTGCAGTGTGAACATAGCCTAAGTCTTCAAGATCAGCTCCACCCCTACAAATCTCAAACTCTGCTTTATTTCTCCTCTTTTTTAATTAATTTGATATACTGGCATGTTGAGTTCGGTATCTATTCCCCCCTCATCAATTTTACCAAAGTGAGGATTTAAGACTAGAACATTATGATGAAGACAGCCATCAACATTGGCATGTGGTATTCAAAGAAATGAGAAGCACCTCCTGTTATCCCGTTTGACATAGAGTAATCATTTAATTTGTTAAAGCAGGCTGGTCAAAATCTAGTTATGTCATTAACATCACATTCACCAAACAAACAACACTTTCTTACAACTCAACAGAAAAATTTCAAACTGGACTGAATCGATAAACTCTGGATGGAATCGTCTCTGAAACACTGAATCCCTGACTTTCACTCAGAATTTGAACTTCCGATCAAAAGCATGCGTTTCACAAAGAATTTACACAACAATTTAACTAAATCTTGACCAGACATTTTCACATATTAGATTTTGTTTTTCAGATCTACAATCATAAATATCTCATTTGTTTTCTACAGCCCCATAGGGGTAAAATCGCCCTCTCAACTCATACAAATCAGCAACATGAAGAAACCATCCTAGATAATGTTCACTCTTTCTCTTTCCCGCAGCAGCCCTTTAAGGAAGAGGACAGGAGAGGTTTCGTCCCCACTTCAACATGGGGTTTGTTTTCGGAGCCCTCCTTAAGCCAGGATGGCTTCGCTTGTTAAGTCATTAAAGAAAGAGTCTCTCTTGTGCTTCAGTGCTTGTAAGAAGTCTTGAATTCGTTCCTCCCTGCAGGCAGTTTGATGCAGCAGTGCCTCCTGTCTCCTCTGGGCGTCGATGGGCTTTCCGTTCCCGTGCTGCAGCAGGTGTTCTGCTGCACAGGCACGATCCGCCTCCAGCTGCTGGAAGGCCTGGTGCTCTCGATGGAGGTCTCTGGCTTTCTAAAATACAGCACACCAAAACAGCAGTTAGTGACGCCACTTCGGATTGGCTTTTATTTAGATTTTCTAAAAACTATGTTTTGTTCTAGTGATGATGTTGATGTTTCTTAAAAGGGTACACATAGATTATATAACGGTTGGTTATATAAACCAACCATTTCACAATGCTGTATTGTCTGTGGTAGAAAGTCTGACTCTGAAAACCAAACTGAATCCATAAGGAGGTGATGAGATTATAAAAGCCTTTGTCACAATTTAACAACACTTAAAATATTCAGAAATGTGTTTTTTGAGCTACAATTTCACCAGAATAACAGATAAAGGGACCTGCAACGGTTTCTGCAGAGGATGTATGTTTGATAAAGACAGTGTTTGATGTTTATGCAGTTAGCAAGCTGTCAATTCAGTGTTTAGGCAACACTTTGATGTTGCAAACATCCTGTTAAAGCAACAGTGTTTGCACTGGTCCTAAATACCATCCTTTTAATCCCATGGTTGCTTAAAAGTGAAAAAATGAAACATCTTTTATACCCATTCTGCCCTCCAGAGCAGGCATGTTCAAACTATTCCACAAAGGGCCGTGTGGCTGCAGGTTTTCTTTCCAACCAAGAAAGCAGCACGCCAGACTTGATTCATTTCATCAGCTGATCCCAGTCTTCAGACAGCTGATAGGTCAGACTGCTGCTCTTGATTGGTTGGAAGAAAAACCTGCAGCCACGTGGCCCTTTGTGGAATAGTTTGGACATGCCTGCTCTAGAGTCTCCTTCATTTAATATAAGACATGGATTAGGTGAGTAAGATCTCCTGAGAGAAGTTCGAACAGCTTTAAGGAGAATATGCTGAATGAAAAGCTGCTCTTTTACCCATCACAGATCTGTAATGTCATTGCAATCATCATGATGGGCGCAAAGAAGATATCAGTGAAAGAAAAAAATACTAAAAGATGCTAGAGAGTGGACAAGACGGGCATTTTAGTCTGGTAAAAATGATTCACAAAGCATTTTAGGCTTTCAGAGAGCTCATTATTATAGATAAAAAACTGTTATCAGGAGTGAGGAGGACTTTTCAGAGGCTTTAGCGTTTCTACAGCTGGGAGGAAATGACAGAAATATGGTAAAACAGGAGAAATGCCCTCCAAACAATAAATGGCAGTGCAGAAATGATAACTGCCTCATATACAAGCCAATGCAACAACCCAATATCACTATAGAGAAAAGTGATCGTTAGATATTTGACAGCTGGGAAAATGCAAGTTTGACTCATGATTTTGTTCTCATAACGCGTGATACTTCTGAAGGGAGGCGTGTTATCAAAGATGACATAAAACTAAGCTTTTTACTGTTATTTATCAACAGGATAATGATTATGCTTGAAGCTCTTGATCAAACAGTAATTCATGACCTCATTTGATGAATGAACTCTATGTAAGTAAAGTGTTTATTTTGTATAATCGGTTATACTTGTTCTTTCTTTGTCTTGTTCTTCAACTAAAAACTCCAAGACCCTTATCTGGGACGTCCTTTTCATGCATCCTTGTTTTGTTGATTTGTCTGACTAGGAAATGGTCTCTTGACATGTGGCAAAATAAGTAAATATGTAATTTTACAGGACAGGAAATAAACTGCATCTCACTATGAGCCTTACCTGAATGGATTTGTGATTCAACTGAAACTGGAGAATCGCTTCACACAGGTTCCAGAAAGAGTACTCGGGCCACAGAACAGACTGAAACACCAGACAGGAGTGGGAGGTCTGCAGACGGAGAGGACACATGCAGGTTAGAAAGGAAAAGCTGCTCAGTGTTTGTCGAGTATATTTTACATATTCAGTAGCAAACAGCACCCTCATACTTATAAACCCTTCGACATGCATATGAGCAGATACTGCAAAAAATCTAATGTTTTATAGGAGATCTGGCTTCAGGAGAGACATATTAAAGATGTCAACATCCTCACCTGCCAGAGCAGAAAGTCGCTGAGGCGCACCTCTCCAGACGTGCGGATGAGCAGGTCAGGATTTGGAGAATTATTGCTGTACAAACACTCACTTAGCAGCGCTTCTGAAACATCACTGAACATCGAAAAATAACACATAAACAACAACTTAAAGCAACTTTGAGTATAACTCTGTTGTACTGTTATCAATGAGCTTAAATCAGTGCTGTTCCTACCTTGATTTGATCAGTCCCTGCTCCACTCCCCACGCCATCTCTCTGACCGCATTAGTGATTTCATATCTTGACGTGTAGGCGAAGCACACATTAAGGAAACATCTGTAAAACACACAGAAACACACACAGTTTACTTACAATCAACACAATACAATCTATCTTAGTGTGGTTGTAAAAGTGAAGCCATTAATGTTTACAGTTACAGCAGTGAGTCATTATTAAATAATTACACATACTTATTATGGGATTTGGTTGTGACCACAGCTTTGGCAATGAGCTGCTGAAGGTCAAGTGGCAGCATGTTTAAGTCGCCCAGCACCCGGATACACACACCGTGCTTCTCCAGGTTTTCCCTGAAGGAGAGGAGGGACAAAAGGATTTCATGAATGAATAAAAAGAAACGAGAAAAACATGAAGACGAGCAGGAAGGACGAGAAGAAGAGCGGTCTGTTTATGCAAGCACCTGAAACATTTCCGCCAGCATCTCCAACACAAAGGTGCTTCATCGCAGGAGTTTCTACTGATCGGCGCATTATAATGACACTTCACCAAAAGCATTGTGCATCCTAAGTTATTGTGTAAAAGGTGCCTTCGCCATCAGTCATGCAGCATCATCTTTGAGACAGCAGCTCTCTTAATTACACTGACAAAGCTGCAAAAGTCGAATCGCTGTTGGTTTCAGGATGAGTCAGGGACATTTGCAATACAACAGGTGACTTTGATTTGATGTTTTCACAAGTTGTATTCATTATTGGGGATGAAACCATAGAAAAAGGATGAGACTGAGAGCAAAGTGAGAAACGAGCCTGCATTTTAGCTGTGGTATGTGTTGCTAAGACAAGGGACAGAACAGAGGATTACACTGTTGATACCACGGTGTCTCTTTTAGAAAGACTTCACAGAGCCCAAGATTGTAAACTGATGATGTGCAGAAAGTCTGTTCTAAAAAGCAGGAAAGTAGTCATTATTGTCAAATGTATAATAACTACAGGCCACAGGTGTCAAACTCAAGGCTCGGGGGCCAAATCTGGCCCATGGAACAATTATATCTGGCCAACAAGATCATATCATACTTGTATTATTATTGGCCAACCAGTATGAAGTCTGCAGATTTCCTCCAGTATGATAATGTAAACTTTAGCACCATTATCTAAAATGTCCTTAATAAGCCACGAAAATCTGGCAAATTATAGAGTAAGGAAGATTTGATAAATAGTCAAGAACGTGGGGGGGGATATTTGGTGTTTTGTTTCATGTTTTCAATTTTGCATTTCAAGATTACAAGTCAAACATGATTGGATTTTTTATTTCATGCTTTGATTTTGTTCAACTCAGTATTCGGACTTGTGTCATTTTTATACTTTAGATTCCAATTTTAAATTTAAGTCATACTTTGACCTTTTAAACCTGATTTCAACGTTCTCCTCGTGTATTTTCTCTTTAAATGCATTATTTTTCTATTTTTAATATCATGCTCTGATCTTTTGAACTAATTAATAAAAATAGAATAAAAAAATAAAATGTTTCTATCTCAGATTGCCTTTAAACTTATCTTTTTAGAATTTCAAACACCCCTGCAGTGCCGGTATCTGATTGTGTATTTATATTCAAGTGTAAAGTTACAGCATTACTATATGAATAAAAAAAAACAACAACTGCATAAAAGATTTGCTGGTTCTTGCAATGAAAGTCAGTATGGGCAAAAATAGCAACAGAAATAATTGATATCATACACTTTTAATTTGGTGTCACATTTTTTCTGCACTCAAGGATATTCCAGGACAAGTCCAAGGAAAATTCTACACAATAGTCGATGCAGTTGTTGGTTCCCCTCATTTGTTACGGAAGCAACAACAGACTGAGGAGCTACTCCACTCATTGAAGGTCTTAAAATTTCTTCTGTTAAACTCACCGCTCCTCCAGTAGTTTCTCAAATTTCTGCTTGGCCAGCTCCATCAGCCCGTCCACTTCATCTTTGGTGCGTTTGAAGTTCTCGATGCTGAAGGCGTACACTGTGACCTCTTGGATATTCAGATGTTTGCACCAACGTAATGTCTGGAGTAAAAGTGAACAGGTGGAGAGCAGGAGTTACACACACCTGACAGGATTCTTTTATCACTGCACAAAAGACAGATCTTAATCAGGTCACAGCCTCACCTCTGCCAGCTTGTTGAAGCCCTGCATGTGCCCTTCCTGGCGCTCCATGTGTTTCTTACGAGCAAAGCGACGGTTTCCATCCATGATGAAGGCCACATGTTTGGGCATGGGTCCAGCCTGGGGGGGACACAGTAAAGATCAGGGACAAGGAGGAGATTTGGCTCATAGCAATGGAGAAAATTAACCAACGGCACAGCTTTGGAGAGCTGCACTCTGTAGTTTCTGAGCTCATGAGTCAAATAATCTCCATTTATAGCTGCTAATGTGAAAGATCGCTCGTCTTTTACGACTGAACACTGAATATGATTGAATGGTTACCAAAAACAATGAAAAAGGGTTCTTTACTTTGCCTAAACTATTTGCTGGCATTTCTCCAACTATTTTCCGTCTTAGCGAGTGAAATATTTGCCTTTGGGCTCCCGGGAAGAACTTTCAGTTTGGGTTGATTTTGGCGACCTCTTGTGGACAGAGCGGCACTGTTGTCCCTTACCTGATCCTGTTCTAAACATGTCAAAGTGTGCAGTTACCCAACAATAAATCTCATCCTGGCATCTAAAAACTGTTGGTTCTATCACTCAAGCAGATCTCTACCCCATCCAACCCCTGCCCATCATTTACAGTGAGGAAAATTAGCTCCAGAACAAAATAAATCTTGTTGCTGATGATCTGATTTGCTTTTGTAGGTCATACAGATGTACACTATCCATCTCAGTCTATCTCATGACTAGACAAAATCCCTTACAGGCGCTTGCAGCAAATAAGGGATTTTAAGATACATACTGACACATATGTTTTGAACCCTGACACATAAGTTGGCGTAATATTTGTATCAGCAGATAAAAGCTTAAAAGTTCATCATCGGTATCAGCATATTTAAGGCTAAGGTGATGCTTCTGTGTTCCCCAACAATGAGCGAGCTTCAGCATGTCAGCGGTATGGAAGTATTTTGAAGAGTTGATGAGCGAAAATCTTTTGGCAATGATGTTGCACAACACTGGGAAAAAACTGCCAAATGTTTTCTTTCTGCGAAATGTAATGCATTAGAAAATATTCAGGAAATTAAACCACAGAAACAGTGGTGTGTCTTGATGTAAGTGGCAAAATCTGACCCTCCGCCTACAGAAAATGAAAAAATAACACTGATCAATACTGTGTTAAAAAATTAATATTAAAAAGCACATATTAGCCATAATAACCCACAGTTTCTTTCGTCTGTCTGATGTTCTGCACATTATCTGAGTTTGCAACATGTTTCCTCTGAATTTCAGATACGTCCAATCAGCAGTTTTTTTATCACTTAATTACCACCAATTAATCTGAGGTGAGATCACAAACTTCTGATGGTATAAAATCAGAGCCAAACAATTCATACCTCTATCTAACTGGTACAATAGCCTTACTTAGAGATTTCATATTTAGGGCAACATACAAAGGTCTTATAGAGATGTTTTCTTGCAAATGCTCAGACTGCAATATGGATACATTTGGGATTGAATGTGAAGCCCTCATATGCTGTGCTTGTAAAGTAAAGATTAACTGCATTTAGACATAATCAGCATCAAGTATTTGAAACAATTTTGATTTTTAAGTACCTCTAGTGGCTAAAGGAGTCCATCCATATTAAAATATGTATGTACAGAGCCTACTCACCCGGTTTTCAACCATCAGTGGGTAGTCTTGATTATTTTGAGGAAAAGATCTCATGTATTTTTGGATCATGTGCCAAAAATCCATGAGATGCAGAAAGTGCAGACAATCACAGATGTATAATCATGCAAATAAAACCGCAGTTTCAGGCCTTACCTTTAGTATATTTGCAGAAATCTTCTCCAGCAGGTTTAACTCTCCTTCTCTGATCCACGACATATTCAGGCTTTGAACGGGCTAAAAATAAGTTGAGATTTTTTAACAGATTTTTGACGCCTAACCTGATTATCTAACTTAAACTATGATTTTTAAAAATAGCTAAATGACTAATTAAACTAAAGAAAAAATATATTATTATTAAATAATTCAAAAATGTTTCATCTTCATGCAGGTTAAAACTGATTCAGCCTGACTCACGAGACAGGCAGAAAAATGTAAGCGCTCGTGACAGCTGCGAGGTTATAAAAGCACTGACCTACTCACAGTCGATCCAGAAAACACATACTGTTCATGTACAACCCTTTATTCATTCAAAATATGAAATCTCATCCTAATCTACTCCCGAAATTACAACGATTTTAATCACATCTCACAGACCTTCCAACTCACAGCTCTAACGATGACGATCACTTCCGCATTGGAGTAAAGTGACGCAGCGGCGCGGTGACGTTTTCCTGTCACGTGTTTGTGGATTTGAAATTCATGTGGATGGACTGTACTGATGGTTGAACATCCATGAGTTTGATTGAAGGATTTGTCTGTTTTTGATTAATTTGGAGTGGTGGTTCTCAGGTTCCTCAGGTTAGAGAATGTAGCTGTGGTATTGTTTCTCATTTTAGTGTCTGTTAATCATATTTCATACTGCTCAATCATAAATTGTGTTCCTCTTGTCTGTCTACCTGAAGGGACGGCCAGAGCCTCAATGGGGCCTCAAGCAAAATTTGATTTTGGTGCCCTCTGTTTCTGCCAATAATACTGATTTTTAATCACACACCTTCACAAATCTCTTTGATTAACATTCCCTGACATGCAAACATTCCTTTATCTTGGCGTTTTTTTCTCTTCTTCCTGAAGGATATGTCCTTTTTTGGAACATTGTTTTGCCCCACAACTACCTGCGCTTTGGATGCTCAGTGCACATTGCACAGCAGAAGGCGCATAACAGTAGCGGAGCTTTGACATATCCACAGTAAGAATCAACGGCCTACATCAGCACTAGCATTAAAATGTTTTTACTTTATTTTATTTTATTTTTACAATAATATATATTTGATCATACAGAAGGCATCACTTATACATGCAAAAAATAAAAACTATTTAAATTTTTTTTTAATTTCTCTTGGGGGCCCCCAATTGAATGTATAAAACTTTTGTGTACAAAAATTGGTATCGTCTGACTGATATCAGACCTCAATGGCCGATATCTGATGCCAATATCACACTATAGTTTATTTTTTAAATAGAAAATACAACAACTGAATAAAATATATCAACTGAATATGTATTTGATCATACAGAAAGCATCACTCATACATGCAAAAAATAAAAAAATATTTATCATTATTATTATCATTCTTTTTTTTTTTTTTGTCTCTTGGGAGCCCCCTATTGGCCGCGGGGCCCTAGGCAGGCGCTCAATTCACTTATGCCTTGCGCCGGCTCTGGGGACAGCAGAAGGAATCTTGCCTTATCAGCCACACCTCCGAGTTGCAACACATCTCCTCTCACTGAATGAGATTAATGTTTGTAGTCAGCCTACATGGCCCTTGACAAACTGAACTTAACTAAACTAATAATTGAACCCTTTAACCCCTGCAACAGAGATATGTTGTTGATTTTTTATTGCATTATTTTGTGATAGGAGTTAATTTCATTTGTTTGGTTGCAAAAACACATCAACAAACATGAAAAAAATATGACAATAAATCACAAACACCAATCAGACACTAAAATGTTAACATCTAAAAGAAGAGGTAGTGACATGCAATGACTACAACCCTTGCTCATGTAGGTTCTCCTAATATTTTTTCCCCCTCATGTGTGTTAATGGAGTGGACAAAATTTTAGGAACACCATTTAATATCCATGTTCCATTCATATCCATAATCCATTTTTAAGACATGTCTAAAAACCCACTTTTATTCCTTGGCATATGACCCAGAGTGAGACGGCATTTGTTTTATTGCTTTTTTTAAAATTGTTGTCCCATGCAAAAATCAGGAAAGCCAGCTTGTTGTTCACTTGTTATCCCAAGAAAACCAAGTAAGCAAGTCTACTGATGTCCACTTCTGTTGCATACATCAAGTTTAAGACTGTTGAAGTCATAATGGTGAATTCAAATAAATGTTTGACTATTTTATCTTATTTTCTATAATTCATTGTACTCTTACTGATACTTTGATGGACACTATGTCCTTTTTATGCAGTTAACATTGGGATACTTCCTGTGACTGTTTGGCTCAGCCTTCAAATCAAATACTATTACTTAAACCTCTTATTTTATATGTTTTATTTTTCATGGTCAGACTTACAAAATTGTCAAAGTCAAAATGAGCAGTATCTCCTCCTGATGTACAGGATGTTCAATGATCAATTTAAATCAGTGGGTAACTCTACTTACATAAATGTTTTATCCAGATTAATCTGGTGTCGATAAAAAAATTTAAGTGACCACATTGTTATATTCCAAATAAAAGAATAAATTGTTTTAAGAGTACCAGAGATTCTGGTTAAATGATTTTGTGGTCTTTAAAGGATAATCCCCTAAGAGAGTCCCCTATTATCCCCTATAGAATATAGAATAGTGTCATTAGCATAACAACAAAAAGAGGAGTTGCAGTTAGGACTCAGCAGAAGCACATAAATGTACCAAAGTAAACCTTGAAGGAATTGTAGATGTGGACTGAGGATGAAGATGAATTAAGGGAACAATGAAGAATAATTTCAAATATGATAAATAAATTCATCAAATTCATTTTCCTTTTTGCCTAAGTATCAAGCGTATCTGGTACTCAACATACTTTAACAGAGTTGTCTGACAAGAAAAATCTTATCCAGATGACTTTTGACAGTCAAATGTGTCATTTATTGTTTTTTTTTTTTTTTGCATAAAAATAGAAAAAACAAGTCTGTTTTTTCAGCTGCCTGGATGACCCTTTGCTCTGTTTTCAAGCATTAAAAATTATGAAGCAAGGATCATCAACCAAGTCGCTGTAGGGATATGGCTCAACTTACCCCGCTCCTATGGTCAACTTATCCCATACATGGGGTAAGTTGACCATAGGAGACCACTTTTTTGGCATGCTATATTATCAAGACAGTTATGTTTACACTCATTCTGTTGGTTTGCAGGGATGAACAACATCTTGAAATATATGCAGACACACTAGTTAGAGATAAAACTATGATTGCCTTAATGTAGTGATCCAAAATATGAAAAGTGGCTCATCTTACCCCACCCTCCCCTACTGGTAGTAAATTATAAACACATAGTGTGGTAAAGCATAATAAAGGGAGGTGGGGTGTCTGTAAAAATTGTATGTCTAATGTATAATTGTATAGCACACCATAGTTTGGTTATTTTTTAAAGCTTTTGAACTGACTGGGATCCAACAATGAGCTCAACCTGTTGACCGTGGCCCAACATGACTCCTGCCAATATTTGCATATCTGCAGTGCAGTACCGCCCTCTGCCTCTGGGGTGTGACAGCAAGTTCATCAACAGTTCTCTCGCACTTTATTTTAAGGAAAAGAAGAAGTTTCAGATTTTGGGGGGTGAGGGGCTGGCCTTTTTTTTGTTCCGCTGGAGAATCCTGCTTGAACGGAGAGCAGGAGCACATCAGACCAAGCAGAAACCACAGCGCCGCGGACAAACGGCCTCGAAATAAGGGCGCCGAGAGGGACCACACCGCCCCGTTGGAGGAAGAGCCGTTAGAAAAGCGAACGGCGTCTCCCTCCCTCCAGCTCTGCCGTTAACCAGCTCCAGGGTCAACGGGCAGCAGACAAGTAACGGACGGACAGCAGCTATCGCCGTTAGCCCTAACTCCTCTGCGGGTCTGGGGGGTTCTGGCAGGGGCAGGGGGGCGGGGGTACACCGAGAGAGGAGAACACTAAACGCCGAGAGGAGGGGGCTGGAAGTCTGAGACGCTTCCAGCCTGAAGGGGCCGGCGGTTTGGCCACAGCACCCCCCGGACTAGCTAGCTTGTACCCGCGCGGCTAAGTGAATGGGATGGAGCCGGGACCGTCTGGCGCTGGTAGGTTTTATTTTTATTCTGTGGCTAACACGTTTTCATCCGGACAGAAGAGCCATGAACGCAGATAGAGGCTGCAGCTGAACAAAACGGAGCCCCACAAGCCCGGCCTTAGCGGCAGGAGGAGGCTTGGTGACAACCCCATGAAATGGAGGGGGGCTCTCCTGCAGGCTTTAGACACAAAAGTGTGCGGAAAACCCTTTTTTATTTACACACATTAACAGTAGCAGACGAGCCTTTTAGAGCGATGACAATATCCTCAGCCATGCGCGGGGGCAGGGAGGTCGTGGGAACCTCGGTAAGGAGGGACGAGGTGAAGCCCGCCTTCAAGCAGCAGCAGCAGCAGCAGCAGCAGCTGGCTGCACCCCACACAGAACAGCACAGCAGCAGCCTCCTTTCCTCCTTCACTGACAGGTTCTGGATGTCCAAAGAGGGTTTCACACCTTCACCTTAAATGCACCGATGAGAGGGGATAGGCCTAGCATCAGAGAGACTGTTAAATCATTAATCCAGTGGTTTTCTGGTCTCACTCTGGGACCCACATTTTCACATGGTCCTGAAGTAGTGACCCACTTTTATAGAATTCAAACCAAGCAAATGAGTTTTTGTTAAAAAAAAAAAAAAACAACCTTTAAAGACTATAATCTATAAGTGCATTTCAGAGCATGTGAAGGGGACAAAATGAGGAGGACAACTGCTGAAGTTGCTTGTGCAGAAAATATCGAAACATGTAATAAATATCGCATTAAGTATTTCCTTTTTTGACCAGCTGTTCGTGACCCATCCAGAACGTGTCCGCAACCCACTTTTAGAGAATTAAAACCAAGCAATTTAGTTTTAAAAAAAAACCAAAAAACTTTAAAGACTATAATCTTAAGTGCATTTCAGAGCACATGAAGGGGACAACGTGAGGAGGACAACTGCTGAAGTTGCTTGTGCAGAAAATATCGAAACATCTAATAAATATTGCATTAACTATTTCCTTTTTCGACCAGCTGTTTGTGACCCATCCAGAACGTGTCCGCAACCCACTTTTGGGTCTGGACCCACCAGTTGAGAACCACTGCATTAATCTATGTGAAAACAAAAATAGTCTTAAAGCTGTTTTTGTTCTATGTTCTGTTAAAGATGGGAACAGCCAAGTCAAAGAAGTATGTGCATTTCTATGCTTTTTTCAGCTACTGCTTATCAGTGCCAGAGATCATCTGTGTTTGGCACTCTCCTTGGATGACACTGAGGTGTAGAGGCAGACAATTAATACTCAAACCAGCCAGAGTTTGACTCTGTGCCCAAGTCTGAAGTCCACCTTTGACGCAAACTTTGATCCCTGGCGTTTGTAATCCAGCCTTGAATCATTCTTGTAAGGATTATAAAGTAGTCAGAGGTGTCTCTATCTACCTCTGAATCCTCTTAGAATTCAATGACTCAGTACTGAACCGTGCGTTGGGTTTGTGTAGTCTTGTTTTTATTTTTTTAGGATGGCTGCCGACCCCCTGGAGAGCCCTCATCTCAAAGTCTGCTTTTGTGTTTGAAGTGTGATTATTCAATGTGCTGTTTTTCATGAGCGAGCTGATTGCCATGTTTAGCTCATGGTCAACAGCCAATTACACAGAGAGCCAACTAGTTTGGCCAAAACAATTGGTGTATAATTGGCTGTTCCTTCTCATTAATGTACTTGTGCTGTTGTGATCTCCTGATGAGGGGAAAGGGGTCGTCATTAGACATCCACTGCTGGTAGTTATTTTGAAAATTTGGGGCCTTGTGTCCTCGTGTTTCCTAATCTGGAGTGTCCTTGCTTTAAAGCCAAAGCCAAGGCGATTAATAACCCAAAAGTGGACAAAAAATGTACACGTCCCTCTGGATATTACTTAAAAGTAGCCGGTCCCGTGTGACTCAGGCTTATTGCTCGTTAAGTCATTAAAAAGGCAGTGGATGTCTTTATGTTGTGATGCAGCACCAAGGCTCTGCTTTAAGTCCCACCGCCCGGGAAAGACTGCTATTGTCTTGGGATATGTGAGAACGCTGGCTCCTCTTCTCACCATCTGCCTTTACTGGCACAAGGGCGAAGTGTGTGTGCCATTGTGTGAGTGTACGACGACTGCTCGAGCGCACTCTAGACGCTTGTTTCACGCACGTACATGCTCTCTAACACACAGTCTATGTGTGGTCGACACATGTCTGGAGTCTGTTTGCGGTGTTTGTTGAACGTGTTGGAGAAAAGTGTGACACACTAGAAGAAGAGTTTTTTTCACGTGATTGTGTTTCTATATGACTACTCCTGGAGGCTGAGTGAACATATGATAGAGTGGTATGTTTGACCCAAGGGTTTCCTCAACAGCTATTTAAAGCAGGGATTCCCCAGTTTGGGACACATCAGTGCTTTGGCCTGATGTGAGACCGTGTTCAGTGCGGGTCCAAAAAGGCCAAGGTCTCTTCAGCATGACCACAGAGGCACCCGGCCTCCTCCCATCTCCTCCAGCAGCCCCTGCACACACTCACACTCACAGTGGTCCCCTGATATCCATGACAATACTGTGTTGCCGTGGTGTTTCCATGGTGAGGCTGGGAATGTAGAGGGGGCCCCCTGTGTTTGTGTGTACGAGTGAGCCGTAGCAAGGGCGCTCCCTCCGCCGTACACCCCGTGTATTTATGTGTGTGTGTGTGTGTGTTTGAGTGAGTGTGAGACGGAGGAGCAGGGCAGCTGGGGTCTTTGTTGTGGTGGAGGAGGGCTGGTCTCTGGGGACCCAGAGGTTATGGCACTGGGCCCCTCTCAGGCAGGAGTCACAGCTAGCCTCACACCGAGCACCCAGTCTAGGACCCTCCCCCTTATTACACCTCCTGACCGGCTCAGACTTGTTTTTGAGACATGATGCTTAAATAGAAATGGAAAGCTATTGAACAGAAAGATTCAGGCTCTTTATTGTGGGCTGACGTCACTAAGATAACTGATATCTTAAGTTTATGTGACAAGAAGGATGCACACACACAGATTCTGAAATTTTTATACATTTTGGCTTCACAATCTTCTATAACTTATGTTTCTATTTGAGTTAAGTGTATCAAAATATGTCAAAGATATCATGAATTAAATATTTCATAAAGGACTCTTATACCCTTCAAATATTTTTCTCAAATCAACTGGTCCATAAAACGTCAAATATAAGTAATATTTTGTGAGACACAATGTAAACCAACATCAATCCTCAATTTACTTGAGAATAAAAAACAAAAATCTTAAATTTTAGACAGAAAAATTTGAGTACATTATTAATGTGGTGGGATTTGGTGGAGCAGATTCGGTAGGAATAAAATATTGTCTGTTCAGCTATCTTAAATTATTAAAAAAGAAAGAAAAAACAGGTTATTTTAAAATTGAAAAAAATCATGTATAAATCCATCATTTCATCTCCATTAAAATCAAAATTTTGTGGTTATTTTAGCCAGTAACATGTTTTAAACAGATTTGTAATGAATTTAAAAAGCAGTGATATCAGCCATGTGAGGGTGAATGCTAACATAATGACTAAAGACAAAAAACAGCCATGCATTGACCCGATTAATCCACCAAACTCCTAAATAAAAAGTATGTTTAAACTCGTACTAACACAGTACAGTGTTTCTGGATTGATTGATCAGTCATGTAATGTTGCATCACCATATCTGGTTAGTAAAGTGCAGGATTAATGGCGTTGGCGCCTCTTTGAAAGTGGCCGTGAAATGCTGACACACACACAGAGTCACATTGGAGAAGATGTCAATACGTCGCTGTATCAGTCTCCATCTGGAAAAGCTGTTGTTGGTTCTGGATGTAAGGAAAAGCAGAGCAGTTCTGAGGTTTAATCAACATCTGTTTTTACATAAAGAGAGACATCTTTCTAATGTTTATGTGTTTGTTTTCTCCCCCCAAACACCCCCCTCCCTTCTCCCACATCCATCCTCATATGACCTAATCTGCTGTGTCCTCCTCCTCCTCCTCCTCCTCTTCTCCTCTTCTTCTTCATGCCTTGTCAATATCCTCCTCCATCACCCTTTATTTCACCTCTTATATAACATACCTTTTCTCCTATCTCCCTCGCCCCAAATGTTCACGTTCTTCCTTACTTTTCCACTCTCATTGTTTCTCTGTTTCCTTACCTCCCCTCTCTCTCCTCTTCCTCTTCCTGCCTCTCATTCTGGCATCCACCGATCATGTCGTTCTGGCCTCTGCCTACGCTTCCTTCCCGTTTAATGCCACGTTTCTCACACTCCCGGCCCTGTCCTCTGCTGCTCCCAACTGCTTCCTTTTCCGCCTCTGCACTTGACCATACTTCAATCCTAAATCTCCTGTGTGCTTGCCTTGCTTCTCCACTTCCTCTTCTCTACATTCTCGCCCTTGTTTTGCACCCTCCTGTCACCTGTCCTCGCCCATGACCTCCCACTCCTTGTCTGTCCAGTGCCCATGGGGGTCTTCCCCCCACCCCTGCAGCAGGTGTTCCATGCCCCCCGCCGGCCGGGCATGGGCACCGTGGGCAAGCCCATCAAGCTGCTGGCCAACTACTTCGAGGTTGAGATCCCAAAGATGGACGTCTATCACTATGAGGTGGACATCAAGCCCGACAAGTGCCCACGGAGAGTCAACAGGTAACAAGACACAATCACATAAAACAGAAATAAAAATAAAAATGAAGTGCTCGTCTGTTGTCGTGGTGAAAATGCAGCTGAAATATGGGGTGCAAAAGCAGAAAAACTGCAAAAATTGGATAATGGAAGCTCAGTAGTCATCTCTAATCACCACGGCGGCAGCAGAAACAGCTGGTTAGTTTTAAAAACAACTTTTTCTAACAACCATTTGCCTAATTTCTCGAAGCTGACTGACATGTTTCGTGTCGGGAAATCATGAAGTTCTGCTGCAGTGAAAGCAGAGCTCCGCAACTCTTCAATAAAACCCACTTAAATTGGTTTTCTGAGCTCCAACGTGCTTCACGCTTGCACTGTAAAGCTCCATCATATAGCTGAATAAATATTTGGCTTGGATGCAGAATGAGAAGATACTTGGTGATGAAACTGCTTCTTGATATTCCATTCCATATTATATCTTGAGCTCTTCTTTTGTATTAAAGATAATCTAACCTTAAGTGAATCTGTCAGCGGGAGAGAAATTCATGCGTTTGTGCAGAATTAGATCAAATGAACCTGCAGGAAACCTCCTCCCTCTGCTGCACCTGTTTCTCTGGGCAGATGGTGGAGTCAAAAGTGAGTCTAAATTGACTTAACTCTGTCATATTGGCAGGTGTTCACGCTGAAGAGAGTGACTCACACTGCTTGGGTCTTAATCTAAACGAAGTCATTCAATTGAAGGGTGATGCAAATGACAATATTAGGTAGAATATAGAAGTTGCACTCGATGGAGAGGCAGAAAAAGGCGTAAATGTCTGAAGTCAATGGAGGTTTAATGCGACAAAAGTCTATTTAATTTCTACAGCAATGAAAATGAAGACTCCTCTCTAAGTCCACGCAGTCGGTTCAAAGGAAAGCATGGATTACTGTTTTCATTTTGGTGCACTTAGTTTAGTAATTTAATGGAACAAATTGTCCCTGGACTGATTTTGTTTAGCCTCACTCACACATTTGTTTCAGCTGTGACAGATTAAAGTAGAGAAACAAAAAAAACGCCATGATTTCTATTTGAAGCATTTATCACCTAAATCAAAATTCGATTCAGGGTAAATATGCCGCCCGTCTGCCTCTCTAACTTTTGTCATGTCCTTCCAGAGAAGTCGTTCCTTTCAGAAACACCACCTTCTCTGTCCTCGAGGTGAAACAGCAGCACGCCGCACACGATACATATGTTCGGTCATGGTTGGACTAGGAGAAATGATCCCTCTGTGAAATGTCATCGCCGCTTCTACTCGGCTTTCTCTGCTTTTCAATTCCACACTGAATCTGCGGTGTGACACTCGTGACTTTGAGGTGGCTGACAACAATCTGTGCCTGGATATCATGTTTTACACTCCTCTTTTGTAAGGAGTCATGTGTCAGGTATTGAGGACTTGCAGGGAGCAGGAATATAATCCAACATAGAATACACCCCTCGACAGTTTTCTCTTTCAATGATATTAAGTTTTTTCTGTCTCTGGAAAAAATACACCGTCAGTTCTTCAATCACATGGAGCCATTGTTTTAAACAAATGAAATAAGATCTGTGCAGCTTTTATGAATTAACTCGCACTTGAATTTGCCTGTTATCCTTTTACTTCACTCCTTCTCTCATAAAGACTCCACATAATTCATTTCTGTCCGTTAAAACAGCCCCGACTGATTGTTCTCATTGAGCTTCCTCTTATTGTGGATTTAATAACAACCTTTGGTCTCAGTTCTTAAAATCTCAGCTGGAAGACCAGATTGATTTCTCAAGCTCCTTTCACACATGTTTTCCTGTTAGTTTATTGATAATTCTGGGACTTTCAGGCACTGATGTTTTTTCGTTCACACACGCACCTCTCACTGGAGATTTGCTGGGTGTGCTCTGACAACTTGAGATACTCCATTTGGCTTAGGTGAGCGGGGGACAGCTGGGTAGCACATGCAGAAGAGGGAGAAGTTGTCTGAAATGGTGTAATTTTCCACTTTACAAACACAACAGATGAGACGATACGGACAACTGAGGCGAGTAAAGAGGCTGAAGCAGAGGAAGTCTTCCCGGTGTAAACAGTGTAATCCCTGTGGTGAATTTCCCTGACTCTAACCTGCTGTGTTCGCACTCTGGACATTTTACCAGGAAAAAGTCCAGACTAACGGCGGGTTCACACCACCCTCAATTAGTCTCGTTAAACCGAACCCTGGAGCGTTTACCCCCTTGGTGCGGTTTGTTTGGGTCAGTGTGAACGCTGACCTCGAACTCTGGTGCGGACCAAATAAACGAACTCTGGTCAGCCTGAAGAGGTGGTCTCGGATCACTGTCAAGTGAACTCAAGTGAACAGGAAACGCACCACACGTCTCGTCTTTATCCATCTGTTGTTTGCAGCATGTCTACTCCGGATTGTATTAATTAATGCCGCAGTTTGCGCTCGCTGGCTAACGAGCCGTTCATACCCGCGATTGACTAGCGTCTTTTGATACGCGCTCCAGATGAGAAGCAAAAGCAAAATCAGCCTACGATGCTCCATGACAGGCGAAGACAGCAGAGCGAGGTTTGTATTCCTGCACAGACTAATGACCAATAACCGAACGATATTAGTGGTCACGTGACTTCCAGTTCCGTTTTCTGGAGCGATTGAGTTTGTCCTTTGTGAACGCAAACAATCAAAACAAATCAAATCGAATCAGGAAACTGAGCTTTAGGTGTGAACACGACCTAAGTCAGGGAGAATCATTTTAGCTGTTTTAATCAAATGTAGCCCAACCAGTTAAAGTCTGAACATTTTCAGGAGTTTAGCATTAGTTGAGTTTTTTGTACGTTCATGGAGGTGGTTAAAATAAACTCATTTTCTCAGGAGAGCTGTTCGCCTGAAGATGATTCTTTCAAACCCAAATGTGCTGCTTATCCTCTCCAACACTCAGGGAGGCTCTCCGGGGTTCAGCCTCTTTTGGTTTTTAGGCTTTGTGACAAAGGGTCCAAGAAGGCATGCAAAGGTCAGGACCTTCGACCTTTCCTTTTCAGAGCGGCTCCTCATCCCCCACACTTCTGTGAAGGCCAAGGCACTGAGATTGAACGGTGGCCCCCCGCTCACACCCTCACTCTTTTTGTCCTTGCCTCTCCCCCCATGACCATGAAATATTGCCCCCAGCAGCTGTATCCTGCTTGATCAATATTCCATCATCCTGAGAGCCGCCCCCCCTCTCCTCCTGATCACAATAGAGCGTCCTGATCAGGCGGACAGCTTTAATTGGTTGTCTTTTCTGTGGCTGGTGCCTGTTCAATTCAGCCGGGTTTTTGTTGTTCTTACAGGGAGGTGGTTGAATACATGGTGCAACACTTCAAGCCCCAGCTCTTTGGCGACAGGAAGCCGGTGTACGACGGCAAGAAGAACATCTACACGGTGCTAGCACTTCCTATTGGGAGTGAGAAGGTAAATGTGTGCTGTGGTTTTGTGTTTCTTTCTTCACACCAGAGCGTAATAAACAACAGATTTCTGCTCATGAATCAATGAAGTCTATCTGTTTTAATGAGAATCAGGTCATTTTTCCAAACAAGTGAAGGGTTATTGACAAACTCTGATGAGAACGCACAGTTCAGGGTTTTTAAATGTCTCCAGGAGAGCACATATTTCTCCCTCAGTGTCATTAACAAATAATAAACCTCATGCTTAAGGACACTAGATACGAAGGGTTCTGCATTCTGATATTTCTGATCTCAAAGGAATAGTTTAACATTTTTGCAAAGTACTTTTTTTCCTTTGTTGCTAAAGTTTGAGAATATGAAACATTTCTTCAACCCGTGCATTAAATTCAAGACCATAGCAAGTCAGCCTAGAGTGGTATATGTACCTGAAATGGGCCAAAAGGTAACCTGGCTCTGTGCAAATGAGACTTAAATGTGTTGATAGCAGAACTGAAATTGATCAATTAAATTCCTGTTATCTAATTGACAACTTTCTTTGAACATTTTTAGTCATAGTCTGATAAAAACCCAAATTCCTCTGATTGTTGCATCTTAAAATGGGATGTTTTTTTTTCTTCTATGTGACTTTTCCCTCCATTTATGTAAATCCTGGACCTCATTTGCGGCTTCAGAAATTGTTTTTCTCACAGCAAATCTTGTCTTTTCTGTACGTTGTTTCTCCAGGTGGATTTTGAGGTAACTATCCCAGGTGAGGGCAAGGACCGGATCTTCAAGGTGTCCATCCGTTGGCTGGCCAAAGTGTCATGGCGCCTGCTGCAGGAGACTCTGGTCAGCGGGCGGCTGCAGGTCCCCCTCGACTCGGTTCAAGCCCTGGATGTGGCCATGCGCCACCTGGCCTCTATGAGGTACTACAAGAGGGGGGTAGAAATGAACCTCAGCCCTAATTCCCCACACTTCTCTGCATGTCTGTCCTGGATTGTAAATTCATTTCTTGCCAAGTTAATTTTGTTGTTGGCATGATTACCGAGCAGCCAAGCAAGGTGAGCCGGGATGTTGCATTCACTTGCATCAGACTATCATAGCTCCAGGGGTCAGCGCCACTGAACAAAAGATGCTTGTTAGCTGAGACCTGTGTGAAAGTGTCCACTGAACAATGCTGAGCAGATGGAATAATGATAACTGGCTTAAGGACTTGACCTGAAAATGGAGAAAATAAGACGACCTCAAGCCAAGAAAGAAGTCACTTCAGGCAGCATGACGTTTCAGATGTTTTCACCTCTTTCAGTTTAAAGTTCTGTTTCACTAACACAAAGACCTCCAACATGAGACATCAGTTTTACTGGACGTGAATCACGCTGAGGTCATGCTTGAACTCCTGTTGACTCATTTTGCACATTCATCATTTTCACTTCCTTCCCGTCAGGTACACTCCCGTCGGCCGCTCGTTTTTCTCCCCACCTGAGGGATACTACCACCCGCTGGGTGGGGGGAGGGAGGTCTGGTTTGGCTTCCACCAGTCTGTGCGCCCCGCCATGTGGAAGATGATGCTAAACATTGATGGTGAGTCACTGAGAATAAGCTCACCCCAGCGTCTGTAGTCCGGCAGTGATCTCATGGTGTTTTCCTGACATTGTATGACTAGACAGAAACCGTGGGACATAAATGATGAAAAACTTTATGACCGAAGGGATTTTGAACATTTTGTCACTTAAATGACTTACAAAGATGATCTGAAGAATAAAGATGTGCAGCTGCTCCACCTCTGACCTTTGAATTAAAACATAAATGTCTTCAACAGTGAGATAAGGACTCTCAAAGGTTGTTGACGTCTTTTTTTGAGGTCCTTTTCTTTGCCTTGTGTGAACCCATCGCTGCTCTCTGTCTCCCTCTAGTGTCCGCCACGGCCTTCTACAAAGCCCAGCCTGTAATTGAGTTCATGTGTGAGGTTCTGGATATTCGCAATATCGACGAGCAGCCCAAGACTCTCACTGACTCGCAAAGGGTCCGTTTCACCAAGGAGATTAAAGGTGAGCTTCTGCTGTTTGTTATCAGCTACTTTTACCCCAATTACCTTGTGACTCTTTTAAGGCTCTTTTGAGTGTCTCGCTTCAGGGATGACTATCTTTTAGTTTCTGTCTCTACTTACTCATATGTTTCCTCTTTTCTTTTGTTTGTTATTCTCAGGCCTGAAGGTGGAGGTGACCCACTGTGGCCAAATGAAGAGGAAGTATCGCGTATGCAACGTCACCAGACGACCTGCCAGCCACCAGACGTACGTACAGCACCCACACCTCACTGAATCCCATCATATGACATTATTTGGCCAGAAAATTGTTCCAAAGCTGGCCGTGCAGACTTGAATTAACATTTTACCACAGAGATAGCTTTGCTGCTTGTTTGTTTTGACCAAACAGTTCCAGGAACTGCAGAGCCACAAGAACAGATTTCAGAGAAGAAGATTCAAATGAAGAAAATCCCCTCTACTGTGCATTCCTGCTTGAGCTTTCACCACATTTAAGACCCATAAAGATGCAACAGATGACAACAGTGCCATGTTTAATGATCGAGGCTGACATTTGAAAATGCAAATTATACATAGTACGAGGAAACAAAAAGGCCTCTGTTGTCTCTGAGGTTACCGGTGCATAATGTTTAAATAAATGAATGTATTAAAAAGATACTCAGAACTACTGAACAGCTGTCCAGGGTTCATTCTACATTCTAAAAAGTAGGGTATGGAAAAGTATAGAAATTGCAACTGTGTAGTAACCCTGGTTGTCCATGTTTCCACACTTGACAAGCGTCAAATGGATATTTATTTATGCTGAAATTTAGTCTTATTTTCATTTTTTCCACCTCCTTTTTCTCTCTGCATTAAATCTCTTGTGCTATACCTCCTTAAATCTCCTTTTACCTGACTCTCCTTTTGCGCCGGGAACTAAATGAAAACTTAGTTCCTGCATGTTAGTTTCTTATTTCTTAGCCCTCCTGCAGAGTTCTAGTGCTGAAAACTCCCCTCATGATGGGAACAAAGGCTCTTCTTATTTGATAATAGTATTCATCTTTATTTTATCCAAAATGATTCAATTTTAAGTGCAAAAATGAATTTGGCAAATTGTAGCTTGACAGAATATTAGAACTGCTTGACTTCAGTTTGATTTCCGCTGACTAAAGGTGCTCTTGGTACATTTTTCAGAGTCTGATTTGTTTTGATACCTCGTGATTTTGGACGGGTTAGTAAAACAGGAGCAGACATTTTGAGGATTGCACCCGCTCAAAGCAAAAGCCTTCTTTTCTTTTCTCTTCCAGCATCATAATCAAACTTCTCTTGTTTCTTGTCGTTTCTCCAGGTTTCCTCTCCAGCTCGAAAGTGGGCAGACAGTAGAATGTACAGTGGCTCAGTACTTCAAGCAGAAGTACAACCTGCAGCTAAAATACCCCCACCTACCCTGTCTACAGGTGGGGCAGGAGCAGAAGCACACCTACCTTCCCCTGGAGGTGAGGAGTCGAACCGTCGCACAAACTAAACATCCAGAATTCGTGAATTTGGTTAACTGATGTGCTCTGTTTGCGCTCTTTCTCCAGGTGTGCAACATTGTAGCAGGCCAGCGATGCATCAAGAAGCTGACAGATAATCAGACCTCCACTATGATCAAAGCCACAGCCCGCTCTGCACCCGACAGACAAGAGGAGATCAGCAGGCTGGTGAGTTGAGGAGACACGTTGTGATTGGAGGCCTGAGACAGTATTTGGGAATGAGTGATGTGATCTATAACCCTTCACTCTCCACAGATGAAGAACGCTAACTTCAACCTGGACCCGTACATCCAGGAGTTTGGGATCAAGGTGAAAGATGACATGGCTGAGGTGACGGGCAGGGTGCTTCCAGCTCCGATCCTGCAGTACGGAGGACGGGTAATTAGTCTTTTAATATTTAAAAAAAAACTCTATCAAAGTTTTCAGATCAAAAATCTTGCGGTTGCATTTTCTCACACACAGTAGTGAGCATGTTTAGCCGAGAACCTGACCTGATTTGGTTCAAATTATGGCTCCTCTGATCCTCTCCTCCGTAGAACCGTGCCATAGCTACCCCCAACCAGGGAGTGTGGGACATGAGAGGGAAGCAATTTTACAACGGTATCGAGATCAAAGTGTGGGCGATTGCCTGTTTTGCCCCCCAGAAACAGTGCAGAGAGGAGGTGCTGAAGTAAGTACAAACGAATAGTCATGGTGTGAATTAATTTTTGTGGGGAATTAAATCAGTTTTTTTTTTGACACTCATAGGCTTTTTTGCATTTGATAGAGGCAAGTCATGAAATCCACCATCAGTTTGAGATAAGATAGATTTGCTCTGAAAATATAGCCTGAAATATGAGAACACAAAGATTGTAAAATAGACATGAAACATCAAAACACAGAAACAGCAGTGCCTGAAAAGGAATAATAATGATGATTTCAGCAACAAGCACAACATTGACAGTAGTGATGGCATTCAAACAGTGAGGCAGTAAAAATCTGATCACACCAGATAATGAGTTTTAAAGTAATTCAACTGCAGTTAGCATATGTGATTTAAAATATCCCAACGATAAGGTAATGATACGGTGCAAAAACAAAACTGTAAATGTGTGAAATGTTCGCATCATTCTGTTTATTTAGTCTTAACTTCTCTGATTCCTCTACAGAAACTTTACAGACCAGTTACGTAAAATTTCCAAGGATGCTGGGATGCCAATTCAGGGCCAGCCTTGCTTCTGTAAATACGCCCAGGGAGCAGACAGCGTGGAGCCCATGTTCAGACACCTGAAGAACACCTACTCTGGGCTGCAGCTCATCATCGTCATTCTGCCGGGAAAAACTCCCGTTTATGGTTGGAATTAATTTTTGTCATCCTAAATTACTGTGTTATCGATTTTGCCCTGACTCTAAGCTCAGAGCTGCGTCAAACTGGTGTGTAAAAACAGAGCCCCAAAAAAGCATCCAGAGACAAAAACCTGCTGTTGAATATCATTTTAGAGAAACATCAGTATTTTAATGTTTTATTTCAAACTGTCCTCTATAGCTGAAGTGAAGCGCGTGGGAGACACCCTCTTAGGCATGGCCACGCAGTGTGTGCAGGTGAAGAATGTGGTGAAGACGTCACCTCAGACCCTCTCTAACCTCTGCCTCAAGATCAACGTGAAGCTGGGAGGCATCAACAACATCCTGGTGCCTCATCAACGGTTGGTTTGTTTATCATCCCACATCCCACAGCTCTCTCATTAAAGTGTACTCGGCTTGTGTTTGCATCATCTTGTGTGTGGTGCCTTCAGCAGCTGAACTGCATATTGTGTATCCATCTGCTTCAGTATTACAGTCTGTGATAAGGATACAACTCCCCTCATAGGAACCCTGCGCTGCCTTTTATGCGCAGTTGTAATTTGCATGTCCGCCTCGTTTCGCCCTCTCCCAGGTCAGCGGTGTTCCAGCAGCCGGTTATCTTCCTGGGAGCAGACGTCACGCACCCCCCTGCTGGAGATGGCAAGAAGCCCTCCATTACTGCTGTAAGTCTTCGCAGTAACACCTTCATTAAACGCCACCTTGAATGCAAACTCGGGAAATTAGAATGAATGTGAAACTCGTGCACGTCACAGGGTGTGAAGGTTAAGCTCATGAGAGGGCGGCGAGCACTGGAGGGCTTTTGAAGGGCGTTTCTTGTTATTATTTCTGTCACGTTTAACGACCATATTTAACTGATTGATAAAAACAAAATCCAGGAGAATAGTGCAACTGTGCACTGCTGCTTTAGTTTTACTATCTCAAGATAATAGGCTGTAAAAGAAATAATAACAAGTTCAGGTCAGATGGTTTTGTTGCCAGTAACAGACAAGACAGAGTGAGACATAAAAAATACTCTAAAAAGCTTTTAACGAAGCAATAGAATAAAATATTTTCTGAACTCCAAATTTTTTGATGTATAAAATCATATTTAGGTTTAGAGAGAAGTTATGTACTTCACAAAAGTCAGAGTTTTTTGGGCTCTCTGCCTTTATTTTAAAAGGACAGCCATAGAGAGTAAATTTGAGAGGAGAGAGAGAGAGAGACGGGGGGGATGACATTCACCTCGTCATGCTCTGTCTGGGAACTGATCCAGTGACCGGTGTGAAGAGGACTGTAGCCTCTGTCCACAGGGCACCTGCTCTACCAACTGAGCTAAACTGGCAGCCCAGTCTGTGCTATTTTAAGTTTTAATTGATTGTAGAAGCCACTATTAAGAGGCAGGAGAGCTGCTTTTTGTCTATTTTGGTATGTCCGGTATCAATACACTAAAAAGTCAAGGAATTGATGATTATCTTTAACAAAAAAAAGGACTATTATGACTGTAAAGTAGGTTCTTTCCATTAGTGCTGCCTGTGTTTGAAACCAAAAAGCACCAAATCCTTTAGCTCTGTGCCAGCTTGGATACACAGATGGCTAAAAGTGGATCAAAACTATATCAGGGGAACAGACGCCTTTCTGAAAGAATGAATCGTTGCCAGCACGCAGCCATTTTAACTACACTTCTCTTTTTCCGATTCTTTTCAAAGCCGAGCGAACTTTTATAGTCATCTATTTATGAGTTTGCAGTTATGTAAGGCAAGAACTGCTTCAATGAAGTTTGCAAACACATCTACATAGATGTCAGCTCCTACAGCGATGTGTCGGGATGCTCCTTTATTTTTGAGGCAAATCACGAAACAACAGCGACATGTGATTAATGCAGATAACCTGAGGATGTCATCGAAGAGCAAATGCACAGATTTGTGGTTGCCTGGTTACAGTGGCACTGGGTCATAGCGCACAGCGATACTGCTAATAAAGGAGACTGATTCTATAAATAGTATGTTTGAAGGAGGAGAGCTTTAGTAGCTTTTTAATTTGTCACAACATTCAGATATCTGAGTGTCTTTAATCTGTTTGACTGCCAACAACATGTAAGCATGAAAAGAACGGGTGGATGAAAGCTTCAACACAATCTGGGAATTCATAATTTATTCAGGCAGTTTCATGAAAACCATCCTGTCATTAGCTGCAGGTTTATTTACAGCTTTAGTGGCTGTTGTGTAATCTCTGGTATTTCATAACACTTATCAAATCTTTTGGCTGATCACAACATTTCCCCTCCCCACACACCATTTCTTTTCTGTTGCATCGAATAACGATAACTGCCAACACACGCCCAGATGATTTGAAAGACCGCTTGATGAGAACCGTCTGTAAAGATCTGAGAAACATCCGTCCGTTCGATCCACCGAATAAAGCTCCCATAAAAAAAGTAAAAAAAACAGGGAGGAGAAAAAATGATCACCCAGAGAGGAGTCAGTTGGGGATAGAGGGAAACAAATGGCTCATCACTGACTCACGTTCATAAAGGAAATGACGTCAGCCAGCCCCTCGTCCGCCCTTGACCTCAGCTCGCCCGTGGTTGGCTGTGTTGTTGCCTAGCAATTATGACAAGCGCTTGAGTCACACGCAGGGAGGACAGGAGAGGAGAGTGGGCCGGTCTCGGATCGTCCAGACTGAGGAGAAAACCAGAGAGAGATGAGGATTGTGTTGCAGTGGGAAGGTTTGAGAGAAGAAAAATGAAAAAGTGGATGTTGAGCGTCCTGCAGTTCTGGACGATCACCTCTAGGGGGTGCTATTGAACCGGTATACACAAGGAAGAAGTCAACTCATAACAGTGAAGACAAATGAGACCATGGATCATTTTAAGTGTTTCTTGTTGTAAACTTTCGCTCTTGAACATTCATTCCTTTCTTTGTGTGCATGAACAGACTCTTCTAAATGAAGACAGCAGACAGATAGAGTTCATTTACATGATTCCTCTGCGTCTTCATTGTACTTTGATGGATCTCTTTCTATACCCAACAGCACACTTTTATCAATGATGGTAATCGATAACGCTGACAGCATCCCGTTAACCTCTGTTGACCCCTCTCTCCACTCTCTATCAGGTGGTAGGCAGTATGGACGCCCATCCCAGCAGATACTGTGCCACAGTGCGAGTCCAAAGACCCCGGCAGGAGATCATTGAAGATCTGTCTTATATGGTGCGTGAACTGCTCATTCAGTTCTACAAATCGACCCGCTTCAAACCCACCAGGATCATTTTCTACAGAGACGGCGTTCCTGAGGGACAGCTGCCGCAGGTAATATAGGGTCAAAGAACCCCTCACTTCACTTTAAACGCTAAATTCGCATAGTAATAAGTTCCGTCTAACATTGTGTCTGTTTGTAGATTCTCCACTATGAGCTCCTTGCCATCAGAGACGCATGCATCAAGCTGGAGAAGGACTATCAGCCAGGGATCACCTACATTGTGGTGCAGAAACGCCACCACACGCGCCTCTTCTGTGCCGACAAGTCAGAGAGGGTAAACCTCGTTTCATCCGACACGCTTAAAAAACACCCAGCATTAAATGTTCCTTGATAATTCTCATCCTGTGCTGTGTTGATTTTGATAGATTGGGAAGAGTGGGAATATTCCTGCAGGGACAACAGTGGACACCAGCATTACTCACCCCTTTGAGTTTGACTTCTACCTGTGCAGCCATGCAGGCATACAGGTACTAAAAAAAAACACAGACAGCGAGGTTACTGCTCTTCAATTACCACGAGTTTTCTGTGTCCTCATTTGCGTCGTCTCCTCTGTCTCCAGGGAACCAGCCGGCCGTCTCATTACTACGTCTTATGGGACGACAATCGTTTCACGGCTGACGAGTTGCAGATTCTAACCTACCAGTTGTGCCACACTTACGTGCGTTGTACCCGCTCAGTCTCCATCCCTGCGCCAGCCTACTATGCTCGTCTTGTGGCCTTCCGTGCCCGCTACCATCTGGTGGACAAAGAACACGACAGGTTAGTGGGACTCACTTTGATGGGGGGACATAAACCATCTCAGTATTCTGGATTTTTCAAACCTCAGGAGCATCTTGGATATTTTATAACATTTCAAAGAAAGTGCGATTAGCTGCTACTACGTGACAAGATGAAAGTTAAAGGACATCTACAGGCTGAAATGTGTGATGATCGTATTTGTAAAGAACTCCAGCTCAATCCTTCATTGTATTGACAGCCATGAGCCATGTTAGCTGTTTGTGTTTATTTAAAGCCCTGATGTTCTTTTGAATATGAGACGAGATTCGCCTCCAGCTAATGGCACAGTTAACACCGTTTGATCCAGTTTTGATCAGAGCTTCATTTCTGTCTGTCTGTCTGCACAACAAAGGCTGTAACCAGCTTTGATGTCACTGAGGCCTCCGAAGCTTTAACCGTATAAAGAAGATCTGCACTGTTTACCTCTATAATTAAAGTGTTGTTGCTGTTCTTGTTCGGTTGGTGGGTTTGAGTTGCTTCCATATTGCAGATTGGATAAAGCATAACCACGTGACTTAATATCAGGGCCTGACCGGTATGGATTTTTTTGGGGCCAATACCGATTATTGGGGGGGATATCGGATTACCGATTAATCGGACGATTTTTACATTTTTTTATTAAGTTATAAAATATATATATGAAAACTGTAGATATACTGTAGACTACTGCTCTTCGTGCCGACAGGAAGACCGACTGATCAAACTCAGACCAGAAAAGCGTTTTCAGACACTCAGCGTTTTTTTTGCAGTATGAATGTAACCCTTTTCTTCGCATTTCATTTCTGAAAATATCGGCGAAAATCAGCGAGAATTGGCCAATTACCGATTAGTCTCAAACAGGCTAAAACTGGCAGATTTAAGCGGCATGCCGATAAATCGGTCGGGCCCTACTTAATATGGCCTACTGTGACAGTGCATGAATGCCCACAGTGGAAAAAGTATTATTAGAATTAAAAAGAGTCTCAACAGAATAAAATAAACAATTAAAGTAAATAAAATAATTAGGATTATGTTGGTTCGAAGTCCTGAAGGGAGTATGGGCAACAGAGGTGCTGGTAAAATATATCAGCTATAATAGATTTGTCTTTCTTGTGTCCCCACAGTGGAGAGGGCAGTCATGTGTCTGGTCAGAGTAACGGTCGGGACCCTCAAGCGCTGGCCAAAGCTGTCCAGATCCACCACGACACCCTGAGGACCATGTACTTCGCCTGAGCTCCACCAACCATCACCACCATCGATCCCTCCCACCTCATTTCTACCTGAGTGGGCACACGGCCCGCCACCTTCACCACCTCATCCCCATCCCTTCTCCCCAATGACTGCCCACCACACATCCTCCACAGGCCTGTCAGTCATTGACCCAAATCCAAGAAACGTAAGGCCCTTCACCTGTAAAACACAGGCAGACTCTACAGCCTCATGCACTCAAAGGTTATGAATATTATTATTATTATTGTCATTTAATTGTTTTTACTTTACCAGGAGTATTGTTCTTTTTACGTTGACTTTTTAAAACTTGGGTATTATTATGTAATTGTATTGTACGCTACCTTCACACTCCTGTGTATGTAAGTATGCAATACGGATGGGAGGAAAACAGGCGACAAAAAATGAAAAAAAAAATCACAAAAAACTTTTTTAACTGCCACCACGATGCTGCCTCTTCACCCATCCGAATGCCGGATGCCAGTGTTTCAAACCCCCTGAGTATGGGGATCCTCCAGAGGGTGGTACTGGGCACGCACACTTACATGTATCATTTTGACGTCGTCATGAACTACATTCATGTTTTTAATGTTTTTTGAATAATGTTATTTTTTTAAAACAGCCTTGAGGAGTCTGAGGTATGGTACATTAGCACTTAGTGTTAGCATTGTAGGTGCCACCAGTCCTGCACATAAGAGTTTGTTAGTCCATTCTGGTCTTTATACTAGCAGAGACAGAAAGAGCAGGTGTAGCATATCATAGATACAGGAGAAAAGTCCTGCCGCACTCTCTGTGCTGGTCGGCCAGTCCCTTAGAGATTTAGCCTATAGTGGCAAGCTTAGCATAACAATAGAGGGACCATTTGCATAGAGTGTATCAAATATACTTGCACCCCATGCACCTAAACCAGCATTATTAACCAGCCAAAAGTGATGCCAACCAATGGAAAAGGGGCACTTAAACCGGAAGATAATCTTTTACTTCTGTATCGTCGCTCTTTGAGGATTTATAAGGCACTTTTTTTTATTTACTTATTGATTTTTTTTTTTTCCTCCAAAATGGCGAGAATTGTCTGTCATGAGGCTACACACAGCTTCCTTTGAAGTTTTCACATCCACACACTTGCATAGATTTCAGAACAAAGAGGTAACTAAGGCAATAGGCAAGGTCAACACACCTCTGTAGATTTGAATGCAGGCGAGTAAAAGTCTGTGATCACTTAAGTGCTGCAAAGCTGAACTTGCATTCAGCAAATTGACCTTGCTCTGATCGTTCTGCACATTCCAACATGTATAAGTGGAGTTGACGCCACATTGTGCACTCTAAACTTCCACCCACGCACTTCTTCGTGTACCTACCTATCCACACTTGGACCCATTTTTACTCAAAGCTCTTCCCTCAGCAGGCATTAACAGCTCATCACCTGGTAAGCAGAAGCACATACACCCCCGCCCTCAGTCTCTTTGGAAGCATGTAGAGACCTTTTCTGATGCACTTGTTTCCCTATTTCTCTCCAAGCCAAACACTTATCACCCTCCTCATCTTCACCTTCTATTCTTGCTGTCACTCTGACTTTGAACATCACAAACCTACAGCATCCAGAGCTCCAATCCCCTAACTTGTGTTAGCCAATCCCTATTGGTGCTCTGTGTGCATGGGCGGCACAGATAGGGGATTGCTACAATGGACAGGGTGGGCCACTATTACTACTACTTCTCATGCCCTGCCTTTACATTAAGTCACTTTCTGGATTTATGAAAAATAATGCATGTAATTATTTTTATGACTGGATATTCTGAGCCACCTTATTTTGGTTTTCTTAGAGGTAGGAGCCTCGCGCTCACCACTGCCTGTCAGTCGTTTTGCCTCGATTGTGTAATGGTTATGAAAACTGCTTTTTTTCTTTGTCATTATTATTAATATTATTATGAATATTGTGACTAGTGTCAGAGTGTATCCTCAAGAGGGCACTGTGGAGACTGTCTCAAAATTCCACCTCAGTTGCCCTTAAAGCGCCTCAAATCTCGTCTGATGGTCAAAGCCCCTTTGAGCTAAAAGGGATCAAAAGATAAGAAAGAGATCGGATGAGTTTGATTTTTAAATCATGTTTATTAACTCGCATAATCGATATGCCTTTGTACACCGTTTTACTGATCCTTCATTGTGTCCAAGGTGATTTGTATATATAAATATATGATATTAACCTGTTATGTATTTTGGCTCACCAGTTGCCGGGCCTTTCACAGTTGGGGTCAGTGTTTTATCCTCATTCTGTGCTTTAAAAAAAAAAGGAAAAAAATCAGTCTGGGGGGCATTTCCCAGCACCACTGAAACCAGATGCAGTTCTTCATTCACTGAAGCCACAAAGCACCTTGCAAATGGGGGAGACAAAAATGACAGTCACCCTGAAAAATGCATCATGTGGACACTGGAGAGTCCACTCCTCTCCACACAGCCTCACTGTCTGACTAAGCAATATTGAAGCCACTGATCAAGAACAGTCCTTGTCATAGCACTTCCCAATAGATTTGAATGAAAGGACATGGAAGCATATTATTTTGGCTCTGTATGTGATAGTATGGGAACTCTGTTGGGGCGGGTTATTTTTTAAAGAAAATAAAATTGTTTTTTATTAATACTCTTGTTGTGTTACCTTCTTCTTGATTTAAGACTATGTGATTGTTTGTGACTTAATTTTATCATAAGAATGAAATTAACTGAATCATTTAAAAGGCGAGATGGAGTCCTGTACTTGTTGCTTTATTATCACTATAACCAACAATGAGATGACGCTGGAATAGTACAAATATATGGTGGCCGAGAACCGCCACTGCTGCAAATAAAAAATAATGCAAAAAAAAAAAAGGCACAAACGAAGTTACTGATGAAAAAAAAAAAAAAAGCCCGCTACAAACAAAAAAAGAGGCGGTGAAGATAAATTAAAAAAAAAGCTGCAATGAAAGTTAATAACGTTCAAAAAAAAAAGTGGCAATGCAATAAAAAACAAACAAAAAAAGCCACAACGGAAGTTACTGATGCAAAAGAAAAAATAAACCGAAGCCTGCTGCAAATAAAAAAAGAAATGATGCAGATGAAACAACAGAAATTAACGACGTAAAAAAAGTGGTGATGGATTAAAAAAAAAAAAAAAAAAGTTAGTCACTGCGAAAATAAAAAGATGCAAATAAAAAAAAGCCACAATGGAAGTGAGCTGCCGGGGATCAATAATGATGATGCACCGATGTTTTACGATCCATGCACAGAAGACGACGGCGAGAAGATGAGCAAAGAAGTAAGTGGAAAGGTTATTGTTTCATTTCGCTTCATAACTTTTCAATGTGTCATAAGGGCAGGCCATGTAGCGCCTGAGTCGATCTGAAGTTGAACTGGAGGATGCCCGGGTAGTATTAGTTCTAGTTCAACTTCATATCAACTCAGGTGCTACATGGCCTAACCAAACGACACAGTGGAAAGCAAACGAAGCGAAATTAAACAATAACCTTTTCATTTTCTTCTTTGCTTGTCCTCTCGCCATCGTCTTCTGTGCTTAGATCGTAAAACACCAGTGTATCATCATTATTGGTCCCCGGCAGCTCACTTCTGTTGTGGCTTTTTTTTATTTGCATCCTTTTATTTTCGCAGTGAGTAACTTTTTTTTTTATCCATTGCCACTTTTTTTGTGTCATTGCCTTCCGTTGTTTTTTTTTATCAGCACATTTCTTTTTTTATTTGCAGCGGTCTTCGGTTTCTTTTTCTTTTTTTTTATTTGCAGCAGGCCTTGGTTTCTTTTCTTTTCCTTTTTTGTATTAGTAACTTCCGTTGTGACTTCTTTTTTCTTTTTTGCATTCTTTTTTCATTTGTAGCAGGCCTCGGTTTCTTTCTCTCTTTTTTTTGCATTAGTAACTTCTGTTGTGACTTCTTTTTTTGCATTCTTTTTTTACTTGCACCAGTGGCGGTTCTCGGCCACCTTACAAAGGGGATCAATCCATTTGTTTATTGATGATATTGTAAACGTAGGGTTACCTTAAGGCGGAGCTGAGTCTTCTGACGTCTGCTGACACTGAGCCCACCTCTTCCTGTCGGTGTCAGAAAGGCAACTTCACCATATTTAGCAGGCTCGCCGAAGGAGCCCAGCAGCACAGTTGATCTGTCAACCCAGGCTGAAAAAACTTGACACTTGTCGGCGGAGACCTGACGGCGTTGACAGCTTCATATTCGCACCGGGATCCGAACTACAGAGGACGACGTCGTTGTGATGTGACGCTGAGCGCGCGACGACGAGTCCAACGGCTGTTTTTTTGACGTGAATAAAGTAACCGTCGTCTTGTCAGGATTCCAACTAACAGCCGATAGCTAGCCAGATAGCTCGTTATTTTAGCCACTCCGACGCCCGTTTTTTCGATAAAACGAATTTATGTCGCCTTTATTCGTGTTCATGTGTCGTAAGGTGTTCGTTTGGACTCGGTGAATCCGCTGCTATGATATCCTGACAGCTCCTGCCGTCTGTTCCTGTCACTTTTCTAAGCCTGGCTAGCAAGCTAACTTGGCTAACTAGCAGGTTTTCACTGCCATAGAGCAACCAGTAGCTCTCTCTCTCTGTATCTTTCTCTCTTTCTCGCCGTGGAAGTGGAATCTTATTGGATAGTTTGACCGTGAGCCCAGCGACAGTGTGTGGGGGTCACTAAGGATCCCCGACAGCACTGAAGGACCCCCCCTCCTCCCCTCTTCGACAGCCTGCAAGTAGAGGAGCTAAAGGAGACCAAGGCGCTTGGCCATTCAGCGGTGCTGAGGCGGCGCACTGCCGGAGGAGACACCGGGTTGAACGGAGGAGGAAGAGTCCCCAAACCTTTGGCAACTGTGATCCGGGTAGAGAACCGGGCAGGGACCTCATGAATGGAAATCGGAACTACAGGTAAACTCGAATGAACTTGCTGACAGGGGTGATATCAGCTGTGTCTGTCGGTTTAGGTGTGAAACAGTGTCAGAAACTCTGTCATCCTCCTCCTTAGATGTTGTTATCCTGAAAATATTAAGATATAATCAATACATGGAATTAATTGACCGGAATCCATCTCTTGTAATCGTCACCTCATGAGTACGCATTCACGTGGTTCCTTAATAATCTGAAAAATTAGTTTCCAAGTGGAAAAATGGGTGTAGAAATGTAATGTTGCTCTCAAAATGTGGATATTTTGAGTTCTTATTTTGTGGAAACATTAAACGCTGGTTTGGTCCACATTTTTTGTTAAAACTGAACAGTTTTTGATCATTTGTCAGCTGCTACATCAGCATTTACTACATTAGTTGAAGGACTATTATAAATATTACGACAATGACATAACAAAGTCGAAAGAAACATGAGAATTCCAAGCATCCCGGGAGCACGTAAACGCACCGTGAACTGAAGAACCTGTCACTGATGCTCTGCTGTTGTTTTGCCTGAATTTGACATGGGTTAGAGTAAATAGATACAAGCCCAATAACACACCTCTTCATTTGTGAGTATATTAGATTATATCTTCTGTTGTAATAATCTTATAATTCTTCATACTTAAGGGGAAATCTTGTCTTACTGACTGTGAAGTCATTAACATCATCAGCCAGGTGTGGGCTTAATAAGCAGGTGTCGAGGTTAATCCTGGTATTCCCCTGTATAGTTGTTCTCTCCCACACTCTGTGCACTTAGTTAACAGCAATAGTAGTAATGGTGTAAAATAAGATGTTGTGTGCGCTCAAAGCTTGCCACTTGAGAACCTGTGTCACAGGGTGTTTTCTGTCCCTTCAAGGACTCGGATCTTGGTCACCCACTGACCCCTGACTGACCTCAGTATATTTAGCAGTGTCTCTCCCAGAGTACACAATGGTATACCATTTTTTTTGGAAGTTTGCCTCTGCATCAATAATGTATTTATGGCTGTTTTATAATTAATTGGTAATTTTCAGGAGCATTCACAGGATCCTTATGTTAATGAACCTCTGGTATCCACATCAGGGGCTTGTGGAGTACTGCATGAAATTGTCAAACCCTATCATGATCATTTAAGTACTTCTTTTTGCTCACAGCGGCAGTTTAACAGTCCAGACTGCCTGGCATTGTCTCAGGTGTAACGGAAGCTTTCCACTTCATGCCACTATAAACTGAATGCATGGTATCAGCCAGTGACACATGATACTCACCCCCCTTTTCTTAAGAGGATCTCCCTTCCTGCTGCCTACTATCTCAGTTACAACCTAGCCCTTCTTAGTTGGGCCCCCCTACAAGCTGATAAAGCATTAAGGAAATCAAGGTGTTTTCCAAGTAATCCAGTACCTACAGTAGGTGACATCTGGTGTGCTCACAGGGGACACATATGACCAAATATCATGGTGTTGCAGAAACTTTCGTTACTCCTTCACTATTCTAGTTTGATAATGTGTTTTATATCCTTTGAATAACACAGTGCGCTTTGGTCATTTCATCTTTAAAGCTAACATGTTTCATTGACAGACACTTCATTGGCAGCTGTTTTGTTTATTTATTTTTTCTTTTTCAAAATCCTCCAGACTCAGGATAACCTGCATTGTTCCATAGGGATGCACTGATTGCACCCCACACATCTGTCTCTTATGATCAAGCCTTCTGCAGGAGTGTTTTGATAGATCAGTGCCTTATTTAAAAAAGTTTATTGTGCCGTGAAACAAACTTTATTTTTCCTTAGCTAGGTCAGTTTTGCCTGGATGCTGATGGACACATCACAGCTTCACTGCTCACTCTTTAGCTTGTGTGCTTGTCTGTTTATTTTTGTAAGGAAGTGATAGGCAGAGCACTCTATAGCAAAAACAATTCCAGGTGTAGCCCACTGTAACTTTCAACTTCCTCAATTATCTCTGAACTTTGAGACACATGCAGACCAAACCTCTGGCGTGCCTCACATAAAGTATGTAATGAAGTTTGGCTGTTGCTTTTATTTTTAAGACAGTTATGTGTTGGCATCTGTTTGTGCAGACAATGACTTATTAAGTGCATGGTTTGTCATACATATTGTTTGTGTAGGTTGACAGTCATACCGGTAACAAACCTGTGAGTCTGATACTGCTTGAATGATTAAAAGGGGTTGTCCATCAGTCTGTCCTGAAATGCTCAGAAACTGACTCACTCCTCTCCTTGTTAGATTTAGGGGCAGCAGTGTGTGGCATGGAAACCATGGCTCTGGAGAGCTTAGCACCAGGGATATAATGAGTGCCAGGCTTTGGAGCCTAGAGCAAATCAAATCCATTTTGATGTGTTAACCCCGGGGTATGCTCGCAAACAGCTTGTCACTTCATATTGTCATGACGCTATATTACGGCTACCTTGCAAAGCTAGATTGTAGTCCTGATCTTGTGGACGCCTCATCGTCAAACACAACCTTAAATAGAGAGATTAATATTTTCTGACATTTTGTTTTTTTTTACTTCAATACAGATAACTTTTGCTGGTTTCAGTGGCAGTCAGGCAGGCCTTTAAAGGAATCATTGACATTTGGGATAATGCATTTATTCACTTTCTTGCTGAGAGGCAGAGGGGAGGATCAATACTACTCTTATATCTGTCCTTTTAACGATAAGCTTCAGCATGCAGCTGGTTAGCTTAGTTTAGCTGAAAGACCATTAGGACCAATGATAATCGGGTTTGATTGTATTAAATATCATTGAATGTCCATAAAAAGCCAATTTATCACTGGAATGACCCAAACAGAAGACTACCCGGACCATGAGAAGACTACCCTCCCCATACACACACATACACACATTCCAAGACTGAATTTTAGAAAATGACTGAATCTTCTTTGTATTTCAAAGAAATGAAAACTATTTTGACTGTTGGACAGTTGTTTAATGTCTCAGCTGCATTTTCATCACTTCTCTTTGAAAAATGTCATGACTGTTCCTCAGGTATCATGTAGCTTGTCCTGCTTTTGCGCCACTTTCTCAGATGTTCATTTTATAGGAAAAGAAATTCCATTATTTTATTACGGTTAATGTGTTCAGTAGGGCCTGACCGATATAGATTTTTTGGGGCCTCCACATCTTAACTCACGTTACACATTTCTCGATCACGTAATGTGTACTGTTGTTTATTCTACCGTTACTGGCACGGCTAACAGTGTAGCAAGGCTAATAGCAGATGGCTAACTCTAACTTTAGCTCGCATATTACATGGTGCTTCACCGTTAACTCGGCGTGACCGAGACCAGCACAGCGGGGAACAGCGCGAAGTGGGTTGAACTGAAACTGGTTGACTCTTTGTGTATTTCACAAATTAGTTAATTTACCGTTGAGGCGGACCACTCTCCTCCGTGCGTCCCTGAGCTGCCTGCTTCAGATCCGTCACTCTGCTGTGCTGTGAGGTAGTTAGTGGATGAAGATTGTCATGAGGTCGCTGCGCCATCTACAGGATAAGTCGGGGAACTTTTCAAATGTCTGAACATTTTCGAAGTGAAACCGAATCTTATTCTCCGCATTTTATTTCTGAAAATATCGGCGAGTTTTGGCCGATAACTGATTAGTCTCCAAGGGGCTAAAATTGGCCCATTTAATTGGCTCGCTGATAAATCAGTCGGACCTAGTTTAAAGATTGAATAGAATATTGTATGGACTTCTTATGAGTGTCTCCTACTCTGTTCAGCATCAACCATTAACATGGGATCATCAGTTTTGAGAGGTAGCATCAATAAAACCCCTTGGTGGTGGTATTAATTCTACAGAAAAACACGAAAAACATAATTTGCATATTTCGAGGGGCTGCTTACAGGAAGAAACTGAGATAGAAGGGGGCTTCCCAGTCTTCCACCTGTCTAGTCACACTGGGTTAGCAGGTGGGATTTGAGTTGGCTGGAGATGACTCACATTCATATGAAAGGTTCCCCTCACACAACACAAAGGAAGAAGGGTAATGTTCTCACTGAGGGAGTCTTAAGGTCGGCGGTACATGAGCTGACTTTCTGCTGTTTGGCGTTGATGTCTTACTCCAAGTCTTTCTCCCCATTCCTTCCCACCCTCTGTTTCTCACACTCCTGGTTTTTCCCGCTCTTTTTTCGATTCACAGACAGTCGCCACAGCTCCCCCTCTTCCCCTCCCTGGTTACGGCTTCTGTTTCCCTCTCTTAGTCTCAGTGGGAAACTCTGCCTCTCCTGTCACTCTCCTTGTAGGCTGGTTCTCTGTGGATTTTGCACTGACAGTGGGGTCTGCTTTGAGGGAGGGCTTAGTACTTGATTTGCAGTCTTCGCCTATAACACTCAGTTCATTCAGGCAGCTCATTGACAATGGACAACCCCCCATCACAACCCCAGCCACCCATAAGGCTAACCATGTGCATATTGTTGTTGGTTTCTATGGAGAATGCAGTTTGCCGTTGCTCCTTCGGCGTGGCTCCTCATTGTATCACACAGAGATTTACCCTTTAGACTGAGGAAAATTCAAAACCCGACCTAACAACCCCTCCTCAAAATTTATCTTGTATTTGCTTTTGTGTTTAGATGATATATTTTGATAAAGATTGGCCCAAAGTTGGCAAGTAGAGAACCAAAGAGGTATATTTTAGAAGAAGCGCTGTTTGAAAGTTAAAGCAGAAATAAAAAATCATCTGAAGCATTTTGAACAACAAGAATTATTTTGCAGCTGTGTTTATTTTAGAATAAAGATTCCTGTTTCCAGACTTTCTCAGTCAGGCAAAAAAAGGTTTAGTCCCTTTGGCATCCTTGTTTCTTTAGGTGCCAAGGTGTTTCTCGCTAGTTGTAGTTATTCAAAATGTGACTTTGTAAAGAAATCTGAGATAGCCGTGTTGTGACTATTTTGGATTTTGAAATCTAGGATTTGAAACTGTACTGGTGCAGCTTGGCACTAAATCACCACTGGTGCGTCACTTGACCCTGATTTTTTTGCCATTTGGCTACATGTTTCCTCACTGTGAAGCAAACAAAGGTTTCAGCTCAGCTTATTTTCTGAAGCCGTGTTCAGACTCCTCTGGATAAGAGCGGAGTGTTGCTGTGTGTTTGCATGTTGATGTCCCAGACTGAGAGGCCGCTTCTCTGGCTGACACATGCTGCTGTCATGGAGTGGGACTCACAGAAAAACTCCTGTGAGTGGGCTGGGTAGACAGAAGGAAAAGTTGAGGGATGGTGTGTGTGTGTGTGGTTTCGGAAAGGGGGCACACAGAGGAGTGGGAGGAGAAGGAGAGGGAGGAAGGCAGGCTGTAGGTTGTGATGTGTCACAGAGATTAGAAGCCAGAGCAGCCAGACCACACGTCTTTTCCTCCTCCTCCTCCTCCTGGTCCTGCTTTTTCCTACCCGAGATCTGTTTTTGGGGGGAACTGCAAGGGGCTCGTTTTTGGGGGGGAGTTACGGACAGGAAGTGTGGGAATTGGAAAGGGAAGTTTCTGTGTTTTGTTTGGGGGCTCACTAGAGGACGGTGAAGTCTGTTTGTCATTGGTAGAGGAAGACTGCAATCGTCTCTTCTTTATTTTATCCATCCAGATGTGACAATCGTTCAAAGAGAGTTTAAACCGACAGCTTCTCCCATGTAAAGGGATAATAAGTGATGCTCCTCCACAGAAATCTGTAGTATCTTTCTATTGACTTACATTGTTCTCTGCGTATTGTTACAAAACTGTTGCTGTGTTTTACTGCTGTATTTTTTGGGGTCAGAGTTTTAACAGGAACAAACAGAAACCAGATGGAAACATTTTTAGGGGCCAGTGAGTGAGTGAGCGAATGGCTGCCTCTTTGCCAAAATACAAGTGCCTCCAATGAGCACATCATTCAGTTTTGTCAATATCGAATTTCTTGCCTGACAAGAAGTGGTACAATCCTCCTGTGATGTTTAAAGCAAAAGAAAAGACAAACTGTGTACTGCAAACTTTTAAGTTCAGATTGATTTAGACTTTTTTGTATGTGCCTGTAACAAAAAAAAAACGCAATGGGAAAAAAATGAGAGATTAGCTGAAGCCTAAGGAAGAGCTATTTTTGAGATGATTTGGAAATAGCTGCTAGGGAAGAGGACTACACAAAGACACAGGGATGTTGTCTGTGAAGAATAGAAAGCTTTTTGAGTTTTTGATCATTCTAACCCTCAATTTCCACTGCATCTGTAATGGCTACGAAAAGCTGATCGTAACCATTCAAGTTAATGTGTCAATCTCCACTGGTTTCTTTCCATTCTGCTGACTCTGCAGCTGATTGCAAGAGTTCTGTTTTTTCCGGAAGTGAGAGGGTCCTTCATTTCGTCGGGTTGGTGACTGAGATTTAAGCAACAAATGCTGCAAAACTTGTTCGTTGGTTGGCAAAGTTTCCAAAGTGAGATTCAAGTGTGTTGGAGTAATCCCAAAGTGAGACTACGGTGTACGCTGCTCTAAATGGTCCGTTCAAAAAGTCACATGAAAAGGACACTAGAGAGCCACGAGACTTGATCAGTTTGTGACATCACTGGTTGGTAAATCTTGTAGAAAATTGTAATGCCTAAAAAATTCTGCTCTTGTTGTTGTTGTTGTGGGGAATATTCTAGATGTCTGTTCAGATTCAGTGTTCAAAACATAAAGCTATATTTTATAATATGGTATTTCAACTAAAAAAATACGCCACTAAACTCAATAACCAAGACTTTGAAGCATGGCAGCTGTGGAGAAGGCTTCTGGAGAACTGGCCAGTCTGGGAAAGGAGAGTCTTATAGAGACGGTTGCTAAAATGAAGAGCTACAGACAGAAGCTGAAATGATGATTAGGGACTGACTGAACTAATCAGTCTGTTTGTATTGCCAGTATTTTGCTCATTCACAGCCCTAACAAATTGTGACACTACACAAAGATTGCCTCTTTAGGGCGATGCCATGGCAGTTGCAGCAGTGAGTTAAGCCCATTATCTTGTTTTGGTTCAAATTAATTTATTAGGGCGCATGTAAACTCTCAGAGTGACAGTCATCCTGCCCAAGTCAACATTATAAGTCAACAACCCTCTGGCCCCCGTCCACTGTTCCACTGGCAACACTGTAAGAACAGAAGGCCCCATTTAACCTGCTTAAGTAGAATCTCTAAGTCAGTCTAACAGAGTCAGGACTTTGTATGTGTGTGTGTGAGCGTATATGTGTTTACCCATCCATCACTTCCCTGTCAGGCCTTCCATAATGCCACCAAGTCAAAAGTAGCTTCTCACCACGGCTGATTCCGAACCCCCACCTCACTCTCCGCTCACCCCTCTGCGGCGGCTGCTGCTGCTGAAAATATTTCTCTGTCATGAACTCTATCTCGCTCTCATCCTGCACTCTGTCACTGTGCCTCAGGTTTGTCCTGAGGGGGATTTCAGCATTTTTACATGTTGTTGTGACTGACCAGGCTCTCATCAGCCTGTCAGCATGCGGCTGCCTGCCGGTGTTTATCTTAGGCGGAGAGTGGCATCGGCTCCCATGGGTTCTATGTACAATACCCTTAAGGTTGTGATGAGGATCGGAAAGGCAGAGTCTGAATCAGTGTGATGTGTGTCAATCCCTGCGCGCCAACTACCAATCACTCTCTGTAAGTCCGTATGTGTGGGTGAGTGTGTGTTTCTACGTTCTGCCTGCTGTGACTGACGCCATTGTGCCTCGCTGCTGAGCACTCGCCCTGTTCCCACAGCTCAGGCCTCTCTGGATTAGAAACACAACAGCTGTATTGTGTGTGTGTGTGTGTGTGCGTGCTGGTGTGTGGGCCTGTGTATGCGTGGGCACTCGTTAGCGGCGCGTACATTTGTGTACTCGAGAGGTGGAGGGGGGGTTGTGGCTGTGAAGGTTAGCACTGGAGACTGTATGTCAGGGCTGCTTCTCACTATCCAGTAACTCTGGCTCCCAGCCCAATGTGTGCAGTGTGACTGCGCTGGGTTAGAAAGCAGCAGAGGGGAATGAGTTCACGTGTGCTGAGAAATTCCAGCAAGATATTCATAGACTCAGAGAGGCATCACAGTTGTTGGTGCGCTGCTGTGCAGTATTGATCTGATGTTTCTATTCTATAAAAAGCATCGCCATATAACGGAGGTTATTTACTCGCTCAGTTGCATCAATCAGCTTTGTTTACAACATTAGGTCATAAAACTGTTGAGCATGTTTGCCAAAAATTTCTTTCTGGATATATTACCACCACCAAAGAAACATTTTTGACGTACTGATTTGGCCTGAATATCAGACAACCCTGGCTGTAAGACAACCTCCCTTTTTAAAGACAGATTTCTAGACAAAGAGAGCTTCTTTTCAAGTCAGAATCTTTAAGAGAAGACAGCTGCTAACTCAAAAATGTCATCACAATGACATGATTTTTATCAGTTTTTTTCTCTAAGTCAAATTCTATCAAATGAAAATGAATATTAAAGACAAAAATTTATTGTAAAACATTGAAAAGACAGTAAGGGGAGCAGAGGTGCTGCTGGACAACTGTCTTAACTGAGCAACAGGGGGTGCACAATTATGACCATAAAGATAATCACAAAAAGTTTGTTCAGTATTAATGCTGTGTTTGAGTTACCTCAGAAGTCAAGTGCTGGAGCTCAAAATGACTTCACACCGGAGTTACCAGCGTTTCTGTTACCAAGTTGAAAATGGCAAAATCAGAGGTGGAAACAAGATGGCTACATCTACGAAAGGTTTTTAACACTTGCTTTGTCCTTGTTATATTCGGACAAGGCATGCACTAAAATAACTTTTGTAGATGTTGCCACCTTGTTTCCGCCTCTGATTTTGCCATTTTTCAACTTGGTAACTGAAACGCTGCTAACTCCGGTGTGAAGTCATTTTCAGCTCCGACATCTGACTTCTGAGGTAACTCGAACGCAGCATAAGATCACTGTAATTATGTCAGTTTTTCACGAAATGTTAACCCCTTTGTACTGTTAATAGTTATTAGAAATCATCTGTATTTCTTGTCTGTCTGGAAGTGATTGGACAGACTTACAGCCAGTCAGATTAACACATGGAGTGTGACGTAGCCCACAGCAGTGGAAAATGAAAGCTTGATGCAGAAGAAAGACACACCTTTAGTTCTTGTTTAACAAAAATACATCGTCAGCCTCGTTAAAAGTGAAATGCAAAAATAAATGAACCATAGTTAGGCAATGCTGGGCTGTTGAATCATATCAAAGCTTTCCTTTTATGAGGACTTTGAGGTAGTTTTGCTTAGTTTTTGTCTTTGTCTTTTTATGGCAAAACTTAGGTTAATAACTTGTTGTGAATATCTCATAATGATGTGGACCTGTGGGATACTTAGTGCCACGCTGTCGTTCACTCATTGACATTTGTCCTCAGTGCTCACAGTGTCCCTCTGCTGCGGATCAGCTGTCCTCATAAATGGACTCGGTAGTTAACTTCTTCGACTGTGATTGCTAAACAACACACAAAGCAGACACTTAAAAAAGAGGTGGGATGTGGAGCTTCTGTCTGTCATGTGTAGGTTGAGTGTGTGTGTGGAGAAAAGAACGTTTAGTAAAATCAGCTGGAGAGTATCCAATCAAAGCACATTAAAGAGAGTCATTTATTCCCTATAGTATCGTCTGTCAATGACCAGACACACATTTTAAATGTCAATAACTGCTGTCAATCATATTTTTTGATTATGGAAAGGTCAAAATTGTGATTTCAATCAAAATTCGTTTAACAGTGAAGGCAGGTGAGAGGCTTCCTGACAGTGAAGTTGTGGGTGCTGTCAGCCCAAAAAGCCACTAGTGGACACAGGCCAAATGGTTTTAAAAGCACTTGTGAAATTAGCTTTAATATGGCAATTTTGCTAGAACTGCATGTCAATCAAAATGAGCACATTCATCAAAAAAAGCTTGCAATAAACACTTAGAGGCTGAACAGGGTCATAACAACACTAAAATGAGAGTTCTCCCTGCCTTGACTGTTTTGCGTAGTGTCTGAGTATCCCATCTATGCTTGAAGATTGATATTTGATTGAATGACTAATTTGCCAGCAGCTCTTCACATAGCCAACTGACCGGTGCAAAACTGATCTGCCAACAGAAAGTGGTAAAATATGTCCCGAAGTGGGGTTGCCAGCTAGAGGCACAAGCGACTCACAAAATCAGCTCAGTGCACAAACAGCAAACTGATGCTGTGTGCTCAGCCAAAAAAATTGGCAAAAATACGAGCGTTGAGAGCCTACTGGGCACACTGTTGGAAAACAAGAAAGTGAAATATTTTGCAGGGCTTGAAGGAATAGTTTGAGAAGTTTTCTGTGGATGTTTTTCATAATGACTTTCTCCCATCAAGCTGTGTTTCTTTTAGAAAACAAAGCGCTGTAGTAAGATTGAAACTGACTGCAGTATCTGCCTCCTAAAAAGAAGTTTGAATCATTTTCAGATATTATATCATCGGCTCTGCTTGAAGGGTACTTGGCAAAGTAATAAGGACGCTGTAGTTTTAGGCAGTAAGCGAGGAACATGAGTAACAATTAACTTCAAATTTATACATAGCTTCACCTTTGGTTGTGAGTTATATACACAAGTGATAATTCCTTACAGTCCTCGAGGCCGGAGAGTTATTTTCAGAAGCATCTGCGGTAGTTAATTTTTTGGAAGTAAATGAGATTCAACTTAAGTATTTAATTTGAGTTAAAGAAAGTCTGAGGGCAGCTGTTGGAGACAGACTCTGAAACAGGTTTTTGCATATCTCAATTAAACTACAGCTTGTTAAATAATAATAATAAGCCAGCACCAGACCTTCATTGTAGACTTGTTTCACAGAAAGGGTCAAGGCTCGGGTGTTGATTTCTAATCCACAGGGTGTCACAGAAGTGCTGCGTTTTTTAATGAAATAGTCTAATATACTTTGAGGTTTCATTCCTCCTTCACTTTATTTGTCGGTCTGAACGTACGAGCACAGAAAATGAGAGTCATACTAATAGACACAGGGGGAGGATTACATCTACTTTCTTCTGTTTGTTAGAACATGTCCTTCCTGTAATTATCTGAAAGTGGGCGCACACACACACACGCATTCACTGCTGCAGAGGGAGGTTTCCTTGAACCCTTACACTGGCTGCACAGAGAGTAAATAAGCCTTTGATGTGTCAGCGTAGACTCAGAGTTGAGTTTCACTATTTTGTTTGAAGCGACTACAACACCGAGGTTGTTGAATCCTTGACATGTTCTTGAGCGGTATTCTGTGTCCGCTCTTGAAAAATTTGCGTTTTCCTGTAAACTCCACGTACGTATCTTTTGTGTGTAAGCGGTTGTACAACTTCCCACGCACCTAACAAGCTCGGAGAATGGGCTTTTTGACATTCAAGGTCTTAGTCGTTACATAACCATAACACTGCTCATATGTCTTGAACATTCAGTTTTCAGTCATTACAATGGCTGTCTTTTGAATCCCCATCACTGATGAATCGCTACTGCACAAAAATACCTCAATCTGTAGAAAAAGCCGAGTTATTTTTCTCTGTTCCCAGCCTGACGGTTAAAGCTCCCCGTCTGACCCTCCTGCCCGCGGACAAGCACGTTTGTTTTGTCTGTTTGTGGAGGGAACAGAGCCGCACAGTTTCCAAGAAAGGCAGATAGGAGGGAGAGGAATCTGATGTGTTGCCGAATGATCAGGAACAGGTTGACTCTCCGGAGCTTTTAAAAGCTGCAAAACATGTGTGTGACAGGCCTTGTGGTTGATTTTCAACATCACAGCATGTTACCGAGCATGTGTGAAAGGTTTTGAGATCCATTCGCAAGCTGCAATTGATGTGAAGCGAAAATTGTCACTTTTTTGCCGCTGTACGCCGGGTTAACAGAAATCTGTGACAACTCTTTTTGCTTTTTCTGACTAAGTTGTTTTCCCTTTTTTAAAAACCCAATTTAAGCAACTCTAACTTTTTAACTTCTCTGTAAATGCTAACTTTGTGTTCATTGACTGGTGGTGAACAAATAAAGATACAGTTATACTCTATATAAACCAACATCATAAATGTCTTATAAAACATTCCTGAAAGCGACAGAACCACCCAGAGGCCTGTTATCATTGCAGACAGCCAAAGAATGCAGGGGCAAGCCAGCCAAATATCAGCCCAGTGTTTTTGATTGGATCTAAATCACTTGTTTGTTTTGATGCCTGTTTGCATCCTAGCAGATTCCCAATGGTCAAAAGTCATAACTGGCTGCGGTGGTGGTGGGATAGTCTGCGGGATCAGGCAGATATATTTTTATTTCTGTATTTTTTGAAGGTGTTGCCTTTAGAGATTATGCTCTGTTAGGTCCAATTTGTGTAAATGTGGTTATTAGTTGCAGCTTGTTGGTGTGTTTACAACAAGTGTCTGTGTTTGTGCAACATGACGTCAGTCACACACACCTACATTTACACCTTTTTGCCAGCATCTCTGTGCAACAGAGGACTTGGATTCTGTATGTGGGTAAAAAACTGACAAGTGAGTGGGTGGAATACCTGCGGTGCATCCCTGTTAAACTATTAGGCGATGTCTTGTATTCTGTTTCTACTGAATCCAGCCGCTTGCATCGACTAAAAGATGCTTTACTATGAGTTCCTCTACCCCTGGTGGCTCTGTGACTCATGCTGCATGGATGCCAGCTCCAAGAGGCAGATGAAAGCCGGAAAACACCAACTTTGCCCACTCTTTAATCCAGCCACTCCCAGCTATCCCCCTCCTACTCGCAGACTCCAGCCAGACCACTATAGGGCAGGGAAAAGTGCTCAAAGTAACAGGAGACCCTCTTTAAGTTTGATTGATTTCTGAGTGAATCGGGACAGATCTCAATCTGTGGCAGACAAGCTTATTCCTGTTGGCTTAATGAAGATTTAGTACCGGGATATCTGTCTTCCCTCCTTTAGTCGCTCTTGTGTGTGAAATCGGGCTTACCTCCTATTTCACCGAGGGCCTCAAAGGAATTACCATAACAAAAGTTTGTGTGCACATAGTTTTGTGTGAGAGGGACAGCCGTGGCAGGAATTCCAGACTTTCCTCTCTTTTTTTCTTCATTTCATCCCAGCAGGCTTTTTCAAACATGAGGCCTTCACCCTTCATCAGCCCTGTTAGCCTCCGCTACACAGCCCACCCAAAGGAGGAACTGAAAGGAGAGCCAGGGCAGAAAGCACATACGACCAGAGCCCGCCTGTAAACAAACAGCGCTGCTCATGTTGTCTGCAGTTACCTCACAGAAGGTTTCTGTTCTGTTGTCGGGATGTTTTTATAAAATTTCCCCTCAGCTGGGCCCTCAACCCTAACATCACCCACTCATGTGAGCGAATGAGTCAAATCGGAGATGAATCACTCTCGACTGTCTTTCATTTATCGATGACACATTTTGGGCAGGTTTTTTTCGTCTTTGGGTAAAAACTGAGAGTACTGCGGACGCAAAATCAAACTGTTAAATAATACTGAAACAATCAAACGTCACGGGCGTTGGAGGGGGTATAAACAAAGTAACACTTTCCAGGCAAATGAATGAGTCTCATCTATGTTAAGTTTCTATTGTATAACAATACGAAACACTTACATTGCAAGTGTAATGCAAACATTGTGTTGGCATGCCTGCTAAGTCATTTGTTTTGTCAAGTGTGATGTGGAAGGCAAGCCTAAGCAGACCCAGAAATAGCACGGATATGAGTGTGACACATAAGCTGAACAGAACTCTGTGTTTCAGGATCAAAGTGACTCATGTTTAAGACATCTCATGGTCTTTTTGTGAGAGTGTGTGTGCATTTTCCTGTGCTGTAGTAAGTAGATTTTCAAACTCATGTTTGGCCGTGATCGGTGATTATTTTCATTAATGCTGCGCGTATTAGTCTACTGGAGTATAGTACAGAAAGTGTGTGCAGCAGTTACATGGATTAAATTATATTGCTGTGAGTTCTTCTCAACGATGCTCAAGCAGTATGAAGAAAAATTATGAATTTTAATGGAGATTACCATGTGACATGGGGATGTGTTATGTTCCAGTATTTTTTTTGTATCTCTTGAAGAACTTACTTTCATTTGTGAAGAGGCCCGACTGATACAAATATTTTCGGGCTGATGCCGATACCGATTATTAGGGGGGTCCGATTACCGATTAATTGGCAGATTTTTTGAAATTTTTATGAAGTTATAAAATATATATATATGTACTTCAGATATCTACAGTAAATATCTACGGGTCTTCCTATCTGCCGACATGAAGACTGACTGATCAAACTCAGACCATATTTTAGGCGATATTTCTGAAAATATTGGCAAAAATCACCGAGTTTTGGCTGATTGCCGATTAGTCTCAAACGATCAGGCCCTATTTGTAACCCAAGTTATTTTCCTTATTTAAAGATTCATAAAAAATGTATCATCCATATTAGATCGTTTTTTGTTGTTGTTTGTTTCGTTTTGTTTTTTTAACCTGAAAAATTACCTTTTTTTATTTGTTCTGTTATAATAATTACAGATGACTGGACTGAAGTCTACACGTTCACTCTGGCAAAATTTAAACCATCAAAATTCATTCAAGAACCAACAACAGCAACAGCTAGGGCTGGGCGATAAACCAAAAATTTAAAATAACAGACATCATTTTGCCCATGTCAATATATTCGGGGTAAAAAAATAAAGAAATAAAAGTTGGTTTTGGATGTGTGTAGGTAGGCTATGGTCTCATGTCCCTTTAAGACGCTGTCCTACGTTGGAGACATGACTCCACCCCATCCAGTCTGTAACAAAGAGGAAAAGACAGGTGAGGAGATGGAGGACAGTTCAAAAGTTGTATTGGGAGGGGGTTAGCAGCTTGTGGAGTAGTTATCGTCCATTTATCGTTGTCAAGATGAACTGCTCAATCTATTGTGATTTGAGGTCATATCGCCCAGCCCTAACAACAGCATACTGTTTGCATTATGTATCACCTTCTTTATCACTTAAAAGTCAACAGTAGGAGTTTCATGTTTATACCCTCACAAATGTTTCATTCTGAGATCAAAATTGGAGCTCTAATTACCAAGAAGTGTGACTGTGGTTTCACAGAGAGTTCAGTGGGCGTATCGTACTGAGTTGAAAAATTTGTTGTTATTTTCTTTGGAGTTTCCCTCACACAGCACCTCAACTAGATATTTGGAATTTCACTGTTAATGGTTGTTTCCATCAACAAGAACTTAAAGCTTGTTAAAGTTTATGTACTTAACCTACCAGAAGTACTGACAAACAGTGACAGGGTAGTTCAGAGAGAGCGGTGTGTTTCTCTTTAAGAATTTCAGACTTTGTTTAATGTCTTTGTTTGTCTTTAAACACCACTTACTAATATGAGTCTTTTTTATGGTGATTTGTCCCTCTTTCATATTAATCATTGAGATATGTAAATTGAATCAGAATGAATATCCCCAAATCAGCTACTGAATTGCTGTGAAATAATTAAATTTTGTAGAGTAGGAATGGTAGATTAATCAGATTAATCCAATTATGCGTAACTTGGGTTAAAAAGTGATGTGTTGTTTATTAAATCTATAACCCAGCAGAGCTCATTCACTGTTTGCTGCAGAATGACCTTGTACCTGTGGCGATGTAGGATTACAAATATTTAAAAAATGTGTTTTTCTATATCATGTTATGCAACATACTAATGACTGACTGTATCTATTGTGAATCAGCTCCACTTCCATCACACAGTAAGTGCACTTGCAGCTTTTTTCTCTTTTCACACACAGCAGCGCCCCACTCATCCTCCTGCCAATTTACTCCTCTGATCTTTTGACATAATTAATCAGCAAATACATTTAATTTAGATGTCCAATAACACAATACGCATTTTTAAAGGTTATAGCCATTATCACATTAGATGATCCGAACATGGGCAAAGCTTGTCAATGGCGTGGCTCTTCCAATGATCCAAATCTAAGAAAAGTGCAGACGACATCAGCAAGGACCAGTTGCACATGACTTATAAGACAGCAGTCTGAGAATTTTCATATTTAACGTGAAACATCACATCTCAAGACTGTTGAATCTGTCAGTCCCCCTCTGATTACTTCAGGGGCATGTGACAGATGCAGCAGGTTAGTGCTGCAGAGCAGAGATTGTTTTTTTTTTTTTGAGATTGTGTTTTGGGGTTTTCTGCTTTTATTTGGAGAGGACAGGACAGTAAACAAAGTAGAAAGCAGGGAGAGAGACACACAGGAAAGGAGCCACAAGCTGGAAGCAAACCTCAGCCAGCAGCTTGAGGGAGAACTTCAGAGATCGATTAGTATCTTGATAGAAAATGGTGATCTTAAATGAATACATAAAAAAAGAAAAATGTAAAAATGCTTTGCAAATATAAATATGGGTGAAAAACATGTTTCAGCTCCCTACTCAAGTATCTTCTAACACTGGCATTAGTGTGCTGATGGATCAGCTGGGCCTTACATACATTGTTTAGTATTAAATAACTTCTGCACCAAGTTCTCCTCTCTCCCTCCGATATTTACCCTCCTCTTTTTGTTCTTCCCTCAGCAGCCGTTGGGGCTCAGTCCCTGTTCGCCATGCCTCGGCGGCCTGGCTATGGCACCATGGGGAAGCCCATCAAGCTGCTGGCCAACTGCTTTCAGGTGGAGATCCCCAAGATGGATGTCTACCTGTACGAGGTCGACATCAAGCCTGACAAGTGTCCACGGCGGGTCAACAGGTGGGCTACGACCTCAGAGTGACATCATTACAACTTCATCTGACTTCTGCTGAAGTATTAAAAGCCGTTGAACAGACAAATTGAAGATACATTGAGATCTTACTCCTACAGTTTAGTGGTATTAATATTTTAACAGCAGTTTTTTAACAGCAAACTGTCTGTGTGTGTTTGTTGTGCAGGGAGGTGGTTGACTCGATGGTGCAGCACTTTAAGGTGACCATCTTCGGGGATCGCAGGCCAGTCTACGATGGAAAGAGGAGCCTGTACACAGCTAACCCACTACCTGTGGCACCTGCAGGGGTGAGCGCAGAAAAATAACACGTTATCCATATTGTGCATTCAAACTAAAGCTGTAAAACAAACTGTTAAGACGGTGCAGTCAGTTTTTGGGGTCTTCCTAGAGGGTGAGGGGGTTAAACTGTGTTCCTGAGTGTGCAGCTGTGAAGCTCTTTCTAGTGCTGTAAATTGGTGCGATCCTGCTGTCTGCTAGTCTGGTATTTGAGCTCAGTAGAGGTAGCATTTGTAGTCATGTGGTGCAGGTAGACTGTGCAAGTAAATTAGCTGAAGCATTAGTGGGATTGACCCACCGGTTTGAGACCAAGCTGCCCTGGCTGACTTCATGAATAGACTGGTCATCTGTTGTCTTGAATTGAAACATGAAACTTAAATTCATTCTGCCCTCAGCTAACCGTTTTGTTTGTTTGCTTGTTTTTCTCTCAGGTGGACTTAGATGTCACTCTGCCTGGGGAGGGAGGGAAAGATCGGCCCTTCAAAGTTTCCATCAAGTTCGTGTCTCTGGTCAGCTGGCACATGCTCCACGAGGTGCTGACGGGCCGCAGCATGCCTGAGCCGCTGGAGCTGGACAAACCCATCAGCACCAACCCTGTGCACGCAGTGGATGTAGTTCTGCGTCACCTGCCCTCCATGAAGTGAGCCGCTGATAGTTTTATTTATCCTTTTTTTGTTTTATTTTTAATGTGGATGGCATTTGTGGATCACAGCCAGAAGCAAAAGTAGGCCTGTGGTTACAGTAAAATGATCATATGATGACCATAGATCAATGATACCTTAAAAAAATAACACCCCGCAGTCAGCAAACACAGACAAAGTCGGAGAAAACATGATCCCCTTGATACTCATAGTAAATACTATATATTTGTTTTGTCATAGTAGCACTGCTATCAGCACTCCGATCCAAACGGAAATCAAACACAGCTTATGTGGACCTCATATCTTGTTGAGCTCAATATCACTTTCTTGAGCCCTAGCAAGAGCCAAATCGAACACAATCTTAGTGGTTCTTAATGAAAATCCATCCCAGGCCTTATTAAAAAGGAGTTACATCGACACCTTTCATTTAGCTGTGTTTGGCATCTTGACACTTTTGTCAGCGCCGAAATCCCCAGGAAAAATGAATCCTGCGCGCGGTTCTTGATGTGACTCCGTGGCAGAGTAATAAAAGGCAGATGGGTCCAGGCAGTGTCACCTCCCCCTTGTTTTGCCACAGTAGTTTCAGGCAGTGATGAAAAGCAGATTAATGTGACTCAGTATGAACATTAATTGACCCACATTCTAAACTCAGGATGATTTCCTGTCCAAAACTCTTGCAGCCTTTCTTATCTGTCTCTTCATCATATTGTATTCGACTTGTTTATTTCTCAAGAATAACACTTTCTTTTCTCTCTCTAGGTACACTCCAGTTGGACGCTCCTTCTTCTCAGCTCCAGAGGGATATGATCATCCCCTTGGAGGTGGGAGAGAGGTTTGGTTCGGCTTTCATCAATCTGTGCGCCCTGCCATGTGGAAGATGATGCTAAACATTGACGGTGAGCACTAAACCCCACTTTGCATATAGTTTGCATCGAAGGTAAATCAGGGCGACAATGAGACCTAATCTGTAATGACAGCTGTTTTTTTTGGCTGACTCCTTTGAGCCACTGACTGTATAAAAGGCATTCTGTGGCCAAGAAATGACGGTCATTGTATCAGAAATGCTGACTCCAGCTAAATTCTGACTTGTCTTAAAGGTAGCCAAGAGGTGGAGTCGGGGCTTTAACCTGGCTGTGTGACAAACGACTACAATACCTCTGTCTGCCAGTCAAATCAGCCACACCTCAATCATGCACTCCACTCAGAGACGGCCTCTCTCAAAGGAAGAATGCATAACGCTTAACTCTTAGCCTCAGGGTAACCAAAACAAATGAGCCGTGAAAGAAAACATGACCCTGTTTAGTTTCAAGTAATGAAGGATTGCGCTGTTAAGACCAATAAAGTTATTTAAACAGTCTTTAAAGGTGATCAGTTCTGCTTTTATTAGGAGCTGCAGTAGGGGTGGGAGAAATAATCGATTCACATAAGTATCGCAGTTTTTTGTTTTGCAATTTTTTAATCAGATTTTCTTGTTCAAAAATCGATTATTATGATTTTGTTCTTTAAATTTAAGAATAAAGGTCCTTACAATTAAAAAAAAATGTTGACGTCCAAAATAATCGCATGAAAAAAACGCTCCCGGTGTGAAAGGACCTTTAATCTTAAAAACTGACTTACACATGATATGTATTTTTTTGGGAAATATGGTTCCTGGAATAGTCAGTAGACAATCAGGATCACTCAACTGTTTCACTGGTGTTAAATATGCAGACTAAAACTCGAGAAAATCGACGATATCGTAGAATCGCAATTTAAATCGAATCGGCATCCAAAAAAATTGTTGAAGAATCAAATCGGGAGAAAAGCATATTGTCCCAGCCCTAAGCTGCAGTGATGTTTCCTATGCTTTTAAAGCCAGCCTCTAGTGGACACTTGAAAAACTGCAGTTTTCCGCATTTCTGTGTCAGCTTTAGATTATTTTTATCTATTTCAGTCTTCGCTTGAAAACAAGAAGAACCATTCCTATGTTGTTCTCTGTCGTTTCACAGAGGAAATGGGGTTTTAATAATTAAACACATGACATGGAGCCTCCATGATACCGCTATTTTTAGTGGTGAATGATTGATTCCCTCCTGCTGATTTTAAGATTAAAGAAACATAGCATTGGTAGTAAACTGAAATATTCTGGGGTATTGAGCTGTTAAAAAAGCTCAGAGATCATTTTCTTCTGAAGCTTTAAGCTTTACATAGTGACGGCATTGCTTCCTATCTGGTATCATTTTTTTTAGTGTTGATCAGTGGTTCAAAATGAAGTCCACCCATGAAGTCCCCATCAGTTTTCTTCTACCAAAAGAGAAGAACTGCGTTAAGACCAGGTTTCAGTGTGTTTGTATTTGTAGAGAGCCAGCAGCAGCAGAGAGGGTGATGGAGAATGTGTTTGGCCATATGCACTCTGCAGGAATTTGAAGGAAACCGAGGGACTTGGAGGAAGGTGGCTTTTTGGCTGGACGGGAGATGACTAGTTGGTTGCTGTGGAGACAGAGACCAGCTAGTGTGTGTGTGTGTGTGTGTGTGTGTGTGTGTGTGTGTGTGTGTGTGTGTGTGTGTGTGTGTGTGTGTGTGTGTGTGTGTGTGTGTGTGTGTGTGTGGTTGTGCCTTTAGGAGTGAGACTGGTGGGTGTTGCTGGGTCAGGAGGGTAGCTGTGTGGAGTATTTCCTTGAGACAGCTTTTGTTTTTCTCCAAGTGCTTGAAGTTTTCAGTCTGGATTTGAAAGGTTTCCCTCTCTCCTCTCACTCTTTCGCTCTTTTGTCTCGTTTTCCCGCCCTGTCATCCTGGGAAATCAACTGGTCGCCTCAGGTCTCTTGTTTGCTCTCTAGAAACAAACTAGCATTTGTTTTCTCACTTGTGTGCCACTGTGTATTAAGGCACAACACAGAGTATATTTAGATGGCTGTGGGGCAGAAGGCTTCCCAAGCTCAGTATCATCGGTGATTAGCTGTGCATAAATAAAATAACCACAAGAATCAAATGTAAGCGGAGACATGAGTTCTTTGAATTCAACTTTGCATAAATGACTCATAAACAATTCCAAGTACTCAGAAGCTACGCTGCACAAAAGTTACACTGCAGTGCGTAGGCAAAACAATCAGGAGTGATATCACTTCCTGACGGTGGTGAAAGACTCGTAGGTTGTAAAAAAGAAAAAAAAAAAAGATGTTTTTTTTGTCTGCTGCAGACATCAGCCACCTCATCCAGTATTACCCGTCACTGTGTGCTCATCTCTGCTTTCATCAAACGCACCGGCAGAGAAAGGTTGCTTACATCACATCAGCTGAGGCCGATTTTCTGTCATCAACTTCCTCAGAAGCACCCTCTCTCTCTCTTTCTCTCTCCATCTCTTCATGGCCATTTTTGGATTGCGTCTGATCTAACTTGGAGTTTTGTCATACTTGTCCTTTTCCTTTTTTACCCCTGTATTTTAATTTCCCTCTGATGTTGCCTCTCTCTGCCGTATCACTGACGATGTTTCAATCTCTCACTGCCTCAGACTTTCCATTTGTTTAAAACAAGCATGATATCAGAACAAAGGGGAACTTTGTGCTGCTCGAGTTCCACTTCCTGTGTTCAGTGAGCGATCCTGATACATCACATTTTGCAGAGAGTGTCGGATGCACCCTCCGTAATGTAAAGTAGTATCACATTTAGCAGATACTCTGTGATCAGCCTTGACAGAAGCATCATAAGAGCTACAGTGCACATTAAAGAATGCACAATCCCCCTCTGTGTTCGAGTTCATTGAATATTCATGCTTTGTGTTTGTTACTTTAAAGCTGTTTTACAGTTTATTATGATTATGAGAGCATTACAAAGTGAATACCATTTCTTTAGAGTTGTCACTAAACGTCTTTGATAGATTACCTTTTGAGATTTTTGACAAAAAATTTCCCCAATGGGGGATCAATAAAGAATATTCTATTCTATTCTATTCTATTACCTGATACTGTAGCAGAGAAAGTAGCTGTAGAAAAAAAGGATGAAGGATTATGTGACGTTTTACCTGTTTCCATTATGTGAAGAGTTCTGGTTTAAAGCCATATAACTCTTAACAGCATATTTGGAATGACAGTAATTTTTTAAAAGAAGGAAAGATATGAGAGACCATGTTTTTTTTCCTCACTTTTTAGTGTTTGTAATGAATCCAGGTCAATCTTAAAGCAAAAACAAGATGACGTTGCTTTCTCTTTCTCTTTCTCTTTCTCTTTCTTTTGCTCATCTGTGTCTAAACTGGTCTCTGAGTCTCTGTTTGTAAAAGCTGCAAAGAGACAAAATGATAAATGCGCTAAAAGATACATTCTGAAAAAAGTCTGGCATCTTTCCATAGGGGTGTGAAAATGTAAGGGTGTGTGAATCTGTAAATCCTAAGAAATCAACATTTTATTTATTCAATGCAGCTTTCTTCTTTTTCTGACTGTCTACACCGCTCAGCAGTGCTGCTCTTAACGGGTTACTTTGTAGTCTTGTGTTGTAAAACAGATTTTTGATAGCTTTAATATTGTACTTGACTAAAACATATATACTTTAAACAAAACATGATTTACCAAAAAAGAAAAAGGAATACCTGCAGCCCTCTGAAGGAGGTATTAAGTTGTTGAAAGTGTTTCTAAAGTTGTTGAGATCATAGTTTGAGTGTTTAGATGCTAAACACAGTGTAACAAAGTGCTCACTGAATTTTACAAAATGCATTAAATTGTAGTTTTTTCCTTCCAGGTAGATACCAAGTATAAATGCTATCAGTTTTAAACTCTCACTGTTGACAGAGGAATAACAATGTTGCATCAAGTACATCGTGTCAAGGTCTTTCACTTTGTCTCACATGTCCTTGTTTTACCTTGCAGTGTCCGCCACCGCCTTCTACAAGGCCCAGCCAGTCATCCAGTTCATGTGCGAAGTGCTGGACATCCACAACATAGACGAGCAGCCTCGCCCTCTCACAGACTCACACCGGGTCAAATTCACCAAAGAAATCAAAGGTAATGACGGGTGTGCCAAGTGGACCTGGCAGGATGCGAGGAAGAGAGTTAAATGAGATGAATAAAGGTGCATTATGTGTGTGAGTGTTTGTGTGTTTGTGTGGGAGTTTGAGCAGGAGCAGGCCGTAGAGCACATGTCGCAGCCATTCACTCACAGACACGCACACTCTTAATTCTTCTCCACTTTGTATTATTCACCAGGTTTGAAGGTGGAGGTGACGCACTGTGGAACCATGCGGAGGAAGTACCGCGTCTGCAACGTGACCCGCCGGCCTGCCAGCCATCAAACGTGAGTCAGCCTCCGGGGCGGGTGGGTGTGTGTGTGGGGGGGTGCCGGGGAGAGGGGGGGGGACAGGAGACTAAGGGTGGAGTGTGTGGATGAGACGGGGGCGGGTAACAGGGACTGTGCAGGATGCAATCACCAGTTTACCACTAAACAAAACAAATAATTGTTGACTCATCTGACAACCATGCAAAGGATATTAGTCATCTGTAAATGCAGCGGCTGGTGTGTGCAGCTGCTGAGCTGCAGTGTTTGTCAACCAGTATAGATTACCTCTGTATATAATCCCTTACATACAGTTCACACCTGCATACAGCCAACAGAATAGATGCTTCATATCTATGGCAATATGTTATGATATGAAGATGAAACTGCAGACTCTTTCATTTGTCACTATGATTTTATAAATAGAGGCCAACTGTGATTCAATTGAGTTTATTTAGTATGCACAGCTTAACTAGTTAGATCCAAAACATGAGCACTTCAACAGCTGACATGCTAGTTTCCAGACAGATATATGGTTCATCATTGAATTTTTGCATTAGATCTCATCTTAATGGGTTATTACCTGGTCCGATAAAAAAAAATTGGACTGCATTTGTAATTGAAAGTCAATTATTGTTTATTTCAATATATGAACCTGAAGTTTGGTTCTGATTTCAAGTCAAAAAGATGCTTAAAACTCACACCTTATTTACATGCTGGCCTTTCCTTTTTGCTTTTTCTAAGCAACTTGAATCACAGTTTTTTGTAACATGGTGGTGTACTGTAAACAAATGAAGTAAACAGATGCTAGGGCACATTAAACCAGATGTGGCTTTTATTGATCAATGAAAATGCAGCTTAATCAACTCTAATTGTTTGTTTTTTTACAGACGGATTTATTTGGAGTATCACTTTAGCTCAGCAGTTAAAGAGTGCAGTGAGAAAGGAAACCATCAGCACAATATCTTTTAATTTCAAAAGCGCTGCGTATAAGATGTAAAGGAAACTCAGAACAATATCAAAGCCAAACAGTTATTAACAGGAACACAAGTTATTCAGTCCTTCCTCCCAAAGGCAATTAACCAACATTGGAAAAAAAACACCCAGACTTTGAACTCACTTCTGTTAAGTTCTTCTTTTTTTATTAGTTATTCAGTTTAATCTAAAATACAGAGAGGAAAACTGTTCAAATAAATCACTTTCTTTCAGTTCAGTTACTAAAAAGGAAATGCAGAGGTGTGGGGAACCCCCTCAGTCAGTCGTGTCATGATTAGAGAGCAGCTGCTGTGATAAACTATGCAGACTGAGCTGAGATTATCCACACATAGTAGAGGGAACTAAACTGAGTTAAATTTATCTGACCACCTTGACGTTTCATAACCTGACCGTAGTTAGTGTAGCTTTCACATCTTCAGTGTTTTACGGTACAAACACAAACTGCTATAAGTCACCCCCCACAATCCACCTCCTGTGTTTCATGTCTCTTGTTGGCTCTCGTTTTCAAAAATGCTATTTTTCGATGCTTTTTTCTTTTTAGGTTCCCCCTACAGCTGGAAAACGGTCAGACTGTAGAGCGTACTGTAGCCCACTACTTCAGGGAGAAGTACAACCTGCAGCTTAAATACCCACATTTGCCCTGTCTACAGGTGGGCCAGGAGCAAAAGCACACCTACCTGCCTCTTGAGGTGAGAGAGAACATTGTGCTGCTTGTTCTCAGCGAAATTCAATTTGAACCTGCCAGCTTGTTTGAGGAAATCTGCTGTGTAGACGGTCATTGTGCATGTGTGACTACTCTGTGCAGCTGCAGAGAAGTCTTAAGTATGCCTTTTAAAGTCTTTAGCGGGCAGAAAATGACCAAAATGCTGTTTGTTTTCCCTGCAGGTGTGCAACATTGTAGCTGGTCAAAGGTGCATCAAGAAGCTGACAGATAATCAGACCTCCACTATGATCAAAGCCACAGCTCGCTCTGCACCTGACAGGCAGGAGGAGATCAGCAGGCTGGTGAGTTTAAAAGGAGACAGCTGCTGAATGAAAATCTCCTCTGTTCCTCCGTAAACACCCCGATTAAACGCTGAAATGACACTGAGTGGCATCTTTTGAAATTTGATGTAACACTTGTTCACTTTTATGGCTGCCACACACACATCTAGTAAGCAGAACATCTTCTCATGCTGTGCACTGACTGAAGCATGCATGGTTTAAAGACATGAGGTCACATTCAGAAACCTGACACTGCCTGAGCGGCGAACAAAGATTTCCAGAAAGTCTACTTGGCCATAGAAATGCGCTGAGGTAATAAATTAATGTCGAATATTTTAAGCGTTAGCTCTCGGGGAATTTTAACACTTTACATTTGAAAACCATTCACTCAGTCAGGCAGCAGTGTTACGAAATGCTTGTGTTGCTAGGCTTGTTTATTCTTGTTGCCATGCTGCTCATCCTGCTATCGAATTGCTTGTTTTGTAATCACCTCGCAGAGATTCCTATTCCACATTGTTAGAGGAGGCATGTCTTTGTGCTCATGCATCATCTCTGGAAATGAAAAGGCAGATCTGACAGGCCTACTCGGGGTCAACAAAGTGTCAGAGAAGTAGTATCCTTGTTTGTGTGTGAAGCTCTGCCTTACATTGTTGATGGAAAGACTGACAGCCGTGTCCTCAGCAGCCATCAGATTAGCAACGCACATTTTAGTACCTGTTGTTACCTTATTAAACCCCGTCTCTTTATCTCTTCAGTCAGGAGCGAAATAACTGGACTGGCTTCCAGGAAATTATTGTAGACAACACTGTGGTGGCGTTTTCATTTAGATGCAGTGTCGCTTCACACTGGCAGGCAAGTGTGGGCGGAAAAGACAAGGTTGAGAGACAGAAAAGCACAAAACAAGTAGATAAGCAGTGTCTGTCAGAACTACATAATGAATTCTGTATTAAATTTGGATGTCGTGCCAGGTGGGCTGATCACGCACTGTGTGCCTGCAGTCATTTCAAATTAAGGTGCTGGCACTGACACTTTGTTGGGATGTCACTAATGTGCAGCTTCCGTTCTTTGATTCAACTTTGTCTCATGGAATAATGTAAACAAAATAGTTCATGCAGAAGTGAAATTGCATGAAGTAAAACTGATACAGGAGAGTGAGGACAGAGCGTCAGCATCAGCAGCATATCTAAAACAGTGGTGGCCCGAGCCAATAAAGAGCCCTCAGAACTGATGCTGCAGTTGTTTGCCTCCCTCTTAGGATAAACGAGAGCTGTCACAGTACACTAATTTTGTCCTACTTTTGTGCAGTGGAGAGAAGATGGTCTACACAAGTGTTTTTTTCCAGTCAGTAACTATTATTAGTCTTTTCTAACATTTTTGTAAAGGGCTTCACTGTGTGGAGTCACAGCCAGCAATTAGTTAACTTTTAACAGACGAGCAAAATGAAAATAAGCTCGTTTGGTTGTTCTCTAAACTCTGAAACATAAAAGAGATTCCTCATAGTTGTAGATATGTTGGTGGTGAGTTTTTGTTTTCATGTTAACCTAAGACAACAAGCTGCAGGCATGAAGACTAATGTATCCAAACCTGTTGATTTACCCCTCCAACCAAAACAAGCCACTGCGAGTCATCGGGTCGGAGTAATTAACCAATGTTATGATCTTGGCGTGCTTCATTAGCTTTCAGACGAAGCTGTCCTCAAACACCACACCCTGACTGATCCGTGCAACCTCTTTTCCCCTTTCAGGTGCGCAGTGCCAACTACGAGGCCGACCCCTTCGTGCAGGAGTTCCAGTTCAAAGTGCGCGACGAGATGGCCCACGTGACGGGGCGAGTGCTACCCGCCCCCATGCTGCAATACGGCGGCAGGGTGAGCACAGAGCACTTTATGGTACCCTTCCTTTAAATCACGCCCATTCTCTCTGTTTGTCTGACACGCTCTCCCCTTCCTCAGCTGTTTTTTTTTCTACTACGTCTCAAAGGGGGAACTAACTCACTGGCTTCTGTTTGGTCTTCATGGTGTTTGTCTGTTTGGCTTTTATTGTGGTCAAGTCTCAAAACTGGAAATTCTGATTTTACCCTCAGAGTTTTTGGAAAAAAATGAAACCATGGATGATTTTGGCGACTCTGAAATTTGACAAAGATCATGAAGCACCTGAACTTTGATTAAATGATCCCTCAGTGTGAACCAAGATGAGATTCTTGTCTCATATGCTTGTTTTCATTGAAGGAAAACTGAATACCAGCTAATTGAGACTGAACCACAGTGCTGATTAACAACTGTTTTATTTGAGGAGTCACACCTTTGTTTTAGTACACTTGGGTGTGTGTGTTACTGAAAAATATGACCTCATTATGCACAATATTTGCACATAATCACACTTCTTTGCGATTACAGTTAAAGTTACCCTTGATTATATTTCTCATTTTCATATTTTGACTTTGAATGTAAAGATAATCTGCAAATGCATGTTTCTTTTTTCATCCTACAGTTAAAATTTCTGTCTATAAATCAGTCTTTACGTCTGGATGAAGAGGATGAAGAGTGTGTGTGGACCCTTGTCGGTTCTCAGTTAGGGTGTGTGTGTGTGTGTGTGTGTTTGAATGAGCATCCGTGCCCTTTTGTGTTGAGTTTAATTGTGAGCTTGTATGAACAGTATGAAAGTGACTGTATGCTTACGCAACCATGAGTACATGTGGTGAGACTGTGATGTTGTTTTAGAACCGCACGGTAGCCACGCCCAGCCACGGGGTGTGGGACATGAGGGGGAAGCAGTTCCACACCGGGGTGGAGATCAAGATGTGGGCCATCGCCTGCTTCGCCACACAGAGGCAGTGTCGAGAAGAAATCCTCAAGTATGAGTGTTTGCAGTTTATTTGACCTCGCTTGTGTTAAATGGGTTCATAGCAGGAGCCGCTGTGCATGCAGTAATGATGCTAGCATGAGTAAGTTTCCTCTGAGTGTGAGTCAGACTAAACTAAAGTAAAGAGTTCTTCTGTGGTCCCCTCACATGATTAAAAATGTACTCTGAAGCTGCAGCCTGCAGTGAGATCAATTTGTCCTACATGGAAATGTACTTACACGCTTGAATTACTTTTTTTTTTAACTGCAGTTTAATTAAAACATGGTTACTCATTTCAGTTTGACCGTGTAGAGTTATTTTTTAAACAGCTCATTGCACAGAGGGAACAACAGCTTGTTTTGCACAGTTTTGCAGTTAGTCAGGCTTCTTTATCGCTAAGGTAAAAACATTACAGCAGCACTAACAGATGACCTGACTATTATAATCTGCTTCCTCCTAAATGTAGGAGTTTCACAGACCAGCTGCGTAAGATTTCAAAGGATGCTGGGATGCCCATCCAGGGCCAGCCATGTTTCTGTAAATACGCCCAGGGAGCGGACAGCGTGGAGCCCATGTTTAGGCACCTGAAGAACACCTACGCCGGGCTGCAGCTCATCATCGTCATTCTGCCAGGAAAGACTCCCGTCTACGGTCAGAAAACCGCTTCAAACTGAATATTATATTAGAGTCTATAGATACGCCTGTGGTTTCAACTGTGTGGATGCACTAATGCTATTCTGGGACTGAGTGCTGGTGCAATATTCTCTTCTGCTCAGCTTCACAAATGTATGAAATGAAAGAACCACTTTGAAGAGACTGCGCTTCATGCTCTGCAAAAAAAAAAAAAACTTCCATTTTATTAAACTCTGAATATTTCAAATGACAATCCTCCAAAATCCTAAATCAGGAAGTGTTTCCATGCATGCTTTATTCCTAACATCAAGCGTATCCGCCCATATATCTAATATCTTCACCTAACCGTAATCATATTTGACGTGCGCTTTTTATTTACACACACAGCTGAGGTGAAGCGTGTGGGAGACACCCTCTTAGGCATGGCCACACAGTGTGTTCAAGTGAAGAATGTGGTGAAGACGTCGCCTCAGACCCTCTCCAACCTCTGCCTCAAGATCAACGTGAAGCTGGGAGGCATCAACAACATCCTGGTGCCTCATCAACGGTCAGTCAGAGGGACGCTGCAGCCAGAGTGTTAAAATTTTAACCTTTTTTGGTGTAACTATTCACATCATGCACTCTAGCTTGTGTGATATTTGAACAAGTTTATGTAACTAAAAAAGGACAGTGCAGAAACAAACATGGTGCTGATGTCAGGACACAGTATTTATTTTGTCATGTAACAGGATATGATTGAAGATATCATTATCTTTCATCAACAGGCCATCAGTGTTTCAGCAGCCAGTCATCTTCTTGGGAGCAGACGTTACACACCCCCCTGCTGGTGATGGGAAGAAGCCTTCAATTGCAGCAGTAGGTTACTTTACCTTATTCAGGGTTTCTACTGGGTCTTAAAAGTCTTCAAATGTCTAAAATTCTCTCAAAACCTCATAAAATATCTTACAAATACAAATTTGAAAGGTCTTAAAAATATATTGATGTTACTTACAAATAAAGATTTGAAGTTGGTTTAAAATGTTCCGATTTCTCTTCATGTCTTTTGTACTTTTTGCCAGTATGGATGCAAAATGGATCTTATATTGTATTCATTATGGTCTTTAAAAAGTCTTTGATTTGATTCGTTGAAACCTGCAGAAACCATGTTTTTAATTTAAAACAGCTTCACCTGAGGTTTACTGTTGAATGACTTTTTCTTTTTAGTTTTTCTTTTCCTTCTCTTTCTTGATCTCCAGCCATGCTCGGAGTAATAATACCTTTACCCCTCTCCCTCTCCTCCAGGTGGTTGGCAGTATGGACGCCCATCCCAGCAGGTACTGTGCCACTGTGCGGGTCCAGAGACCCAGGCAGGAGGTCATCCAGGACCTGGCCTCCATGGTGCGGGAGCTGCTTATCCAGTTCTACAAGTCGACCCGCTACAAGCCGACCCGGATCATTTTCTACAGGGACGGAGTTTCAGAAGGCCAGTTCAGACAGGTCAGCTCCAACCTCCTCTTAAAAAGGACTACTCAGAAACAGACATGATGGATTTTGCTTATACCTGTATTCTTTATTTTTTATTCCTTATTCTTTATTGTCTGTATTTTCTTCAGACCCCATTAGAGTCTGAAGCTTTTACTGTTCAGGATTAGCTGAAAGAACAGTATTCCTAACTACAATGGCACCAATATGATGATTGTTTTTCAGCAAAATGATTAACTGATAAGATCATTCAGAGGAAAATTACTAGTCTAATTTCTTAATGAAGAAGAAACAGTTTGGGGGAGACTTGAAGGAAAAATGTCTGATTACAGCTTCACAGACAGAAGACTCTTGCTGCAATCTTACATTTCAACCACTCTTAAGACTTAAATTTGGTCTTCAGCAAAATATAATCACAATTTTTTACTTATTGTGGCTAAATGATTGATGTAAAAAATGAAGACAAGATAGTTTTTAAAATACCCACAGATATTCAACATCCTTCTTTCAGGATGTTGAATTGTGAATATAAATCGCTGAATCTCTCCTCCTCTCTTCCCCAGGTGCTGTATTATGAGCTGCTGGCCATCCGTGAGGCCTGTATAAGCCTGGAGAAGGAGTACCAGCCAGGCATCACCTACATTGTTGTGCAAAAACGCCACCACACACGCCTCTTCTGTGCCGACCGCAACGAGAGAGTGAGTCCCCCTTCGCATACACACAAACGCAGATAAATGCGTGCTCGATCTGACAGGGTGATGGCTCCCATTAAAGTCCGTACAGTCTGTTATTTGTTTGTCCATATTCTTGTTTTATGCTCCGAGCCGGCATGTTAAGTACTCAAAATGGCTCTTCTTAATTACCTTTTGTTGTCAATTGGGCCGTTCACCCTCCTAACCCCTGTAATTACATTCGATTAAAGCATTAGAGCCCAGTGCAGAACCCAGAGCTCTAGAGTGGCACTCAAGGCCCAGAGAGTAAGACTGGGCTAGTTAACAACCTTATTTTCAGTGCAGTCACTTCCACCCAGAGCATTAGGCTCTCTGGAGCATTAGGCCTTTAATTGGTTGATTGGGAAGCACTTGGTAAAGCTAGGCTAGGTCAGTCCATCAGCTAGATCTTTTTTTTCCATAAGTGTAGTTTTTGCTTGTCATTAAGTGCTTTAAAGCTGTGTTTTTCTGCTGCTCTTTTCCATCATGTCTGCTCTCGTTGTTGTTGTTTTTTTTGCTTTAAAGTGAAAAAATGGTACAAACATTTGGGACTGAGTGACCTCAACTTTGCTCTTGTCAGGTTGGACGCAGTGGAAACATTCCTGCTGGTACTACCGTGGATACGGACATCACACATCCCTACGAGTTCGACTTTTACCTCTGCAGTCACGCTGGAATACAGGTCAGAACAACCTCTTGTCTTTTCTACCCTTTTCAGGTGGATTTCATCATAGTCTTCTCCCCTCATTGGTATCATTGTGAGCCTCTGAAGACTGATGCAGTGCTGTAAGAAGATGGTAAACAAGATGTGGATGTAAAAAAAGGAAATGCTTGTTTTTTTGTTTTTTCCTTTTCATGTTTATCTTAAGTTCGATCTCTCCGGGAACTGCTGACTCGCCTCTGCGAAAAGTTTTATAGATCTTAATGCAATTTCATGGGTTTGGTTCCAAAAGTATCTCTTCCTGCCTAACAACTGAAATGGGTACATCTTAACTCTTCACAAGATTTAATTTATTTATTTGTTTGACAGAGGATAGATACATATAGTCTTAATTTTTGCAGTTTTGTTTAACCTCTTAACATGCTCGTCAAATTTAAGCTAGGATTCCAAAGTTACATTAAAAACTTTAAATTTCTTTACCCCCTCTATCTCTCTCTCTCATCAAGAAAAGCACATCAAGACAGTTTTGTTATGTCCAAAGTCAGATGATTGTGTTGAAGTCTTAAAGACACACCAGACATTTCCTTTGAAAGTATCTCTTCTGCCATCGGGGGGTTTTGCAGACACACGGATAATTGTATTATTTGGATACGTTTGACAATAAACCCTTTTGCAGCTGTCAGATAAATCATTTATATACAAAGTAAAAAGTAAAGGACCTAGAGTTGAACCTTGTGAATTTTTTCAATTTGTAAGTCTGGACGGATGACTCGGTAACACACTGCTCTTTGTTCCCAAGATATGATCTGAGCCAAGTCTCAAAAAATTTAATATTTGCAGTTTAATAGACGGCTGGACATCAAGAATCAGTGCCAGGAGCAACCATTTAATCTAAAAGTCAAACTATTGGGCGATGGAAAAAAACGCAACACAAGACTCTTGAATCCTCCTGTCCTCCAGCTCCTACTTGAGACTAAAAGGTTTTTGGAGTAGGACTGCAGGGTTCTGCGAAAGCCCTTTCTCAGAGACAACATCTTTTGAGCTGAAAACATACAGGTTGCGTATTTGGAGTGTAGCAGCAGTGTAGTTCAGCCCCGGTCAGCTGGGCTCAGTATGGAGGAAACAACATGCTCACAACAGGTTGTTTTGTCTTTCTGTGGTCGATTTCCTCTAATTTGGATATAATTCAGTGACTGTTGAGCCTCTACTTTAAATGAAAAAGCAACGTGATTTTACCATTTCCTTTTTCAAGTTTATTCGTGTTTAATAAAGTAAACTATGTTCCTTTATGTCGTGCTGTTACTTTCAGACAGATTGAGGAGTTAAAGTCCTGTTCGCATATGGTGTTTTATTTTGAAATACCGGATTACGTGCGCGGTTTTCACGCTTGACTCCCTGTCTGGAACGATTTTCTCTATGTGGATTGACACATGTTGGAAGCGTAGAGCACCAAATTAGACTCATTGCATATCTTTCGCAGTGCTGCTCTCGATACAATGCTGCGACGGAGCTGATACGCGTCCTGTATGTGATGCTGCGTTGATTAGAATGGCGACCTATTTGCTGCGTGATACACAACGCTGCTGCCACGCCCCAAATACACATCCTGTATGTTTTAGCCTTTAATATTCAGAATGTTACTCCTCTTTCTATCAAGAGGACACTGTAATCATTCTGTATGTGAAACATCTGCATAGAAATATACATTTTTTAATTCAGTTAAAGTGCTTCTCTTTGTGTTTACCTCCTAATGTGTCTCATTTTTGACTCTTTTTATGTGATCTCCTGACATTTCTGTTTTCTCTGTTTCTTTTTTACTCCTAGTTGAAATAGCAGTCGCATTTGTACCTTAATTCTGGATCTAATAATGATATAAAAGTGTAATTTCATTCCCCTCTCCAGGGCACCAGCCGGCCCTCCCACTACCATGTTCTGTGGGACGACAATTGTTTTACCGCTGACGAGTTCCAGCTGCTCACATACCAGTTGTGCCACACCTACGTGCGCTGTACCCGCTCAGTCTCCATCCCTGCGCCTGCCTACTACGCCCACCTGGTGGCCTTCCGTGCCCGCTACCATCTGGTGGACAAAGAACACGACAGGTGAGGAGAGGAAACAAAGACGATTTCTTTTTTTTTCATTCCGGGTGAACAAGTCTCGAACTCACAGCAGCTGTCGTGTATTACTTGAGAAACGTTTTTCACCATGCATGCTATTGTTGTTGTTTACCATCAGTCCTAACTGGTCCCCTCTCGTCCCCCTCTGTAGCGCCGAGGGCAGCCATGTGTCTGGCCAGAGCAACGGTCGGGACCCCCAGGCACTGGCCAAAGCTGTTCAGATCCACCACGACACCCTGAGGACCATGTACTTCGCCTGAGCTCCACCAACCCTCTTGAAAACCATTGCCACCTTGTTCACACACAAAAACACACAGACCTAACCGTGCACGCCTGGCCTGCCAGTCAAGAAGTCCTCATATGTGCAAGTCCCGCCCCCCCCTACATGCCTAGTCAATCCGGACCTGACACTGTGCAGAGGAGCGCAGGGAGGAGGGAGGGGAGGAGGCACCCCCACACTGGACTGAGGATGCAAAAGCTGCTTGAAAAACAAACAAGAGAGAAACTCAGCACTATTATGCAATATTAAACCAGCCAACTAGTTCATTTTCTCCCTTATCAGGCCCCCTTCCCCTTCGGTTGCCCCACCTTCCTGTTTTTCCTCTGTTTTTGTGGCCTGTGGGTGTTTTTTTGTTGATTATCTCTCCTTTCTCCTTTGGCTCAGTCTCTCTTTCTATCCTACCGATCTGCTCCTTTCCTGTCTACAGTACCTCAAGTCAGTTAGAGCAGCAGCACTTTCACATTCTGCCAGTTTAAGTGTCGTTTGTTGTCGACTCTCTCTCCCCCCTCGGTGTTTGAAATGACGGTGCAGAGATTGAAGAGAGTCAGATTCTGGAGGTTTAAGTTATGTTGGGTTTATGTTGGAATCTAATGACTCCATGTTGAAGAGGGTTGTCCCCCTGCCCCTCAGCTCCCACTTTGACTTTTCCCTTTTTCTTTTTCTCTTCTGTCAAGTTTCACTAGTGTGTGGAATCACCAGTTTATTTTGAGCACACTGCCACCTGTTGGCCACGAGGTATAAATGCCCCCCAAGTCACAACGACGAGTTGTTTACTTATGAATTTTCCAATCACCTTAGCAGTCAGCTGCTACATTTAACAATGGCAGTTTTGGTAGCTGATATATCCATTGTTCTACAGTATGTATTTCATTTTAAGTATAACACTGTTATTTAATTGTTTTATTTTGTTCTCCATTATGTGAAACATTTTATGACTTTTTTAAATCACTTCAATCATGTAAGCCTTTTTTGTTTGTTTTTATCTCTAATTAGTCAGCATGCTTTTATTGCCCTCAGTGCTTTATCTCATTTCCCCTCTCTTTGAGTTGGAGAAGGCGTTTAAATCGAGATCACGTCGATGGTTTCCTCTAGTGCAATAATCAGCCGAAACGAAGGGAAGAGGATCGTAGGGGGACTTTAAAAGAACACTTACACGTTTCATTTCAAAGTCCTCGCTCAAAGTTTGCCACTCGCCGGGAGCGTTCACGTATCGCTCCTCTGTGGGGCGTTTGATCGGCGCGTTTTACGAGTTTGCCCTTGCTGTTGGGCAAAAAGAAAAAAGGTGCAACTGCAGTTTTCGTGTTTTTTTTTTTTTTTTTACTTGAATTGAAGGATGTTATGCACCTCTGTGGTTTGAGGCTACTTTTATTACACGTGGGTGTAATTTCAGAGTTTGTTAATGTGGCTGATTTTCTTAATTCCCAAGACTTACATAGCTTCTCATCTGACTGCAGCAAAGTGGAGAATAAGGCCATAAAGAGGTAGTATCAAGTGCCTGGTGGAGGTTTGGTGTCCGTTGGTCTGAATTGACTAATTTTGTCAGTGGGATGAAATCAGATGATCGAGTTTATTCCAATAAATAGACAGCATAAGATGGTTAAAAGCAAGAAAGTTCACCTAATGCCTCTTATTCTTCTCAACAACCATCTACTGACTTTTCTATACATCTCATTGAAATCATACGAAGATCGTCTATTTATTGTGTTTGCTTTTACAGCAGTGTTAGCTGTCCTAGTGGCTTTGCCAGGTCGTCTCTGCCTGACCTTTACCAGACATGGATACAGCTGCTACAGTGTGTTTGTACCTATAAGGCCGGGGTCATGGGTGTTGAAATCAGCCTTTGTCATAAAACTGAATCTTTCAGTTATCTCTTTGTCAGTGAATCTCCTAAATATGAACGAGGTTTGAGTTTCAGCCCATGCGACCAGCCAGGAGTCGGCTTCAGAACAAAGCTGAGGAGATAAGTTAGTGACCGGTATCTGATAATATGAAATGTGTATTTGGATTATAGTCACTGCTTAGCTCCTCTGTGCTGCTGCTGATGGCCTGAAGCCCGTCTGGGGGTTGTATTTTCAAAGTTATCTGCACTAAAAGAAGCTGTGTTTGGGGACTGAACACAGGCGTGGTGCTACTCTGTCTAAAGCTGAACCTTTATGTGAGACTCTAGATGAGCAGGTGTGGAGGGAGAGGAAAGAAAAACAGTTAACCTCACTCACTTAAGGACAGGAAAAGGTGCTGTAGTCGGAGCGGGGTGTGCTCTAGGATTAAGGAAACTTTGAGGTTAAGGTAGTGCTGATCACGATGGAGAACCTGTAAACGGTACACTCGTGGAGGTTCCCTCAGAACTGAAGGGTCCTGCATCCACTGTTGCATTCGACTGCCTTTCCTTGGCCAGTGGGTTTGAGCCTTCATTATTTCACTAATGTCTGAAAGCCTTTATAAAAAGCCAGATTGAAAGTATATTTGTACATTTTAAATTATGTAATGCACACCACTTATTTTTGCTAACAGAAAAAAATGTAGTCTAAAAACTATTAATCTTAGTAACAATGTATCCTGACGAGTAACGGTTAAAAAAGAAAAAAAGATCTAGTTACAAAGTTTTATTATCGCAATAGACTGTTGAAGTGTTCCTGTGTCACTTTCGTGTATGTGTGAACAGTGGTGGGGTTGTTGTGTTTGGACTGTAAAACTGTTATTGATCGGGATGTGGACTTAAACTGCCTCGTGCTTTGATGTTCGGATACAAAAAAAAAAAACTGCAAGATGTTGAATGATCTTTTCTCTGCTTTTTTTTTTTTTTTGGTAGGCATTCAAACTGGAGGTTTGTCATTGACGAGAAATTTTCGGGGAGAAAAAAAAATCGCACAGCAGACGGTTTTTGTATTAAGAAATTACATCCCTTTTTTTTTGCGGCGGTAATAGCAGAAGAATCGGTGATGTTTTCTGCTCCTGAATGTTCCCGTCATTTGGTGCTGATGCTCGCTCCTTATCATGACTGAAGAGGAAAAAGGGGAGTTTATTTGAAAGTGTTGTCAAGTCACCTTAAGGACACATGGTCAAGCTATGTTGTAGTAGTTCTCCATTGCTTTCCTTTTGTGTTAAATCCTCCAGGGGATTTGCGCTGGATTGCAACCTCTGTTGCCTTCCTCGGAGTCCGAGTCACTTTATGTGCCCGCAAACACAAAGAGTCAGCCTCTCGGTAAATCTGCGGTGTGACAAAGCCTGTAATCTTATTGTTGCTCTCTTTTCCTCTTTCTCTCCCAAACATTTTACTCCCAGTGTACCAGAGGAGTACATTCCACGGCTGTACAATCCCATCCGATCCCCTTCTGGGAGGCGAAAGACGAATAAAAGCTGCGGGACGAGTTGATTCAGTCAATTGAGGGTGTGTGGTTTTAGACCGAATCAAAGCTGACGGATGATGAGCTTATGTGGCAGGTTGCGTTGGAAGTCTGAGGGTCGATCCGAAGAATTTGAATCACTTTCTAACTCACTCTCTCTGCTGTCTGTGATAGATTTAGTATGTGTATGATCTACACTCTCGGGGGCAGTTAAACACATGTTTACATAGCAGATGTGTTTGCCTCGATCGCAGCTGAAATGTCATCAGCTCTGCTTTGCAAATCTTAGCTTGTAGTGATGTGACCTAACACGGGGAAGACCATTCAGGGCCTGAGGAAGTGAGCGCGCCAAGGAATACAAAGGCATAATTGATAGGGTCAGTTTTTCACTCATCGGACATCTTTGTTACACAGTGAGGGAATAGGTTTGTTTGTTTTTTTTCCGTTCTATTAAAATGACTTGGCATAAAATGAAAGGACACACACAGCTCGCAGCTAGCTTTGGCCTTTTACTCTCGATTAGGATAACAGTATGGACAAGTCTTTTTTACAGAAGCAGGAGAAACAAACATATCAGCAAAGTGACAGAGTCTGGTGAAGAAAAATCGCCAAATTAAATCCGAAAGGTCAGTGTCTCGCCTTCGAATGAGTTAAGGTGTATTCCATTTTGAGTAACCGATCAATAAATCCCAGATTTTTTGTTGCAGTGGAAAGTAGCAAAGGAGTGAGAAAAAGTCCACAGAAAGTGCCTTTCCTCTTGATGGTGCTGTAAACTGAAAGATAACGGTGAAAAATCAAAGAGTCAGAATGTCCTTTTCAAGAAGACGTTGCAGTGCAAGAACAGCTGCATTCACACACACGCACTGTACATGTTTGTTTTTTAGAGACGGCGATGCAAACTCGTGTTTTATGTTTTTAGATACAAAGCCTACGTAGAAAAAGAATAAAAAAGCCAAGTATCTGGTTGTGGTTGAGCTTTTCGCTTCATAGTGCATTTAGCGTCTTGGACCAATGGTGTCGTTGGTACAGTGCGATAGGGTGGGCGGTTTTAGCAGTTTGGGCGGGGTCGGGTGTAGGCGGCACTAGCGTGGTTTTGACACGACGGCCCAGCCCGCGAATGACAAACATAGCACAGCACTTTAGAGACTGCCACTCTCACTCAGACACATAGCCAAGAGGTTTTCCTCCGCTCCCCTCCTTCCTCCTCCCTTGAACTAGAAGGCGGAGAGGATCAAAACCTCAGAGTCGAAGTCGAAGGGAGGTGGGTGTTACCAAACAGAAGCAGTTGGATGTCAAAGTGTGCCTCATGACTCTTAGTGGCTCGGTTGCCTTTTGGTGGAAGTTTCTCTGTCGGAAACACCACCAGACGTTTCTTACAGCTGGGGCTGGGCGTCAGAAACTAAGATTAAAGGTCCTTACACACCGGGACCGTTTTTATCGTGCAATTATTTCAGACGTGAAAATGTTTTCTGAAACCTGTATCCTGTCAATACAAGCGTTCACATCAGCGACGTTTTCCCGTCCTGCGATATTGCGGCATTTATTTTTTCAGATCACAGTAGATTTTTTAAAGTTTTGCATACTGAGTGTCCACTTCTGACCAATCAGATGTCGTGTTGTTGCGTCGTCTGATTCACCGGTATATCCAACATGGCCGACCGGCTGATTGTTTACGTGTCGGAGAACAGAGTGCTTTTTGATTAAAGACACAAATATTACAAAGATAATGACCTGAAGGATAGTTTGTGTGCTTTAACAGTTTGCTAAACGTCTTTGTTTTAACTTTCATCTGTGCTAAGTAACTTTAGCTCGTAAGCTAACCTGTTCAGATACAACATACCATATGTATTTTCACTGTCTCAAACTTAAATCGCATTGTTACCTTACGTTTATGGATTATAGTTTAATGTGCTTGTCTGGTACTGGCCCCGACTCAGTACCAGTGTTGTTTTTGTCAACGCCCCTTTTTTTCCACGATGAAGACGTGACGTCGACAAGCTAAACATAAGTCTTAGATGACTAAAATGTGACAAGACGAATGTGCGTTTACGTTGACGAGACGAGACTAGACGAAAACGTTAGACGACGAACAGAGTTGCAAAATTCATGAGCATTTCGTCAGTCAAACGCTCAACATTTTCGTTGACGATGACGTTGACAAAATATTTTCGTTGATGAAAACAACACTGCTCAGTACATGCTATAATGATAGACAGCCATCTCAAGTCGACTTTTTTTTTTTTCAGACCTGAAAAACAGTCAGTCTGGTGTTGTGTCGGTCTTCTCGCTTCCACTCGGGACGCGTCTTTTTTTCCCCACGGAAAGTCGCATCGGGCTTGATGTGTGTAGTCAGGCGCGTCAAAATTCGCCTCTGAATATTCCGTAATTTCACGTCGTATATTTGCGTCGTTCTCGGTGTGTAAGGACCTTAAATCTGAAGAATCTCAAATTTGAAAATAACCAGTATTAATATCGGCATTTTAACCACCTGAGATAAACTGTAGTTATTTGTGTATCTCTGTTTCGCCCAGCCCTAGCAGCAGCCCACGGCGTACTTTCACTGATGCCCCTGCTGTGTGTCTTGTCCCCGATGGAGGGAACGTGTCCAGTCCTGAGCCGGTTGGGTGTTGACTGAAAAACTGAAGGTGGTCTGTAGTTGTGTGGGTACCTTTTCAGTCCAGGGGGGTGAAATCTTTCTATTACAAGAGATCTCTAAAAACACTGCACCTCACTTACCTTGGTATGCTGCATATGTTATACTACATGAAAGAAAAAAACTGCAAACTGCTTTTATTATGACATATAATGCTTGAGTAATGCCTGATTGCGATATTCTTATACAGTAACTATTTTAGAGTCGAAATAAGTATAACTGTACAAAATATTCTCTGTTTTTTGTCTTAACACTTATCCGATTTTGACGAATTGTTCTTGAGCCGACTTTACTTTGTTGTCCTATTTAAATGTGTCGTTTCTTTTAAATTTATATATGAAATATATATGTGCGGAATATTTTATGGTGTATTTATTGAGAGTGCGTTCAAGCGGCTGGAGTCTCCGCATCATATTGCAGCATGGTGGGGGTGGAGCCAGGAGTGAAACGAGGCCTTTAGCCCCTCCCCCTCCATGTTGACGCCTTATTCTCTTAGACACGCAAGCACAACAATATGGAGGGGGGTGCGAGGTGGAGGAAAAGGAGGAGGTCTATTTTGCCTGGACAAACGGAGCCGTGTATCAGGTTCTGGTTGACGTCTGAAGGTCAAATCGTCCTCTTTCTTTTCTCAGTATTTTTTTGCCCTCCACTTTTCTTTTTACAAACTTTAGAAGGCCAAAACGCTAACCCCCACATGTTGCAGCTCATCTCTGACGAAGGGAACCATTTCTGAACCATACTGACGTCAAATATTGTCGGATAGTCAACTTTTTTTTTCTTTTTTTTTCAATCATCCCAAGCTGCTAATTGGTACGTTAGCCATGCGAACTCCCTGAGCCAGTAAAGAGCAGGTGGGAAAAGAAAAGAAGAAAACTTTTAAAAGCAGCAAGGGAAGAAAAGGTCGATGTTGAAACGGCAGAAATCTTTAAATCCTGGTGAAAATTTAAAGTGTTGAATCTTCTTTCCTTTTGAAATTCGTCAAGTTTTTTCTTGTGCCAGAACCTTTTTGTTAAAGAGCAGGAAACAGGTCTCATTCCACAAAAAAAGAAGACACGCCTCAGCCTTAAGTGCGTTCTTACGTAGTCGTCAGATTTCCATGTGCTCACAAAACTCTACCGGCGTTTTCATCTCTTTTCATATTTCATGTAAACCACTAGTATTGCTGCAGGATTACAATGTACGAACAGCTTTCAAAGATTTACTCTGGCATGTTTGTACTGATGTCAGAACTGAAAACAAGTCTGGGTCAAACTGCGTTCAGAAATCACTCTCGGCTTCAAATCAGCAGAAATTCAGAAATGAGGAAGAGATCATCGTAAAATAAAAAAAATCTCAATCATGTAAAAATTTGCTGATGTCAATCCAAAGACGAACCTTTCCAGACGCGGTTTGACTCAGACTTGACTGGAATGTCCTCACAGAGCTGGATTACAGAGACCTGTGCCTGTATAATGAACCAAGGTTGAGTTGTGTTTTGATGAATTGCTGTTTTTTGTTTTTTTCTTTATAAACTGTTTTCATGGGTTGTCCCTCACCCAGTCAGAGGATCAGAGACATGGAGCTTTTGAGTGTTGTCCATCCTGTTCCAAAGTCGAACAAAAAGGCCCTCTGTCCTTGAATCGATGTTTACTGTAATGTTTACTCCCATGGCTATCAGATGTTTCACCTGTTTTCATCCCATTATCATTCCAATAATGACTTTGAACCAAATATTGCACAAGAGATTAGGCTCCTGATGCCGTGTTTCCCATGTAGACACACACACACACACACAATGGTGTTGGTGACAGATATTCGACAGTGGCCAAGGATCGAACACAATATCTGCGTGAGCTGATTGTCATATTCTTTTCCATGTAGCATCTCTCTCACTCTCGTGTCAGTTTGATTTCAAAGTGAAGATCTTGGGCTCTGATACCTCTGAGTGAGGCACCAGCAAATGGATGTTTGTAACACGTTTGAACAGTGAACCTTCACCACCAGATGATCCATGTCTCAGTCTCTCTGTGTGCTGCAAAGCCTCTGTTGTACCAACAGCTCTATTCCTCTCGGTTTGAATGTCTCTTTCTTTTGTAACTCTCTCTCTCTCTCTCTCTCATAGGTTGTTGGCCTTTTAGTGTTGCTTTGCTTCAGTTTGAAGTGTATCTTTGACTAATACTTGCAATAAAATGCTTTGCTTTACCCGGGTTGTCTTTGAGTTTTATAAATTGAATTAATTTTGTTAATGAAACACAAACTACATGAAGAAATCCCAGCAGCAAAAGTGACTCCACACAGGTGGTTTGTAGTCGGGGTGGGCTGATAATTGGACTTGGCTGATCGCCGTTTATTTTACAGATGGCTAACAAAATTCACTGAAAGCTGCAGTACTTTGGCTCGGCTGTCTGTGTGTCTTCCCCTCTGGGTCTGGTTTCTTTCCCTCACTGACCACCAGTGTTAATTCTGGCTGCTGTTTTAGATTTAGTCTCAGTTTTTTGATTAAAATGCATTTTAGTTTTGATCACATTTTAGTTTTAGACTCAACACAAACTGGAAAAGTGTAGAAGATGCATGGAGGCAGAGAGGATTACAGTCTTAATGATTTTAAAAGCAAACTGAAAACGTACATTTTTAGTATTTCTTGTAACTAAATTTTAAAACATTAACTTTAAGTCGTTATTTTTTAAGTTTCATTCTGTTTCTTTGTTTTTAGATTTTAACATAAACCTCCAGTGTTTCCTTATCTTGAGTTTTAAAATGACGTTTCCTCAGTGCGCACATTTCTGTTTCCACGAAATCAAGCCCTTTTTAAGTTTACACATTTTATTACTGTTTCTGTTGCATTTAGATTGTAGGGTGGGAATAAAGGGGTTATGTTGGGGTAGATTCGGGTATTCTTTATTTCTTTTTATTCCTTTTTCTGTGTAAAGCACTTTGTCCTACATGGTTGTGTATGAAAAGTGCTATCAAGACTGATTGATTCAGTCATTTTAAATGTCCAAAGGTCCATCCAAAAAACCTTTTTGTCTCATTAAATCTGTATTCGTCTGAGTTTTTGTCCTGTCATTATCATAAAAAAGACAGGGTGTCCATTCTGTTTCACCAGGTAGAGCTCAAATCATGCTTAATCCCTAAAACTGTTGAGAAAGTTGGATCTCTTTAAGCATTCATATTTTCTTCTGTCAGGCAGGAAACCCTCAGAGAATAGATCTTTCATTCATTGCATAATTGGGAAACGTGCAAACAGCTGCATGCCGAGTTGTGGAATGCAGGAAGCCGAGGTTGTTGACATTGAGCGTACAGCTTGGCATAAATTGCAGTTGGCTGCGACGAGGATGGGATTCGAACCCACGCGTGCAGAGCACAATGGATTAGCAGTCCATCGCCTTAACCACTCGGCCACCTCGTCACCACACCTGTTAATCATTGACATACGCATCAGTAGGTGAAAGGTGACAGACTGCAATTGTATTGTTTTAAAGCTGCTATGAGGAATTTTAAGTATATGAGTCTAGCGCCCCCTGTGGCCAGGCTGTATCCTGCAACAAAAAATCATTCTGCTTTCTTATGATAATTGGACATGTCACCCATGGAGAATCTTTATAGAGGACAATTTAAACCCATTTTAGTTTCTGCAGCGTGTTGTTAAAGGTTTTGTTTGACTCCTTCCTCCCCGCTGCAGTTTCAGGTACTAAAGCTACTTTAAAGCTGCTGTGAGTAACTTTCAGTTTCAGCTTCAGAACTTTGCTGTTCTTGCCTTTTACACGCAAAAGTCGTGTCATCTAATAAAAACTCATTCTGTTGATTTTGACAGGCTAAAGTGTCATTTGTAATAGATTTTTTTAATGATATGTTCTGTTGATTTAGTTTTCCCCTGATTTTGGTCATTTCAGTGAATTTTCTTTGTGATTTTTCCGAGTGTTTCTGTTCCCTGTAGTCCTATCTTTTGAGTTTTCAGTTTGTGTCAGACCCCTGTTCCCTCATGTTCTCTTTGTTTTATTCTTTATATCAGTTTTCAGTGTTTCCTGTTTTATTTTGTAGTACTTTATTCCCTGTGTTTGAAGTCTTGTTTTACTTCCTCAGTTTTCCCTCCTCTGTAATTGTCCACACCTGTGTCTCAGTGTCTCACCTGCATCTCGTTGCTCGTTTTCCTGTGTATATATAGTCCTTTATAGTCCCGTCTTCCCCTGTTTGTTTCTTTGTTGGATCATTGTGTGTTGTATGTATGTTTCAAGGTGTGCATGTGCAAGTGTCTCCAGTGTCTCCTTGTGATTTGTCCCCCAATGCCTTCGTTGGATTTTAGGAGTAAGTTTTTGTCGCCTTATTTAGTTCTTTTTTTTCGTCCTGCATTTGGTCTTTTTCTTTGTTTAACCCTACAAGGGCGTCACATATTTCATGTTTCATGTGTTCTTAGAGGAGATTTAAAGGCAAAGCTGATCTTTGAACTGATGGTCATAACCATAACCAGGAGCTTTAAAGGGGGAAAAAAAACTCTTTGCACATTTAAGAAATTTATACTTGCATTAAAGTGTGACAGGATTCAATATTGGCTCCAGTTTCAGAGAGCTGAGAAGTTTATAAAAGAAGTAAAGGGTCTTCACTGTGAGTGAGGATTTAAAACCCACTCAGACTGAGCTGTTCCCACAGGTAAGTGACCACAGGTGTGATATGTGGATGTATAAAACTGTGTGTGACCTGAGATGAAGAGGAGTTTCAGGGACTGTTGTCACATTTAACACACTTTAAGCCTCTTTACACACACAGGTACAGGTTACACAGGTGTGCAGACCTGTTTTACCTGATGTGTTAGGACGTCCTTCGCTTTGTCACACCTGTTATCCGAGGACTCGCTGCATTGTGATAATTTGTGAGAGCATGAGGCTGAACTTTAATCATCAAAACTTGACACAACTTCAGTCCAGGAGGAAGTTTAGCAGATATGAGGATTTGTAAAAGTTTGTTTTGAATGAAAAGTACCGTGTTAACATGCTGATAAGAGTTTTATCTCTTAGACTCAGCTTTACAGGATTTTGAACTTTCATTTCATCCTTTTTTTTGGCACTCAGCATCAATATAAACTCATACACTCAAATATCTGCATCCTAAAAAATATCTATCTCCTATTATCAGTCATTTAATTCTTATTTATTGGTAAAATCTCATCCATGTGTGAGAGCACGACTGATTTTCTGATTAATGTCCGCTTCTGTGCCAGTTTTGGCGAACTAATCCACTCAGTTGAAGTGGTAAAAACACGTCTGTTTCCTCACTTTGAGAACATTTCTCACAGCCGTAGTGACGAATAATGAGAGCACAATAACATCCAGCGAATGCTCATCTCCGAGCACAAACACTCAAAGTCATTAAAAAACTACACAGAGACGGATGCGTCGTTTGAAACCAGATGCTCTGTGGGCTGAGCCTCGACACTGATTAACTGTTATAAACTGCTCCGTCTCCCTACACAGAAACATCCTACCGACAAGATGATGGTGTTAATTTACCGACATCATTTAGATAAAGGGGAGGCGCAGCTTACACAAACAGATGTGGTCTGTGTGGGACTGTAACACAACTATAGCAGTTTCTTTCATTACGATACAGGATACAGTTAAAGCTACTCAATCACATCAAGTATGAATCAAATTCACACTGTGATGTAAAACAAAATGTAGGAATTAAGGTTTTCTCGTGAAACAAGTAGATAAAATATGCAAAAAGGCGTAATAGAGCTCAAGGGAACTGCTGAGTCTGGTTGCCGAGCTCTCTTGAATACCTCGCTGTGATTCTCAGTCTTGTTACTGTCACGAGTGATTTTAGACATCAAGCGAAGTTCGTGTTTTGTTTGTCTATCACGACTTGGAAAACCTCACAGCAGCCTCTGACAGTTTATTTTAACACACTCCCTGTTAAAAAGCATGGTATGTAAGTCAGACTGGAGGATATCAACACTGTCAGCAAAGGAGGAAAGAAAACATCAAAACAAAGCCCCAAGGCTGTTTAGTGAACCGTCTAAGGTCTTTAATTAAATCATGTCTAAGAATAAAGTTTGTTGAATTGTTTGACAGATCCTTTTAAAACTCTCTCAGCCACTGTCGAGGGATCTGTCATGTTTATTCGACACTTTCCCCCCTCGTCACGTTACATAATCTTGCTAAATCAACTATTGATGCAGCAGCAATTTGGGCAGTCAGCACTTAATCATAATTACCAAAGCAGCAACATAAATCATTCTGATTAAAATAAACACCAACTGAAAGTATATGTCAGCTTCAATACATCTCTGAGACGCCATTTTTATGAATGGGTTTACAAAACAAACGAGTGTAGAAACAGGTGTCTCTAATGGAGCTGATCACAGTGTGATCGAAAAATCGTTTTTTCAGTGATTTTTTTTTCTTCTCTTCCGTCATTTTAAGGTTTTATGAAAAGTGTTAAAGGGATATTCCGGCGTAAAATTAATTTAGGGTCAAACACACCGTAACACGGGAGATAAATGTTGCACGATAGCAATACACAGTGGTCTGAGGAGCCATAAACAAACCTCAACCAAAATGCCACTCTATAGCCACAAATAATGCTCAGAACAGCACCTAACTTCATCAACAGTACATATAGGGTCCCAGCCATAGTACTAGCAACGAAACATCTTTTTAACTTTACCTAATTTCTTATTAAAGAGATTAAACACAACTCACCTACTCTCTTCCAGCAGCCGCTTGTTTGTAGCAAGAGCTCGGGATAGTCCATTACAGACTACAGTGGGGTGACGCAGCTCAAGGAAGAACATTTATGATCATTTCTTTATCATTTCCATGAAGTAATAATCATCATATTTTGCACTGCAGACGCTGTAGTTCTTCTGCCTTAGCGTCTCTTAAAAAAAGAAAAATTAGTCAAAGTTAAAAAGATGTTTGGTGTCTAGTACTATGGCTAGGACCCTATATGTCCTGTTGATGAAGTAAGGTGCTGTTCTGAGCATTATTTGTGGCTATAGAGTGGCGTTTTGGTTGACAGAAGCCCTGTTTGAGCAAATATATTTGACTTCTACTTTAATTTAAATTGACCTATGACCCATGTTACAACAGTTAACATGGGGAAGGTGCAGATTATGAACAATACTGCAGCCAGTCAGCAGGGGGAGCTCTAAATCTTTGGCCTCATAGATGGTGAACACTTGTGACACCTGTTTTAATATACAGTCTATGTTCAGAGCTCGTTTTGAAGATGAAAGATCATGTTTCTAGTGACATACAAATTTTTATTTTTTTTAAAGTACTTTTTGGGGCGATTTTTGCCTTTTTATTGATCGAACAGAGTGAAATCTGGGAAGATAGAGAGAGAGAGAGAGAGAGGGGGAGGACATGCAGCACATGGTCGGGGCCAGACTCAAACCTGCGACCGCTGCGGGGACCGTGATCTCTGTACATGGGGTGCACTAACCTGCTCGGCCATCTGCGTGCCCCGTGACATACGAAACTTAAGATGTCATCAGTGCTTCATAGAACCTAAGAGGAGTACAGGTCAGAGGTTAAAGTACTTCAGAGAGATTTCATTAAAATTTATTATGTCTTTACCTTACTCAGAGCACAAATAAACTACTGAAATAGATGATCTGTCCCATTATAAGACAACTAATATAACAAAAACAAAGAAAAACTAAGAAGTAAAGTCATCATCCTTGGGAAATACCAAATCTGACTCTTCTTTCTTTAGACATTTTCTTAAATTGCAATCATTCATTCAACTCTTTAAATCCTTATCTAGAGTTTACCACCTTAAGTATGTCTAATGCACTGGAGTCTTTATAGTCCTCTACATTTACATTTGTATTTTTGAGCTCAGCCTTTCTTTTTTTGCTGAACTGCAGTTCCGCCTCTCACCAGTAGAAGGAGCAGTTCACCAAGGTAAAAACTGGTCTCATGAGGAGGGGAAGCTTTACCCTGTCCTCCTCGTCAGGTCTCATGAGGATAGCGTGTGTACAGGATATAATGTGAGTGTGTGTGTGTGTGTGTGTGTGTGTGTGTGTGTGTGTGTTTTCTGAGATGAAGCAGAGGTCGGGTACTGTCGAGGAGTCACACTGACGGCTGGAGTGAAAACAAAAGGGCCCTGGAGGACAGTGGGAAGATTTTTGACTTACAGGGAAAAATCATGCTTGATGGCATGATTCCCAAAGTGCTTTTCTGACATCCCAGGATATTGATGTCTGTATTTCAGAGCTGGATCTTGACTGTGATGTTATTTTTTACCTCTAACCTCCAGCGCTGTTTTGTCAGGTTGATGATGTAGAAGGAAAACAACTTGACTCCCTGGCTGCACACCAACACTTCCTCTTCTGTCCCAAAGATGACAAATGACTCAGAGGCAGAGAGAGTGATGTCAACCTAAAAAGAGGATCCACCGACTCCAGGAGAACATCCCCGTCCGAGCGCAGGAGCTGGCGTCTGCCGGGCACAGTCAGCAACAAATACTGAATTAATAAGATCACAGGCTTTTGTGGATGTAAGCATACTGTATGATTTAGTGTCTGCTGACTGAATATTTAGCCGTTTTTTAAGGTTTCTGGAAAGTGATGAAGTAACCCAGGTTTGTTTTGATGCACTTTGATTAAAATTCATAAACAAATCTCCAACATTTGATCCAAAATGACAATAACTTATGGAAGAGTTTGGGAGGAAATGCTTTTCAATTTTACGGCTGAAAGTAATAACACAAGATTTATGCCACTCTTGCATCTTTTCAGCCTGTATATTTATTGATAAAGCCAACAGCTGGCGAGGTTGCTCAACAGCAGTTTTTCCTCAACTTCCTGGGGCACATTTTTCCAAAAGTTTATTTTTGTTCTACTGGGCAGTTTTAGTGGCTCGAACCTGCAAGAACTTTAAATTTTTTTGTTGAGCTCAGCATCTTTCCTTAAAGCTTCTGTTGTAACTTTCTGCTTGTGTTGGTTTTGGCGCCCCCTGTTGGTAGTAAATGGAACTTGTAAGAAGACTGCTGATCTAGTCCTGTACGTGGAGAGCTACATCAAAATGTGATCAAATATTTGCAGAGGAAAAGGGATAAAAGGATTTTCTTAGCTAGCGGCCATCCTCTGGTCTGACACCTGCTACCTAGCAGCAGTTACAGGCGTCAAAGAGGAGTCTTGTTATTACAGGTTTCATTTATTCTCATAATCATCATCAAACATCTCACATTGGCGTTTGAAGATCTTGCAGGTACCAGATTAAAACTGGGGTGTTGTTTTGTGTCTCGTATAAAGCCAAAAACATACAGGATCCATATTCAGAGCAGCATTTGGTATCGCATACAGGTTGCGTATTTGGAGCGTATTTGGAGCGTAGTTCAGCCCCTGTCAGCTGGGCTCAGTATAGAGGAAACAACATGCTCACAACAGGTTGTTTTGCCTTTTCTTTGGTCTATTTCCTGTTAATTTGGATATAATTCAGCAACTGTTGTTCCTCTACCGTATGTGAAAAAGCTTTAAGTGATTTTACAGTTTTGGTTTTCGCAGGTTCACTCATGTTTAATAGAGTAAAGTATGTTCCTTTATGCTGTGCTGTTACCTTCAGACAGAGTAAGCCGTTAAAATCCTGTTGGGGTCCACATGAATCAGGGATTGACCATCACATTGTTCTGTGTTACTGATAAATCCAGAACCAGGAAGTATCTCTCATCTACATGAACTGATACACAGTCAGGAATTTGTGGTTTTCGTGTTTGACTTCCTGTCTAGAACAATCTTCTCTTTAGACTCGCTGCTTATCTTTAGCAGCGCTGCGACGGAGCTGATACGCGTCCTGTATGCTTTGCTGCATTGATTAGAATGGCAAACTATCTGCTGCGTGATACGTGACGCTGCTGCTACGCTCCAAATGCGCATCCTGTATGTTTTAGCCTTTAGGCTACATTGTGGAAAGGTTTGCTTCATTTAAAGCTACAATAAGGAGTTTTTAGAGTCTATGAAAAGGACTGAAATTCATATTGATGCCTTTTCATGGTATCCAAGAGCAAATAGGACCATCAGAGACAAGACTTTCATTTTATAAATTGTCATTTTTTTATGCCTGAAACTGTCACAGTGGCGTAGGTGTTGGCTAATATTTCCAATAAATTATCAATTTGACCTTCGAAAGTTAGCAGGATAAGATTTCTTGTCCAAAAGAAACCACTTAAGTGTGTAGACTTATTTGTCCACATGGGGTACCAAAACTGACACAGACCAAAAGTTGCTCACAGGAGCTTTAAGCCAAACATCAAATACCTTCGCAATTTGGCTACTCCATGGTTACGTGTGTAATCAATCCTCTAATCTTACCCTCAAAGAAAAAAGAAATCCCATCCACTGAGTGTAAAAAATGAACAGATAAATTAACATTTAGCTCCTGAAAAAGGCACAGTCTATAAAAGGACCAACTTTGAGGCTGTCCTTAAGTGGCCTTCCTGTTTTCCCCAGTTCCCCCCATAACACTCACTCTCCTTTTGTTAGCCTCTCACTGGTCCCTTTCTCTATAAGCATGAATAGATATAGTTCTGGCAAGGAAATCAAGCTGTGATAAGAGTCACAGCCAGAATACACAGAGAGATGTTGAATAATTGAGGTCAGAGAGAAGATTGGCTGGGGATGTTTCTCATATGTCAAGGACTGGTGCACTGCTCTTTACAGCTGCAGAGTACAATGCACACCATAAACAAGAGTCCAAATCTGAGAATCAGTTTGTGTGTGAGAGCGAGATGTTGTGATAAGATAGAATTGAGTTGTCAGGGATCAGCAGGCAGACCATTTTATGACTGTATGAATTACTACAGAGCCTTGTGGCATTTAGCTCTTCCTCTGAAATCTGCAGTTATTGTGCACAGTCGGTCCTCTGAGTGCTCCCAGTTTTCATTTAACTTTACAGATCATTTTGATGCCAAAAAAGGTGCCCAGTCCTGTCTTTGGCAGCACTTAGCTCAAGATACACCTGTTTTTTTCTTCAAAACCAAACCACAGTAAATCCTCAAATTTGAGCCATGTCTTGTATTTGCTTTTACCAGAGGTGGAGGAAAGTCCTTATGTTGCAAGTCCAAGTCGAGTCTCAAGTCTTGGCTCTCAAGTCCGAGGCAAGTCCAAGTCCTTACCGTTTCTTTCAAGTCAAAAACAAGTCATATCAAAGCCATAAACCATTTGTTACATGTAAAGATTTACATAAATCATGAGCATTTTTCACTATTTGTGTTTATTATTAAACAAGGGTTCTTGTTTGTGTTAAGTTACATAGTGCAGCTTTAACCAAACTATTTTACATGTCATAAAAAAAATAATCAGATAAACTTCAATAATTGGAAACTTAGACGATGTGCACACAAATAAGGAAGACTCAAATATAATTAAACATTAAACTGATACTCTAACTCACTGTTCCAAAACAAAACAAAAGAGAGACACAAGGCAACACGTGGAAACAGGCGGGCAATACTAGCGAGCGATTTATGTTCAGTCCTCCTGGTGTTGTCGTTATGAGGGAGGCTAGAGTTTGAGACAGTGTTGCCAAGTTTAGTGAGAAAAATAAGGAAACAGACCTCCAGAAACAAGACAAAAACAAGCGATTTTTTAGCGGGAAATAAGCAGACTTGGCAACACAACACGGTGTTACCAACGGCCGTAATTCCTGACTATTAGTTGATGTGACACTTTTTAAATGGTTTGGGCTGTAAGGTATTAAGTGACTTGAAAAGGCTCAAGTCAAGTCAAGTTTAAAGTCTTTAGCAATCAAGTCCCAAACAAGTCCAAGTCGTTTCTCGATCATCAAGCAAGTCAAAAACGGGACTCAAGTCCAAGTCGAGTCTCAAGTCGAGTCGTCAAGCCCCCACCTCTGGCTTTTACTGCCGAAGGTCCCAGGCCTTTAAATGAAGCAGGCCTGTAATAGAGGCAATAACAATGTCGGTGGCCTGTGATGCAACCTGTGAAGTTTCAGCTACTTTATAAGTCATAACAAACTTTCACTTTGTTAACTTTTCCTGACACACGAGACTTAACTTTATGAAGAGTCCTCCTGTCTGAGAGCGGACACTTCACAGAGGTTAACCGGCGGCACAGACAGGACTGAGATATCCTCCTGAGACGGATGAGGAATACTATAATTATTTGTAATTTTGCCCCTTAAAGAGTGACTTCTTGATCACAATTACCTTTGGAGAATTCAGAGTCTTTAAAAATATATGCTTGGGGAATTTTCTTGTAAATGAACCCATGACCTCCAGCAGTGTTATGGCTACTCTGCGGAGCTTAACTGGACCACACAGAGACAGTCGCACCAGAGGCCAAAAACAGGACAAAAGGTGATCAAACATCTGCGACAAAAAATTCCACTTAGACTTTTAGCTAAAGAGATTTCTATGCCAATGATTTGAAATCTATTAAAGAGAAGCTGCTCCTATTTGCAGCTAAAAAGTCCTCGATTTTAGCAGAATAGTAGATACAGCTTACAGCTCCCTGAGGCTTTATCCTAAGGAGGAGAAGACAGTGATGAAACATTATGAAAATGGGCTGAGAAATGTAGAGTGATGTGTGCTGAATACAAATCACTCACTGCTGGAGTCAGACTATTGCTTCATTTCAACACGTCTTAAAGTGCGCTGCACCTTTAATAGTTTTCAGCCATAAATGTTGGTGATATAGAGAGAAGTGGGCGATTCATTTTTATCCCCACCTGTGGCCTTTTGTCAAATGTCACTCTGTACTCTCTCTCTTTTCCCATTTTCCGTCTAACCCCACTGCTTGGTTTACCCATCCTGAGCTGCGCCGCGCCTTTATTAGACAGTTTTCAGCTATAAATGTGGGTAATAAAGAAAGAATTCTCAAGTGACGACGATGTGGAGAAGATTTCATTTAGCAAGATTCGTCCTTCCACATAGCAACAATAACAGGGTATCCTCCTGTCTGAGTAACGCTTCAAAGTACCTGACTCTTCAGAGAAATCAATTAAGCCTTTTAAGAAAAACGACACGTATTCATGACATGCCTTCAGAAAGTTTTTGTCTTGAAAACTTCAGCTTTTGAATTTGTTGTTTTTTGCTCTTTTATGGGATTTGTTGATGACACCAAAGATAGGAGTGTTGTCAGCCTTTTTCCTTCCACCCAAGAAAGAACAAAGAAGTACGTCCACAACTGGACTATTTCTGTCCGAAAGTACATAAATTATATTTTCCACACCAGTTTGAGGGAATGTGGGGCGGACCAGCTGTCTGTGCAGAAAAGGTCAAAAAAATCGAACATCATTGTACGCTGAGACCCAGAAATTGCTCTTCACAGCAGGTTTTTACAGCCACATTACCAGCTCTATGAGGCTGTACTTCAAACACAGACGTCCTCGTGTCACCCCCCGAAGAGACTTATCAGGTGAAAGCAGCTCAAACAGTCGTTGAAAAGGACAAGACTGTTAGTTTTATCACATTTCCCTCAGAAATGTGAAATTATGAAGAAACGCATAAAACCGACTTAAATAGAAACCACACAGAGCTAATGATAACTCAACAAGCTGCTGGAGCAGGTGTGAAGATGAATGTATTATTCATTTTTTGGCTTTAAATGCGTTCTGGATTTAGTACAACTCCCGGTCCAGCTCTCTGATCAATATCAAGAGCATCCCAGGGCGGCAGTATCTCAGGAGGTAGAGCGGTCGTTCAATAACCAGAAGGTTGGCAGTTCGATTCCCCCCTATCCCTGGTCTGTCTGTTGTGTCCTTGGGCAAGACACTTAACCCACCTTGCTCCCAGTGTGTGTCCTCCACTGGTGTATGATTGTGAGTGTTGTGTGGTGGTGGTCGGAAAAGCCGTTGGCACAAACTGGCAGCCACATTTCCCTCAGTCTGCCCCAGGGCAGCTGTGACTACCAAGGTAGTTTACCACCACAAGGTTGTGACTGTGTGAGCGAATGAATGATGTGTCCAATGAAAAGCGCTTTGAGGGTCTCTGATAAAGCACTGTATGAAAACTGGTGCATTATTATTATTATGCATTATTGAATGACTCAGTCCTTCACAAGCAAGGATGGAGCGAGGTTCACTGCTTTGTCAACAACTGCGTGAGCAATAAGTCCAACAGTTCAAGAACATTTCTTACCAAACAATTGCAGGAGTTCAGGGATTTGATCATCTACAGTCCAAGATATCTTTAAAATAATCTGAGATTCCAGAGAAATCTCTGCATGAAAGCAGCAAGAGTCAAAACTGACATTGAATGTCTGTGACCTTTGACCCCTCTTGCGGCAAAACATTGAAAACCTACAATATTCTGTAAAGGATATTATGCTGCATTCCAGTTACCTCGGTATAAGGATGTCGGAGCTGGGAATGACGCTACATCCGAGTTGCATTCCAGTTGACAAGTCGGTAAACCAAGATGAACACCTACAGTTACCCGCTGTTAGCTGTTGTTTGCAAATTTTAGCTGTCGTTAGCCGTCATCAGTTGTTGGTAGTTGTTGTTAGCGATACCAGTTGTAAACAACGCAAAACAGAGTATTTTACTCTCAAACACCATAGCACCGTGTTCACAGTTAGACGTTGGGCAGTACAACATAAACCACTTATTTAATTTCACAAAAACAAAACAGAAGTGCTGATAAATAATACATTATGAGAGATTACGCTGTTACTCTTTACTGTTGATGCACTGTGCTTCCATCTTGAATTATGACGTTCATCAAGTCGGGGTGTTTGAGGATCGTCCAACTTTCTGAGTTGGAAATCCGACTTCAGGGGGGCGTTCCAGATAAAGTTCCATCTCGGAGTGCAACTGAAACGCAGCATTAGCATCATAGATATCAACACTAGATACCATACGACCCATACAAGACAACAGCAGTCCATACCTCAAGACCGCCGATATCTTGGAGCAGTAGAGGTGACTGCTGATAAGCAGCCAAAATATAAACAACAGACAGAAACACCGCAGGACTCTCTGGACCCGAGCGCACCTGAGATGAACTGATGCAAAGTGAAGTTCAAAAGCCAGCATCTGTGATGGTATGGGGGTGTGTTAGTGCCCACAGCATGGGTAACTGTCACATCTGTGAAGGCTCCATTAGTGCTGAAAGGTACATACAGGTTTAGGAGCAGCATATGCTGCCATCCAAGTCAAGACCTTTTCAAGGATGTCCCTGTTTATATCAGCATCGGGGGATACGCTGTTTGAGCCAAGCGTCATCACAGCGACTGTCGGTGACTCTCCCGTCGAATGCGCAAAATGCTACTGCGCAAAGCTGGTTTCAGGAAGTGGAGAAAAATGCGGAATTGCTGAGAGCTTTTTGGCTTCAAATCCGTCTACAGGCGGAAGGCGGAACCAAGTTGTCCATAGTATATACAGTCTATGGATATGACACAGCAGTAAACATGACCTTGACCCACATTTTAAGGAACATGTTGGAGCCATCAAATTCAATATGAATGAATGTAAAAAAAACCAACAACAACAGTTTATCACTTAAACATAAGATATCTTTATTGTTAGTGTATTCAATTGAATTTAGGTGGGAAAGGTTACTCACGTTTTACACAATGTCCCATCTTCAGCTCACGTGTTTTCAGGACAGGATAAGCTAAGAAAACAGGGAAGTTTTGACCACAGGCGTTGCCAAAATCAATACAAAGCAAGTTTCTGACAGGAGCTTTAATGAGTCTCTCAGCTTTGACATCATAAGTGCATCTTTACTGTTTGAAGGCATATATCCAGAAGCTTCAATTCAATACATTTACAAGTGCAGATAAAAGGTCCGTGTGCAGCCCAGCAGTAGGTTGTGTAAGGACAAATCCGGCTCTTTAGGATGGCTATCCATTTCAAAATATTTTTACGTGCCTGAAAGCAGTTCACTCTTCACATTGTTTCTGTGCATTGTAAGGTCATATTGCTCACAGGACGGGAAGTTCCACCCTCATGGGCTGAACCATTTCCTGCTGTCCACCCTGAGACAGCAGACGTGCGTCTCCAGCCGAATTTCAGATGGTATCATCCAAATGTTCATGCAGCCTCTCTCCTCTGTGACCGTGTCGGTGTCTCCTGGAAAAAAAAAAACAAAAACAAACGTTCAGTCCAAATCAAACAGTAGAGACACGGGATCGAGATGAAATGACGTTTATTTTGTCTGCAAACAGTTCAGCCTGTCTAGCTTCATGTGTGTCAGTCGTCATCTGGGAGCAGTGGACAAGCAGAGTCTGATAATAAGCTGTACAATGAGAGAAATGACCAGAATAATATTTGTGTGTGTTTGCAGTACTGTACCTCCACAGCACAAACGCCAACACTCCGATGACGATCAGCAGCAGGATGACGAGACACACCACGGCCGCTGTCATACCTCTGCCTTCCGTCTCACAAGGTGCTGTCAACCAAGAAAAAGACCCCAATGAGGAGGAAGAACAACATCAGTCGTACCTTAAATCACAAAACTCTGCAAAATGTCTGTATGACTAACAAAAGAAGGAGAAATATATCGTAAAACTGCTCAAGAGGCTACTACATGTTTGATGATACATTTGATCTAAGTCAGTGAAAATCTCCAAATAAAACATTGAGCATAAATAAGTTTACCTTATTGACCTTAAAGGGATATGCCGGCATAGAATTAATTTAGGGTCAAACACACCATAACACTGCGTTAGACACCCCCTCGAGAGATGAATGTTGCCGACCGCTTACTTCTCTAGTTATACCAACTTAAGTAACGACGACAGGATAGCAATAGACAGCGGTCTCAGGACACACAAACCTCAACCAAAACGCCACTCTATATCCACAAATAATGATCAGAACAGCACCTAACTTCATCAACAGTACATATAGGGTCCCAGCCATAGTACTAGCCACCAAACATCTTTTTAACTTTGACTAATTTCTTTAGCAAAGAGACTAAACACAACCCACAAGCTGAGTTTATCTCCAGTGTTCTCTGTTGATCTCCAGGCCTTGAGCGAGTTGGAGTGGGCAATGATGCTCGAAAAAAGGGAAACTTAACTCGATAGTGATGCCTTTTATGATTCACAAACGCAAATAGGACAATAACTGACACTATTAACAAATTTTATATTGTAATTACCTGGAACATTAGGGGGTAGGTGTCAGCTGTGCAGCTGAAGAGACAGCCCTATTTTTTATTATTTCCACATGAAATATTCTCATTTAATAGTCAAGTTTGGTGAGATTTCAGAAGTCAGAGGTTAAGCATGTAGAGGACGACGTATGCAAAACCGTCTTTCTCCATAGGGGGCGCCAGAATTGACACAAACTGAAAGTTCCTTACAGGAGTTTTAAACCCTAAAAGGTCGCTGCTGTTTTATAAAACATAATATCATTGTGTTTACAAAATCAGCTTTAACAATAACAGGGCTTGCTGTAAAACCCACTCCCTTTATGAGAGCGCTAGCTTTCTGGTAACAAATTCAGCGTGTTTACTGAGACCCAAAGGCCTGTCTGTTCAAAGGCTGGAGAAAATATGACGCACTTGTTTTCCTCTATCAGTACAAGACTTCAGCCACTGAGAGCTCAAGATACGCAAAAGGATTCTAGTGAATGTAAATCTGCCCCTTTGAAGCTCAGTCCTATACATTTTATTTGTTTTTCGTCTTTGAAGCCCTGAGACAAATTACAAAATTCTTGACTATTTTTAAAATTGGAAACAATATATTCATAAATCCCATAACGACACGAACAGGATGTTTTGTTCTTCCTCCACTTCAGGGTGGAAATATCTGGCTCATTATGTTTGGGCCCTTCAGATTCAAAAGGACCACAAACAGAACCTGTAGAGGTGCAGAAAGAGAGACCTGCTAAAAACACACTCAGGGTCTTTTCCTCCTGTTTGTCACGTAAACTGGATTTAGTACCCCAATCGAAAGAGGGTCACTGACCTTTTACTCATTCAAAGATAATACAGAGAAATGGTTCATTAAAGCTCCAGTACAGAGATTTGAAAAGGTAATGAGGCAGACAGAAATGAACTTCAATTATATAAAAAGCAAATGAGACCATTGATTTCAAGATTCACATTTCTACTTTGTTATATTCAAAACCTAAAACTGCTGTGAGGGGGTAGATAAACTTTTACATTCAAATATAACGTTACGTGATCAATTCCACTGTAAAAACACACAGTAAAATCACTTTCACATGGAAAATATGAAACCAGCGATGATATAAGGGTTACCACTTTGTCCACAGGGGGCGCCAAAGTTAACACAGATGGAAAGTTCCTCATAGGAGCTTTAAGAATCAACGTCAACAAGGACTGCTGTAACTGAAACTGTATCGTCTATTTACATATAGTTTTCAAGAGAGTCTCCTCTTGTTTAACACTTTTATTCTATTGATAATGAGCCTTTAATATTTAACTGAATGTAGATAACTGTGCCTTGTTCTTATTGATTAAGGAATAGTGTGCATGCTGCCTAGCAAGGGTAGAAAGAGTATTGAAATATTCTCCCCATGTAAAAGTGCAATTTCCTCCTGTGATGGACTTATGTTTGTGCCAACTCTAGCGCTCATCTTGTCTTCTCATTGCTTGCATAGTGACTTTAGACAAGAAAAACTCTCATCCTAGTTTATATGTGATGAAGAGGAGACAGTAAAAATGTGTAAATTGGGGCTGCCTGGCTGACGCCCACCCCGTCACAACAATTTCAGGGAATTAAAAACTAGGTTATAAAGATCTATCCGCTCATTAAAGGTCTTGTTTGCTGTTGAATATCACATAAAGGCATCAATGTGAATTTAAGTCAATTTCATAAACACCTAAAAACTCTTCATAGGAGCTTTAAGAGAAAATAAAAGTAATTTATTTGAGATTTACTTTAAGTACTGAGCAGCCCTTTGTTTTTTTTGGTTGGGAACTTGGGTTGAAAAGAAAAATAAAACCTGCAAATGATGATAAAATCGATTTCATCCAGTCATTGAAGTTAAACCAACAGAAAGTCATTCATGAGTAAAGTGATTATGTTTCTGCTTCACCAATTCAGGTTGAAGTTATTGAATATTTTGGCAGCATCCTCTTCCATATTTTATAGACGGTCGTTGTGCCCTCCAGTCATGGCTGGCTGTGCATAAAGGCCAATTTCAGTTGTTCATCTCACAGAGCGGCTCTAAAAATCAAGTTATAGCTTCTCGTCAACCTTACTCTGGTTGGAAAGAGAGGTGGAATTTGGGAAAGCAATGTCCTTTTGACCCGAGAACACTGGATGTAAGAATGTATTCCCGCCTGTCTTATTGTGATTTGAGCTTGATGTGAAAATCCTACTTTGACTGACGCTTATAGTAAAATCTAATAGAGTGATTCTTCCCAGTGAAAATACTGGCAGTAAAAAGACTTGCAGATGAGGTAGGCAGGATCTGGGGAAGTGCCAGTTTTCCCCTCAACTCCTCCTCTGTCCTCCTGCTATGTTCTAGCAAGCCCCGCCCACAAAACAGACGCTCCTGCTCGGTCGTATCGTTTCAATTAAATTCAGATATAATGTAGATAAATACTTCAGATAATTACAAATGGGGCCCAGTCAACATGAAAGTGAAAATCATTGCAGATGCCAGCAGACAACCAGCAAACACAATGTTTGCAGGACTTTTATGGTAAAGTGACATAGTCCAGGACCCGAGGTCAACAGTTTAGCGGCGCTACAACAGAAGAAACACTTCTGTTACAGACACTTGGCTTACTTTGTTAAAGCGGTTTATCTGTCCAGTAGAAAGGTTACAGGGTCTGTAAGATCCCAACGCGTCCCCTATCGTTTATGCCTTATTGATGTTGACTGCGTTTTTAGCTCTTGTCTACGGTGGTCTATGTCCTTTTTAAGCGCCTGTTATTCCGCCAGAGTCTCCGGTATTTATTTCATTCTCTTGTTTCTGTCGGCAGTCGTGGCCAAAGGAGGATTCAGACAATTTTCAATACTTTGTGGTTGGTCTACTGTCCGATATTGTAGCACGCTAACTTTGTGTTAGCAAAGCCATTAGACTTGATAACTCTTGAGTAAATAGTAGATAACTTTTGGAGACGTATTATGTGAGACAACAGACAATTGAATTTCCCTTCGGGGATTAAAGTTCTTCTTATTCTTATTCTTATTCTTGTTTGGGCTCGTGAACGTTACTCGACCATGGACGTGGACCATGCACAGCCAATCAGGTTAAGGGAGGCAGAGAACGGCTTAGTTTACAGTCAGAAAGAGTGGGCCGCTCAAAAATTTAAAAATGTTGACTACACAGACATAAGGGAACACAGCGATATTGTTATATTACCAAATGACATCAATAACTAATATCTATTGACTGATATTAAAAGCTTTTTTGTATAAACACCACAAAAAAAGATGCTTCTTTAACGGAATCCTGCCTACCCCACCTTTAAAGAGAACACAAAATCTGTTCAGTCGCAGTTACATGAGTAAATGCGATCAATCGCCTATTTTTTAAACAATAGATAAAAATACCTAAAAACTTTTTCTCATTGTTGAAACAGAAACAGTTCAGGCTCTTCTTGTACCTGCAGTGAAGGAGCCGGAGCTGAAGCTCAGCTTGTTGCTGACGATGCAGGTGAAGTGTCCGCAGAAAGGCTTCATTGTCACGATCAGTGTAGTTCCATCTTTAGAGATGGTCCCCACCGTCTGAGTGATGGCCATTCTCTCGTGGAGCCAGCTGAAGTGAGGGTCCGTCCCCCAGGCCTCGCCACAAACCAGCGAGGAGTGAGACACATTGATGCTGACTGTGACGTGGTGCACCGGCTCTGTGAAGACAGATGGGAGAAGGTAAAGGTACGAGTGAGAAAAGGTGACAAGAGTGAAGGTTAAAATTCAGAAACACAGAGACGCTCGGTGCTCTATCTGTTCTAAAACAAGAATAATGGCAGACGGCAGTCTAAGAGGGTCTAACACAAAGAATCATGAGAGACGTTTAATGCTGTCAGGAGAAACTGGCTGCCTTTCAGAGACAATAATGAGACCGCAGAGTGAGGCATAATGTCGCAGAACGGGATGATGGAAAACCCTGGAAGCTGAGAGAGCAGATGTAGAGGAGAGTGGAGCTGATGAATTGATAGTGTTGGAGCAGACGGATGAGGGTAAAAGCAAAGGAGTCCTGACAGGAAACTAGAAGCCATGGTGAGAGGGGAATCATCCTGGAGCAGAGTAACAAAAGAGGGATCCTGAGGGCAAGGCCTGCAGGAAAACCCAACGCTGAGTGCTTCGCTTCCGAATGTAGAAACAACACGCACAGACAAATATGTTAAAATTCTACACCAGAAAGACCAGATCTAAATCAGTTTATCGGTATAATCCCAATCCAAAGCATTAATTTGATATAACAATTGTCCACATTATTTTAAAACTCATATATACATGTCATTTCTCTGGCAGCATCTCTGAGATCTATTGGCAAGAAAAAGTCAGACGGTTAAAACACAAGAGGCCTCGTGCATCTACAGGTTGGATTGAAACTACAGATCAGCCTCAACTTGGTTGAACTGGTTGCAAGAGATCCAAAGTTAAAGTACCCAAAACCTGCAGAAACCGGAGTCCAAAGTCCAGGCGCTGCTGGAGACAAGGAAGTCTATTTTGAAGGATTTTAAAACATGTATTGTTTCTAGAGTCAGGCAGTAGGAACCTTGAATAACTGCTAAGAATCCAGCCCTGAAGTACTTAAAACCTACTTCCCTTTTTAATCACTTGCAGAAGAGGCCTCACTGAGCTGCAACAAGTCCAACTTTAAAGCTGCCCTTTTCCTAATGTGAAGCAGGGTGGGACCCAGCTGGTTGGGAGGAATCAAACGCTGATGAAATTTCAATGAACATTGTTTCAAGGGTTTCAAGTGATTCAAAGAAGAGCGCCCACTGGTCGTGGTGAATCTATTACAAAAGTTTTCCAAATCTGGATTCTGTTAAAAGCCAAGTCTAGATTGATTCATTGTTTAAGTGCTTCAAAGCAAAATCTGACTTCAAGTACCCAAAACCTGCTTCATTTCAAGAGTCCAGCAGGGGAAGCCTCACACGTATGACGAACGTATGCCAAAACAAGAATGAACACTAGGTAAAGGGATGTTCCGGCGTAAAATTAAGTTAGGGTCAAACACACCGTAACACCAAGTTGGACACCCCGTCGAGAGATGAATGTTGCCGACCGCTTGCTTCTCTAGTTATACCAACTTTAGTGATGACCACATTTAGCAATACAGAGAGCCAAACACTCAACCAAAACGCCACTCTACAGCCACAAAAAATGCTCAGAACAGCACCTAACTTCATCAACAGGACATATAGGATCCCAGCCATAGTACTAGCCACCAAACATCTTTTTAACTTTGACTAATTTCTTTAGCAAAGAAACTAAACACAACTCACCTACTCTCTTCCAGCTCAAGGAAGAACATTTATGATCATTTCTTCATGGAAATACAATCAGACCGAGACGCTAAGGCAGAAGAACTACCACGTCTGCAGTGCAAAATAATTAATATGGTGATTATTACTTAGAGGAAATGATAAAGAAATGATCATAAATGTTCTTCCTTGAGCTGTGTCACCCCGCTGTAGTCCGTCATGGACTGGCCCGAGGTCTCCATACAAACAAGCAGCTGCTGGAAGAGAGTAGGTGAGTTTTGTTTGGTCTATTTACTAAAGAAATCAGGCAAGGTTAAAAAGATGTTTGGTGGCTAGTACTATGGCTGGGACCCTATATGTCCTGTTGATGAAGTTAGGTGCTGTTCTGAACATTATTCGTGGCTACAGAGTGGCGTTTTGTCTGAGCGAGTGACTCTCTGTATTGCTAAATGTGGTCGTTACTAAAGTTGGTATAACTAGAGAAGAAAGTGGTCTGCAACATTCATCTCTCGAGGGGGTGTCTAACTCTATGCTACGGTGTGTTTGACCCTAAATTAATTTTACACCAGAATATCCCTTTAAGATGCCCCCTGCTGGACATGAGAAAAAGTGCAGGTTTCCACTATTTTAACTCTGGATTTACTTCTTTCTGTAACAAAAAAGTTAAGGGTTCGCCTTCAGACAACAAATCCATCATCCACTATTTGCTCAGAATAATACACAGCGTTGACTAAACTCATACTTTACCGTATGTCCTGACGATGCAGTGCGCGGTTGTTTTGACCCCTTTGTGATCCGTCACCGTCACAGCGTACACGCCGCTGTCTGTGCTGCTGTAGCGACTAATCTGAAGATTTGTCTTCTCATTCTTCATGTTCCCGTGGACGTTTGGCCTCGTCCCAGCACACACAGAGCCATTCAGACCGGTGCCAGGGCACGAGGCCAGAATCTCTTTCCCAGGTCCTACTCCAGATTCAGGCTCCCGTTCCCAGGTAACAGTAGAGATCTTCTCCAGGGGTCCTTGCTCGATACGGGCCTCCAGTCGCAGCGGGTCGTCAGGCATGATGTACACAGGACCCTCGTTGAGAATGTGCACTGACATACAGAAGAGCCCGCTGGGCACTGACAACAGAGATTGGACTGTTACTGCATGCTTCATATACTGCAGTTTGTGCTTTTATTAAGATGACAAGCAGGGCGCGTCTTTAATTAAATTTGACCTCATGGCCTCTGTACGGTCTGTCTACGCGCTTTTAAAACAAACATTAACATACTTCATCCTCCTTCTCAGTATGTTCCTCATGAATATGTATGGCTGCTTCCTGTCAAACAATGTCATGCAATAATTTATAGTGCATGACAGCAATGCCTAATGTGATATCCATCACGGCACATCAAAATCCTCAAATCTGTGTCAAAACCTCGGCAGACCTGCTTAATCTTTGTGCGGTTACCACACAGCCTATTAATCATAAATAACTTTACAAGCGAACGATAGCAGAGTGGTAAATAATGCAACTGTTGGAATGGAAGCAAAATGTAGTTTTGCAAAAAGATCTTTTGCATTTTAAACGTTGTGCATCATCTAATCACCGCCTTGAGCTGTCTCTGTCTTCTTAGAGAATAAAAGAAGGCCTCTTGCTCTTTCTTGCACACGGGGAAATATTGGCAAAATATTCTGTTTTCTCTTTACGGTTTCATGCAGTGTTTTAAAACAGAAATCATTGGGATGCTGGGCTACAACAAAACAGCCTTACTCAAGAGAAGCAGCAGGGCAACTCTGCAGCACAGGAAACACTGTAGATCCATAACACCTGCTGATGCAGACAGAGAACACAGAGACGATCTGTTCATGACCTCAGCAACAGCACACCAATTTCCCCTGTTCTCATACGGCAGGGGTGCAAGAATAATCATACCACCTTCAGAGAGAAATAAATGCTGAAAACAATTAAGGACAAAATATCCCTCATATTAAAAAGTGTAACCCAAATGTTTAGGGTATTCTCTTTCTTTCTTAATTTATTTGTGAAGAAGCCAAAAAACAGCAACTCTGGCACTTCAGACGGTAAAACTTGGAACGACATAGGGGACGAGTTTGGTGCCAAAATTAAAATGAACCCCCTGAAGCAAAGCTGCAGCAACAAAAACACACAGAGAGAGGAAGGAGTGATAGCAGTGCAGGAACACAACCCAACCCGTATGCATTGAATGTAACCTGGAATCCCCTTGAGTTGTTTACATTAGAGCGGTTGAAAAGCGGGGTTTACTTACCTTAAAGTTGAGGACACAGAACAAAGCTCTCTCACTCTAGCTGCTCACTTTCTCAGAGGTTAAGGTGCCGCGCAATTCACTCCGCAACTCAGAATTTATGGCCCGAATAAAACAATATCTTCAAAGCAGTTGCCATCACACTGCGAAAAATAATCTGGTTAAAGATGACAGTTCCTCGATCTACAGCTGTCACTGCAAACAACATCAAACAGCAAGTAAAGCCGAATGTTTCAGGGACTTTCCTCGCCTCTCTCTGGCCTTTTTCTCTGCCTGTCAGGTCCAGTCAGTGTTAGTTAGCACTGTAGGCGTCACCTTGTTTTCAAGCAGCTTCCTCCCCACTCTGACTCCCCCCCTTTCCTGTACAGTAAAGGCTTCTGTCCGCTTTTGTGTTTTTAAATAAGTGTACTTTCCATTGTAATAGCCACCCTTCCTTATTCCCAGTGTTTTCCTCTCTTTTGACCGGTGTTCAAGCTCAGGCATCCCACAATACAACATGTTCCATCTGGATTTTCACACCACTGTTTGTAAACAGAGATAAAATGCAATGGTATTATTCGGAAAGGAAACCAGTGACAATGTTGTAACTCATTCTTAAGAAATAGGCTTTGTACTGCGGGCTTCTTATCCAGCACGTACACTGTTTGCCCTGCAGACACAATAATACACTGTCTTTGCTTTGAATTGTAAAAAAAGAGGGGTAATACAAGAATAAGTCTATTCTTATTTTTGTTTTCAATTATTGTCTTGCATGCAACTCAGAGATACCTTCAAGGGGAAGGCAGACAATTGCATTCTTCTTTCTCTGGGAAAGTTATGCAGAGAAAACCCTCAAATTTAGGACTCCTCAAAAGTTTGTTAATTGGTTGCTGATTCAGCTGTGTTACTTTTAAATTAAATCCAGACACTTTTAAGCCCAATTTAAGTATCTAAACTCTCAGAAAAAGGCCTTCAGTCAGACAAAGTTACTTAAAAGCAACCACATACATGCTGAGATGAGATTGTGCTGTCAGCTAAACACTCCTCTCAGCGCAGACTAACATAATGACATCTCTTATTCAGGGTTTAGCTCCACAGCTTCTCGCTATATGAAACACATCCCGGGGCACAGATGTAACGGGTGATTTTAAACAGATTATAAATCCATTTGTATTTGCAGAGTGTTTATGAATAATCATAGGAAACACAGCTGTGGCTCCCACTGTGCTCTTTGTCTACAGACGAGTGCTGTTAGCAGGAATAAACCAGTGGGTGGCACTAATACATCAGCTGAGTAATGTCAACATTTAGCTCTCACTTAAAGCTCAGCAGACAGCATCACACGCTTCTGGTTTTCATGCAGCATCATTTATGTCTTATTTTTTTCACATTAATCCGTGTCATCTCAATAGTAGAGACATGTAGTGAGACTTTGTATCAGTGCGTCATGTATTTCCTCTTATAAAGTCTTCTATTCTTTAAACAGGTCATGGCTGCACAGTGACACCGACTGCTGCAATTAAAAACAACCTTTAAGACATTAGAGTCAAAAGAATCAACATGACCGTGATGGTTATAAATTCATGGTCAATAAACACGCTTGGATAAAACTGAAGTTCTCTCTTTTATAAACTTTAAAAACATTTTGAACAAATCTTTGTGCCGTTTCAAAAAAAGTAACTTAGGATGACATTGATGACAAAAATCGAACCAGAAGAAATAAGAATGATGACGATCAAAATGTTGATGCAAAGAATAAATATGATAGAGATAATAACAACAGTGATGATGATGATGATGATGATGATGATGATGATGATGATGATGAGATAATGTGATGAAGATAATAGCGGTCACTGCTGTGATGATGATAAAGATAATCATGATGACGATGATGTTATGATGATGGAGGTCACTGTGACTATGATGACAATGATGAGGCTGATGCTGATAATGATGACAAAGATAAAGATAATATGGATGATAATTATGTCATTGATAGTGTGGTAATGATGATAATAGTAGGATAATGAGAATGTTAATAATAGTAGAATGATATGCATTATGATAATGATAAAGATAATAATGATCATGAAAATGATGACAGAGGTCATGGCAACAATGATGATGCTGATGATGTTGACAATGATTAGGATAATGATGATAATGGTAATGATATTGATCAAAATTATAATGATAAAAATCATGCTGATAATATGATAAATATATGGATATTGATGGTAAAGATGATGAAAATGATAACGAAGGATACTGAAATGACTATGATAATGATGTGTATAATGACAATAATGATAAAGATAATTATATTTTCAATGATGATGAGAGAGAAAAGGATCTCGATGATGATGATAATGCAAATGAGTGATAATGAGATTGATGATCGTTATAATGACAGTGATGACAGTAACTGTGATTTTATATAACATTGATCATTGTGACAGAATGATAAAGATGCCAATGATGATGATAATGATGATAAGTTTCAAAATAATTAATGTGATAATAATAAACATGACGATAATGACTATAATGGCGGTAAGAGGATGTTGACTGACATATTGAAATAATGGTGATGACGATAGTGGACATCCCTGCAATGATGATGAGGATGATGATGACAATAATTTTAGTGATGATGACAATAGTATTGATTTAAATAATGATTTTGAAATAGTAAATGGTGATGAAGATGATAATGATAGTGAGGTGGTGAAAATGATTAAGATTTGAAAATAATGATGATGATGAGGGTGGTGATGATAATGGCAGTTGTTGGATGATAATGATGATAATGATTAACATGATAATTGTGATTTTTGTGATAATTGTGAGATAATCATATTGTTGATGGTTGCAGAGTCTACAATGATGACGATGATGGTGAAAATGGTGATGAAGATAATGCTGATTATTACTGTAATGATGATGAAGGTGGTGTGGATGGAGGTTTTAGTAATAAATGATGAACTCGGTGAAAAGGGGATGACAGAGATGATGCTGTGATAATAATAAGAAAAGGTCAGCCATCAAAGTCTTAATTTCCACCTGCAACAGAGCAGCTTTATCTACAAGGCAGAAATAAAATGAAAGACGAGATACAAAGTATTTCTCACACTAAACAAAATATTTGGAGACCTTTAACATGCTGTTATCTGGGAGTAAGCACTATAATTAATTTCAGTGTTTGCTGGTAAAAGAACAGTGCTTTAGTTGCATTAACTGCGGGACCCTGTTGTTATTGTTATTCACCTCCAGAGGTTTTAATCAAACACAAAAAGAAAAAGACACATAATAGAGGCAGTGCGCTTCCTTAGAAATCTGAGCCACTTAAACTGTATCTGGCTTCGACATGTCATGCTTTGTCACACACTTTTACCCCACGATGTTGAGAACTACAAGTTTATTTGCAGATAATATTCTTCAGTTGTTGTTTCAGAAGTTGTTGAAAGAAAAACACTGATTTAGACGCACTTATTTGAGCACACTCCATACAGAAGTCCCTGAAACAGTGGCCACAGGTTTCATTCTCGGTATCTGCTCTTTCTGAATGTTATTTCCCACTCAGCTCTCCTGAAGATCTCCTACCTCTCTTCAGCCGTCTTATCAAAGAAAATCAAGTGGCTCAAAAACACTAGAATCGAGTGTGGGAAAAAAAGGACTGTTTCCTCATTTAAGATAAAGTGAGCTAAACAAAACAGCAAAGTCAAAACACTTTCTTGTGAGTGAAGGTCAAGATAACAGTGAAAGAAGTAGTGTATTTAACATCCTTATGACATGAGATTTATTTCACTTAAACCAGCGATTCTCAACTGGTATCACACTGGGACCAACATTTTCACATGGTCCTTAAGCCGTGACCCACTTTTATAGAAGTCAAACCAAGCAAATTTATTTTTCATGTAAAAAAACCTTTAAAGACTCAAATCTTTAACACAAATACACCCGTTTTATTGATTAAAGTGCACTTCTGAGCACATGAACTGAGGACGACAAATACTGAATTGCATAAAAAGAAAATATCAAATATTAAATAAATATCAAATTGCGCAAAATAAGCTATTTTTCAAAATAAAAGACATGTCAAACATCAGACGGGCATTAAATATTTACTTTTTGACCAGCTGTTTGCGACCCATCCAGAACGTGTCCGCGACAAGTGATGGGACGTTAGAATTCGAGGCTTTGAGGCACGTACCGAGTATGAAGAGGGATTATAATCAGCAGTGGTAGTCATTGAAAGCATAGGGTTAGTTAGTTGCAGTAGAAGTAGTGGTAGAATTAGTAGTAGTAGCAGTAGTAGTTAGTGGTAGAAGTAGTATGAGTAGTTTAATGGGGCATGCAAGAAAGAGAAAAAAAGATCATGACGATCAAAGAAAACATGAACCCCCTAGTAACTTTTAAAAATGGAGTTTCACAGAAAAAAGAGGACTTGAGCACAAACCAGTCTTACTGTAACTACATGTCAACATCACAAGCAGGGGGGAGAAAAATTTATGTTCTGTGTGATTAATTTCTAAAGTTTGTCTACAGCTCCATAAGCTTTGCTGTCAGGATTTATGACCTATACTGCAGCCCATCAACAGAGGGTGCTGTGTTCGGAGTGGCTTCACCCAGCAAGGAGGCAGACTCTGTCCATTCTATGTACAGTCTATGTCCATGACCCACTTTTGGGTTGCGACCTACCAGTTGAGAACCACTGACTTCAACTACTAACAGAGTTGTCGTGTTGTAACTGGTAGAGCTAGTTTTAGCAAAGCTACTTGATGATGGCACTTTCTCCAGGTAAAATGCTGCTGGCCCTTTAAGAGAACAGGTGTGCCCCTTCAAGGTAAAAATAGAGAAACAGGAAGTTGATTCATTAGTCAACAAACACGGGGCCGTACGGCATACGGAGTTTCTTTTCTGAACACTAAACAAACATGAGGGTAGGAGGAAAACACTTTGGTAAGTTTCATACAGCTTCGTTTTTGTTGTGTTTGTTTGCAGTAACCCGGTTAGCATTTACCCTTCAATGTAGTAGATACTCCTTCAAGAAAGCTAGAGTATGTTAGAAATTATACAATTACACATTAGAGTCGTGTTTTTTTCTATTAAAAGTGTAATTTCTCCCCAGACTGGCCTGACTGACGACATGAGACAACCTCTGCTCCTTATCAGCCTGTTACTGGCAGGTAAAAACAATTTGCACTGACAGTTTCTCTCCTCCTGCTCCAGCAGCGTTCAAAGAGTCTAAACAAAAGCAGAGTTTCAGTGGAGTCTGTACTGTGGGAAATAAAACAGGTCAGGGGAGAGAGAGAGAGAGAGAGGCAGCGGTATGCCGAGCACGTTTATAAAACAATTGCATTTCAAGCAGATAGCTCGTCTTAACCGCTCTTAAACCTGCGAGGCTGCATTCCTCTATGTGCTCCGACTGCTGAGTGAGGTGGTGCGTTCAGGGACCCCTCCCAGACTCAAACATGTGAGACACAGAATGACAGGGAGAGGTTCGTGTTTCTATATTAGTCAGTATGCCGCCACAGGTTTTGTTTATAGGGATGGGCAGAGTGTGAATACAGTAAAATAATATGGTTGTTGTTCATGCATAAACAATAGACCGACTAATCATGCCGATACTTGCTTCTATTCATGAAAATATGACTTTAAATAGTTGTGCTGTTATTATAATGATGATTCAATTGGACAAAATCATCAACTTGTACACATTCAAAACACATTTAACAAGGTGTAATGATCCAAATAAATAGAGACATGCAATTTGATGTGGCATGGTAACTGGCACATTACCCACAATTTTTATTTTTAATCTTTTTTTACTGCTCCTGTGAGGAACTTTTGGTTTGTGTCGATTACGGCACCCTCTGTGGAAAAAAAGTCTCATCCTGCTGACGTTTGACACTCATTGTGGATATTTTGAAAAAGGTACTGATGCTTCAGCCCCCTGCATCAGTTTCAGGTATTCAAAATCAGGATATAAAAATCTTAAACTCTGTCGTTGATGGACTTGTTTGCTTTTGGATATCACGAAAGGGCATCAATATGATTTTCAGTCTACTCTTCTAATGCGAAATATGAATTCATATGCTTTATTCGTTGACATGATGCACTTTGATGTTCCAAAAGTTTAAACTGAGTTTGGAAAGAAAGTTTTGGGGTTTTCTGCACCTTTTGCCTGAAACAAACTACTGATTTAGTTAGCCTCAGTGTTTATAAAGCTAAAGAGTAGAGCTAAAGTTTTGAATCCCAGCTGTCTATATTGTTCTAGCCGATTTATTTCAAGGGTGTTTTTTTAACCCTGCTGTTTGAGTTTGAGTCTGATTTGTCTGCTTTTGAAACTTTTTGTTGTTGCTACACTTGGTCAGGTCTCTCTTGAAAGATCTTACTGGGAGTGACCCGGACTAGTAGAGGTTAACAAGAAAGACATATGAAAGAGTGAAACAGTGACCAACAAGTTTGCCAGGCTGTTAGAACTTACTCAGCACTGCCTGGAAGATCTTAAGTCTATTCCAACTTCAATTGCAGAGAGATTTCTGTCCTTGTATTGCAATCAAGTAAAGACGTTTCACCACCAGGATGAAAATGTAATCTCATAATTTAAGTGCGACCCGTCTTACAGATGAGATGCAGCATTGGATGACTTTGATATTTAGCTTTATTCATCCAAGCCAGAATCCAAATACACGGTGCAACCTGGTATGTAAGTGATGCTGGCACAGCTCCCAGTCATTATAGCGAGCACTGAGGAATTATGTTCTTATAAATATATTCATTTAAAGAAGGGCTGCATGATATTAGGGGGAAACTGTTGGAGCCTTGTGCATATAATTTGATTCAAGAATAAGACAGAATTTATTGATAAATGCAATTTTGGTGTCGTCTTCTGATGTACATACCAGACCTACAGGATGTGGAAAAAAAGATTGGTAACACTTTACAATAACCATAATTTATAAATGGTAAATAGATCAAGGTGACCAGATTTCTGTAATGAAATCCGGGGACATTCGGTGCATGGACTGCGTGATCACAGACAACATCTCGGTACTATTTAGTAGCAGCGCACGCCCCTTGTAAAAAACCCTGTACACCGTAAAAACTGTTGTTTAGGACTGCTTACTTGTGCTTTCTACCCATTCAGCTACTATAATAACCGTTGTTCTTGCCCACACGCAACATTTTTGTTCTCATTCCTGAAACGCTTAAATCGGGGACATTTTCGGGGACAGTTTTTGCCAGGGACAGGTCATCCAATTCAGGGACTGTCTGGTCACCTTAAAATAGATAGTTTATTAATGTTTAGTCATCATTTAAAAACAGTATATAGACCAATTTTAAATGGCAAATAGATTGTTTATTAATGTGACTATTTATTAAAGGTTTATATAGGGTTTAAATATTGGTTGTAAAACATTTAGATTTAAATGTGTGTCAGTAGCACTTTGTAAATGGTTAATATTTGGTTTTTAAACCATCTATAAACATTACTTAGATGGTTATTGTAAAGTTATGGTTAGGGTTAGGATTAGGTTTTTAAAATTGTAAAATTTACAATGTACAAATGGTCTATATGCTTTCTATAAATGATGATTAAACATTAATAAACTATCTGCTTACCATTTATAAATGGGCTATTTACCATTTATGAGTTAAGTTATTGTAAAGTGTTACCAAAATATTTCCTCTTACACTGTAGTAATTTGAAGTGTGAAATATGGACTTAAACGAAATGATATAAATTAGTAATAATTCAAAGTTTCTTCCTCCTTTTAGGCTTTTCTTACTGGTTATGAGAAAGACAGTAATTAACGTTGATGCCTCTATATGACCTAAAACTTCCTAAAAAAGTTAATCTACAGCAAGTCTTTTTATAAACGGGTTCAGGACAAGATGAGAAAGAGGACACTCTGACACTATATCACTCTGACCACAGGGGGCGCCAGATTCAACACAACATGAAAGTTCCTCACAGACACTTTAAACTTCTTTTGAATAAAAACTCATCATCCTATTAAAAAAACGGTCTAAGTCAATTCTTGACGAATGTGAGTTTTTTTTGTCCAAATCATCTTTTGAAATGATTTAGGCCAAAAACTCTTTTTCGTCAAAAAAGTTCCTCACAGACGCTTTAAACATCTTTTCAATAAAAACTCGTCATCCTATTAAAATAATGGTCTAAGTCAATTTTTGACGAATATGAGTTTTTTTGTCCAAATCATCTTTTGAAATGATTTAGGCCAAATTAATTTTCGTCAAAAAATGGCTCAGACCATTATTTCAATAGGGTGTTGAACTGTTAGTTTTACTGATTTTTTATCACCTCAGTGCATGTCTAATGATAAGTGGACTGTATAGGAAGCATTGAGAGACAGTCACAGCTTATACAGTTATATCATGGAGCTAAGCTGGTACCAGATCTGCCATCTTGAAAACTATTTTCCTATGCAACATCACATTTATTACCTGGCGTTGGAAGCGTAAATCTTCAGTTTTTAAGATTTATTTTTTTCAGCTAAACGAGCTGAGAAACAAGAACCAGGAGTTTTGATTATTTTCTTATTAGTCCACTAAGTATAGGTTTGTGTTTATGCATAAAAGAAAACAATTAAAGCAAAAAAAACAATTTGCAGAGTTTCAAAATTATGTATAATTTTTGCTTTCTTTGGCAAGTAACATCAAAAGTTTTGAGTTGGTTCTACTCTAAAACTTGATAAAACGTGATAAGATGTCTTTTAGGTATAAGAATTATTAATGTGTTATTTCTAGCAGTGGTTTAAGTTTGAAATGAAGGACTGAATAGTGTTAGATTGAACTTTGAGAGCCTCGTATGTGAACACAAAGACCAGAAAAAGTTATTTTTAATACGCCTGGCTGTCAGTCCTTTCCTGTAGGATCACAGGTGTTGCTGTGACTTTTTTATTCAGAGCGTAAATCTCTCTTTTCTTTTATATTTGCACACTCATTGTATCTTGTTGACTCTTAGACATTGCTTCATATGTGGTGACTCCGCTCCGATAAACAGGTCATGAAAGCATCGATACTACGCCGCGTCACTCCTAGGTGTTACTCACTGACTTCTGACTCATGACTCTTTCTGTCTCCGCTGGAAAAGAAACTCAGCGATTGATATTTTTAATCAGACATTGAAACACTTGTCCCGGGAGTCTGAATGTAATCCATCTCACTGTTGGCTCCTGTCATTTTATTCCCTGCTCCCCGGCGAAAATCGTGTAAAGGCAGTCCAGCGAGACTGATCAGGACCATATTGATTTAATTCACTGTAATTTATTGGCCAGGGAGTTCCTGTGTGGTCGCTTTATGTGCCAGTGAAAGAATATTGAAAATTCAGGCTGGGTTTCTCTGCTTGAATCTTTAATACCACACAAACAGGAGCATGAGGGAGAGCTGGCAGCCAAATACAGAAACAGACTTTTTTTTCCTATCTTCCTCCTTCACATACAGACTGCAAATGAACAAACAGCATAAAGCAATTAAATGAGTGAATGTGTATAATGAATTTTTCATGAAACACGTGTTTGGAAACCGTGTGTAAACCTCTGAATCTTGAGAATAGCTGCAGCAAACATTACTTTGACTTGGCTCACCTCGAGTCGAGCTGGAGAAAACACAAAATAGATGTTTAGTATGGGATCACTTACAGTCCAAATACACAGTGTGAAGTCTGGAAGGAGAGGAGAGGGTGTGTGCCTCACTAATGGCTTTTTACCCCCAGAGCCCGGTCTGTGTATATCCATAGATTTAGTCCACTGATCCTTTGTTTAAGTAGAAGTTTAAATACATTAGTTAGAAAAAAGCAATTAAAGTCAGAGTCCTGCTGTAAACATTCACTTAAGTAAAAGGTATTAGAAGTTAACTTCGAATCCCAGCAGACGTTAAGCTGAAAAAATGGCCTCTCAGGACTTAATACCACCGATACTACATTATTAGACCGGTGTGATATTAGTGGGTACGTGACAGGAAAAAAAAAATCCCAAAATGGTGTCACCATCCTGCTTTCTCTTCCCTCTAATCTTTAATGTTGAAATGTTGGATTTTATTTTCCTCTTTTGCCCTGAAACTCTTATTCAAATCAAACCATTAGAGAAGTTTAGAGAGAAAACGCTCCTGTGGGGCTGCTTACAACTCATAGACACCGAGATTATTCAACCCCAATGATGTTTTTTCACATTTGATACTAATTTTTTCATCCTGTGTCTTTATCTTAAATTTATTTAATTGGTGTCTTCATCTACCAGGTGGGTTTATTATGAGAATGATTCATTTAATTGCCTCATACTATGATACAAACAAACATATTATTCGTAAACATCCCTTCGGTCATCTCTTAAAGGCACTGTGAGGAGTTTTTGACAAGTTCAGAAACAGACTGAAACTGATACTTACCGTATTTTTCGCACTATAAGGCGCACCATCAATGAACGCATCTATTCGCGTCTATTTTCATACATAAAGTGCACCGGATTATAAAGTGCACCGGATTATAAAGTGCACTGGATTATAAAGCACATGAAGTCAAACAAAACAGTCAAATAAGGCAAGATCTATTTAACTCATTCAATAACTCCGTGAGGCTATGGTTGCTGCAGTGCTCCGACAAGCCAAAAGGATTTTAAGTGAACCTTATAGTGCGAAAAATACGGTACACCTCTGTATGAGCCTGAAAAGCAAAAAAAGACCATCAAACAACTAGAGTAGTGATTTTTCAGTCGTAATTTTTGTGTTTAAATGAAGTTCAGAGGGGGTTAGGTGTCCGAAAGGATGTAGAAATAGCCTTCATATCAGATTTGCTGTGATTGATCTTACTTTGTCCACAGGGGGGCGCCATATCCAATACATACTAAAAGTTCCTTATAGCAGCTTTAATTGATTCATCTAAAAAAAAAAAAAAAAGTGTTTGGTTGTCTACAAATATTCAGGCCAAAACATCTATTATATCCCGATCAGCTTTTCCTTGATTTTGTGTTTTATGTTTCTATGAAAAAGTAGGATGCTAACAGGCTAAAAAAGCCTAATAGAAATGGTAAACATGACCCTTTTGGCCCTGATTATAGAACATTAAGAGCGCTCAACAATAGAAAATTACTGGAGGACAATAACGGGACAAATGCGACATAATCAGAACTCAACAAGGAATGATTTGAAGAAAACCTGAACAATGAAAACAAAACAATACGAGAGAGAAACAAAAGGAGAGAAGTGAATGAAAGTTTTATTTGATGGCCTTGAGAGGGATAAGAAAGCAGAGAGAGGGGGATTTATGTGTGTGTGTGTGCATCTCTGTATGTGTGTTCATGTTGTGGTTTGTAGGTCGATGGAGGAGGAATTTAAAGTCAATCTTTCTCCGCTGATAACATGATGGTAATGTGGAAGGAGGGGGAGGAGCTTTGGGGTCATGGTCAGCACCAGCACCTCCTAAATTCTAATGAGACGACCTGCTGATGGTCGGACCCGGTCAGTTTAAGCTGTGTAGTGTGATGAGCATTATTTGTGGCTATAGAGTGGCGTTTTGGTTGAGGTATGGTTCCATAGAACGCTGTGTATTGCTATCGTGCGGTTGTTACTAAACATCTTAAAGTTATATATCTCATCCATTCTGATGCACTTTGTTGATATCCTTCCCTCTTGTTATTTTTCACTCAGTCCTCCTTGCTGCCGGTGTACGAGCTCAAGACCAGGTCCAGATCCAGTTCCAGACAGACCCAGTACTCGTCCAAACCAGCACTGAGATCGTGTTCACGGTTCTGACGGTGTCCCAGGTCCTGTCCGTGACATGGAAGTACCAGGGAGTCACTCTGGGTCTGTGGACCGGAGGGACCTCGGTGGTGAACACAGTCGCCCAGTTCCAGGGCCGAGTCACCATCAGCGCCACCCAGCTGAGAATTAGCGGCGCCCAGCTCCGAGACGCCGGAAACTACACGGTGGAGGTGGACCCTATTGATACGACGGGCCTATTGGCTAATTCCAGATCAATACAGCTGAGGGTGTTCGGTAAGAGATAAAGAAGTGTGCCTGTGAGGGGGAGACGAGGACGACGACGAGGGAGGGGAAGGTGGGTGAGGCGGTGAAGTGTGCAGGAGAGGGAGGTTTAAGGGAGGTGATAATGTTAAGGAGGAACAGAAGGGAGTAAAAAGAGGAGAGGGAGGATTTGGAAAGTAAGAGAATTAGTCTGGGAGGTGTAATGAAATTAGTGACCCATCGTAGGCGAGCTAAAATTAATGGAAAAGGAGGAGGGGATGGAGCTGCAGGCTCAGGGCTCTATGCTAATTAAAACTCATTTGATATGCAGCGCTCATGCTCTTAGATGTTTGATTTTGAAGTAGCCTGATTATAGCACCACATACAGTACATACAGTATCTGCATCTATTTATATTCAGCGCTGAATTGGAGCCCGAGCAGCTGAGAGTCTCTCCCACGCTGGATGGATGACGTGCAGTCTCTCTCTCTCTCTCGTCCCTCTTACAACGACAATGATGGTGCGCCAGAGTGACCAAATTGTTAGAAGTACCAGTTTTATTCTCGCTGAAAAGGTCACATCCTCCAAACTCACAACAGCTTGTTTCCGTCACGGAACATATGCATCCTCGAGCGCGACTCTCAAACTCCCACTTACTCCGAACTTAAAGCTAAAATTTGACAATTTTCCATGTTTCTGCTGAGTCACAAGCAAGAGGGGAAAAAAAGCACAAGGATCCGATTTGCAGTGTTTTGTCGCTGCTAATGTTTTGGTCGTCGCTGAGGTCCTCTCTTAGTCACAGCCTCCTCCGTCCTCACGCCCCCCTCTTCTCCCTCTCCAATTATTTAACTTAGGCTGCCCGCCAAGAGGCTTCTCAGCACCACTCACACCGTCTGCCCCCTTACTCACCATCTGTGCCTCTATCTGAATCCTGTCCCCTCTCAGTGCTCACTTGCTTTGATTACAACAAATTATCCTCAACAGAATCATAAAAACTACCCTCCATTGTTCTGTCACTCCAGCTTTTGTACTGAACTCTTTTACTCCCTCGTTCTCCGGAGAAAAAAGTGCAATCGCAGAACTTTTCTTTGAAATTTCACGCCTTGGTAAAACTGATTTTTCTTGTCTTGTACGCTGTAGATGCTGTGACTGGAGTGAGTCTGCAGATTCCCACAGTAGCAGTGGAAGGGGGAAACGTGACGCTCAAGTGTACGCGGACCTCAGGGACGGAGGCGACAGTCCAGTGGGGGAAAGGGGGCACAGCCATCACCTCAACCACTGACTCCAGAATCACCATCTCGGACGGATCCCTGCTCATCAACCCAGCCAGGCGGGGGGATGCCGGGGAGTACTCGTGTACCGTCAGCAACCTTGTCAGCGCCGACACCGACGCTAAGAGCCTCACTGTCTACTGTGAGTTTACACTGATCACATGACAAGTGGTGACTAATCTGCTGCAGCCACTGCAACAGCTCTAGCTCATCTATTACCGACTGTACAGGGTGCTGAACAGACTCAGAGCGGTCAAGATGTCCTCCTGAGATCTCTCATTGTGCTGCTTCTAACTCCGTTTTGATCACATCCATATTTCTGACGTAGTTTTATTCAAACGCAGCTAGTTACCCCAACAACACGAAGAAAAGCTTCGTTTTTATTGAGTAAATTTGAGAGAGGTTTTTTTCTAAACCAGAGAAAACACATTTTCAATGGTTTTGACAGAATCTGTTGAAACTATGAATGTTTTGAAGGAGTATGTACTCCAAGAAATATGATTAAATCAAGTTAAAAGCATGAATGCTGGATGTCACACTCACAGAGGCTGTTGAATTCCTGCTCATATAAAAAAAACCTGAAGGATCATGGTCACTGATTTATCTATTAGTCGCTTTTTAATTATTTTCTCATATTTTATTCCCACAAATTTTGAGAGAAGCTCCTCAAACTCCTGTCACAGCTGAGGCGCCATCTCAAAATGATGTGTTTGTCTGGATGCCTCTTGTCTCTTTCTGCAGCAGATGGCTGTTCAGCCCGGTTCTGGTTCTGCTCGAGGCCTCTTCCTCCATTAAAGGGGAGGTTTTACAAACACTGTTAAACTGCTTATTGCTGCAGACTGACTCGCTCATCGTGATGTTAGATCCTCTTCAAATAGATAACGTTTGATATAAATTGGTGCTATACTAATAAAGAGTTATTGATTTAGTGATATGAATTGGATTAATCAGCTAAGTTACCATTGGCTTTTTATTTTTAGGTGAATGTAAACAGAGGTTGTTTTTGGTTTGGGTTAAACTAGAAAACTGATGCTCGTGTTTCTAACATATAACAGCACAACAGCTGTTTATCTGAGTTTGCCATTAACACTCAGAAAAGGTCGGCCTTATTTAATAGCTCTGAAGACACCTCCGAAGCTCTGTTAATATCACATGTATGTCTCAGACGCTATTTTGATTTGTTTTTGTACAAAAACTGAACTATAAAAACAACAAGTTACGGTTCACGGAGAGATACACACTGAACTCTTTCTTGGCAGGATGGAGGTTCTCCAACCTGCCAAGAAACAAGACATCTAAAAAGTCTCTAACTAAACATCATTCTCAAAAATATATTAACATGTCCATCCCAGTGAGTGGATGAATGGATTCATTTCATGACACGTCCCTGAAGTGCAGCTGAAACACTTAGAGCTCCCCCTGTTGGCTGGTGGCAGTACAGGTCATCAAGTTTGAAGCCTGCCTTCTTGATTGGACAAATGAGGGCTGTCACGATATATTAGAGTGACCATACGTCCTCTTTTATTGAGACATGTCCTCTTTTTGGGGGGCTGTCCAACCTTGTCCGGGGGAGTTTATAAAATCCTTCAAATGTCCAGATTTTGTATTGAAGTTTTTGAGTTTGTGTCGCGGGGAATTACTGAGTTAGAAGTGCGTAAAAAACACTTGATTCGACCAGAAAAACTTTCAAAGTTAACTTTACACGACTCCGTGACTCCGCCCCTGTGTAGTCGTGTCCTTGTTTCGGGGATTCAGAATATGGTCACCCTACGATTTATTGGTATTGAAAGTTATTACAACTTTTAGAAACTTTAAGATATTCATATTCTGCTAAAAAATAAAAATGTCCGTTACCATGTCCTTCAACGAAAGATGGATACAGAGGAAGTAGCAGAGTACTAGTGAGCTGGCTGAAGCAGCCCTTTGAGAGATGGTAAGGCACTCTTAATGAGAGATTTTCAAGATTTATTGTGAATCCAAAAGGAAAATAAGAACTGGTACCACTTAGAGTTACTAATCAATTTCCAGGAGTTTTTTTTAATCGTTTTCTTTTGGTTACAGAACTAACAACCTACCAGAAGTAGAGTACTTCAAAATAAAAGCAGAGTTTGACCATGCAGCAGATAAAGCAACCAAAATGGAAGACAGAAAATTTGAAATAAAAGCATGAAAATAGTTTATGAGGGGATGTCTTTACCAGAGAGGCTTGTGGTGTGGATTAATCTTCATAAAAAAATCATTAGAAAAGGTAACATGAGGTATTTACTAAATTGGGGTTTAAGTTCATGGTAGACATTTCTGTTGACAAAAGAAGAAGAAGAGAAATGTGACAAACACTATCATAAGAGTTGGTGAAATTTTTTTTTTTTTTCACTTCAGATTAACTCATGAATCCGTTCTGACCGTGGAGTGTGTGTTTTGATTTTAACAATGGGCAGGAAAACCGATACTCCGGCTCCAAAGCTGTCCCCTTTCTGCTCGGACTGGCTCCAGTTTGGTTCAATACATCATGGGGGGTGTTTGTGGCTTGACTTTTGTACAAAGAGGGAGGTGGAGACATGTCTCTCATCTTTATTCACAATCAATGCTCCATCCTTTTTATAATTTCTGGTTTCCTACGGTGAAAATCCGTATTTCTGTCCGTTATTGTCGACTAAAACCGAACTGTGGTTGCAGTAACTTTTCATGGAGGTGTCTCATTATTATGCAGATCAGACTTTGACCTTGGTGTGGGTTTTTTTTTTAGTTCGCTCTCTGTTGAGGTTGTACTATAAATGTGACTTATTGGGCTCCATGTTGATGAAGAGATGACAGATGATGAGATTAAGATTAAACATCCAACCAGACAAAGTGCAGGAGACAGGAGGAGGGTTATCAAAATGTCAGGTGAGGTGATTTAAACCAGGTTTTGAGAAACAGACAAACCTTTAGGCAGGATTCAGAGTCACTTGTTTTTTAATCCACATCCACCTTGTTGTCCTTGTGAACTGAATATTCTGACGCTGATCACCACGTCGTCTGATCTTAACCAAACCAGATGGCCCCGACACCCCTGTGCTGACCAAAGAGAGCCCTAAAGACTGCGTCGGGGAGGGGGACGTGTTAGTCGGACAGACGGTGCGCCTCACCTGCTTGTCCGACTCGCTGCCTCCTGCCCTCTTCGTGTGGCAGCGTGACGGACAGACGGTCGCATCTGGTCAGCCGGACAGCGGGGTGCTCAGCCTTCAAACCTTCAACACGGACGAGAGCGGCCGATACGTCTGCACGGCCAGGAACACCATCACCACAACCACGTCGGAGCAGAGCACCCCTCTGACCATTGTGGGTGAGTTATGGCGGACGCTGACCTCCCTGTGACTGATAATGATGGCGGTTGGTTTTGGACTCCCTCTCTGTATCCGTCTTCACGACAGGAGAGAGACAGGAGGTATTCAGGGAGATTGATCTGGTGGAGAGCGGTCAAAGTCGTTCAGGGACTCTCACATACTCTCTCCTCTCCCTTTATTTCCATTTCTCTTTCTCTCTTTCTGTTTTTTATCATCCTTTTTAGGAATCATCTCCTCCCTTCTCTGTCGTTTGTCTGTCTGAGTCCAGACTCATTATCTTTATGAATCCCTCCCCCTTTGACACCGGTCTCTCTGTTACAGACATATGTCTGGATGTTGGAGAAGTGGTGGGGATCGTGATTGGCTCTTTGCTGCTGATCTTAATCATCGCGCTCCTCATCTGGCTTATTGTCTTCCTCGTACGAAGGAGGAGGGGTGAGTCTGTGTGAACCGTCTTGGATGTTTAGTTTGTCCATTCATTGTTTATAATGTGGAGTCAAACACTCATGGTAGATAAGATATAACTCTGTTTATCCCCAGGGAAACTTGATTGGCTTCTTAATTATCCCATCGTCTGTTTATACTTTACATAAGAGCTCTGCCGTGTTATCTCGCACTTCGGTGGTAAATCGTTTTGTTATTTTTATTACAGCACAACAAAGGGAAACTGTGCTTGTGCCAAAGACCAACCAGAATCCCCGGCCTTTAGTAAGCCGCAGTAAAGTTTTCATATGATTCACTATTGATTTTGTCTTTATCTTGTCCATTTTCACAGATTAACCCTCTCTCTTCATCCTTCTTCTGCTGTCTCCTCTCCCCCTCCTCTCATTTTTCATCCTGTCCCATTAAGCCTCCAGATCCTCAACCTAATGGTGCGAGGGATTTAGGCCAAGGTCCCAATCCCCCCCTCTTTTACACCAATACACGCGCACGCCACCCCGACCGCTTCTACACAGCCCCGCGCGAAAACCTTCAGGTGCTGCAGATGAACGGCCTGCAAAACTCCGACACACACCGACACAATGAGCGTGCGGACACGAATCGACTCCTACACAATTCTTTTCACAACACCAATTCGATCCCGCACAATGGCTTCGACAACCCCGCCTTCGCACACACCGGTGCTCAGAATGTAAACACGCTCCCCAACACGCAGCAGCAGAATCCGAACGTTGTCATCCAGGGCGGCGCTCAGCAGCCGGCGGTCCACGTCAACCTCAACACGGTGCCGCAAACAGGCCAGCAAAACAACACCAACGCCAACGCACAAGCGCCAACTATCCACGTCAATCTTAACTCGTACCCGAACAACAGCCAACAGGCTCAGCAAGACAACTCCACACCTTTAACGAACACGGCCAATCCTAATCCGCCGCCACAAGCAGAAGCGGGTCTAATAGAGAGAGTTCTGTTAAATCCCAGGACGACTCCTGGGATTTTGGAAACCAGTCGCCAAGAACAGCCAGCGCTTATACCGACCGGATTCACTCACTTTAACAGCAATCACCCTTCCCAGAGAAACGCGAACACGCAGACGTACACACAGGAGCCAGAGCCTCGTCACAGGTCCGACAGAGACTCGGGAACTCAAGATCCCTCCGCCAGCTCCGTGTCCCCTCGGCAGATGCCCTGGGATCGCCTCAGAGGGACACCGGCGTATCCAAGTGGAACTCTTCAAAGAGGACGAACATCTCCAGACTACACAGACTACACTACCCATCCTCCTTTACCGCAGTCCAGAACAAATACCCGACCTCAGCCTCAACGTCAGAGCAAGACGCCCCCCCGGAGACAAGACGCCGCTTCAGTGGACAGACAGAAACGCAGCCGATCTGCTGATCTCCGAGGCCCAGAGTCTCGCGGCGCAGCGCAGCTTGAGGCTGCTCGCCACACACACAGGAGCCCCCGCACACAAAGGGAGGCCGCTCAGCCAGACATCAGAGCATCTCTTGGTAGCCAGACCGCCCTCAGGCAGGAAGCCACACGCAGCTATAACCCCCAGGCTATCCCTGTGGTGAGCCAGCAGGCCTCTGTGGGCCGCGCCACTGTGTCACAAGGACTGATGACACAACAGGGACCGCCTGCTCTGCACGGTGCAGATACAAGGGCTTTGGCTGATCCTAATCACCTTCCACAGGCACACATGGCCCCGCAGTTCAGAGCAGAACCGGTCCAACAAACACCGCAAGGTCTGGGCGTGCAGACACAGCCTGTCATGCAAGCCGCCAACCCACCTCGCCAAGGAGGCTTCGCTCCAGTCCAGTATCCCCCCGCCCAGCCTAACCGCAGCAACCTCACCCAGGCTGCGCTCACAGCCCACACTCAGAGGGCTCAGACATTTCAGAACCGACAGGAGCAGACGCAGGCCGCCCTGCGCCACCCTGGACCGCAAATCCAAACTCTTAATCCTGCGACTCAGCGCGCGCCGACACCTCCGCCTGCGATCCCCCTCGCACAGTTCCAAACCATCCCTCAAAAACAGCCCCAGCACAGATCTCCAATCCGAGGACCCCAGCCGCCTAAACCACCTGTTAACATGCCGGTGGCTCAAAGACCTCATCACGTACATCAGCGTCACCACGCGCAGCACCATCACGGCGCAAACCCAGGACACCACCATCATCATCACCACGAAGGCGCACACAAGCACGGCCACTTCGCCCACCCACACCAGGTGAGTGAAACCGAGTCAGAGGGTTTAAAAGTTCAGGCAAATGTTCCTTTACAGTGAAATATTTCAGCATTTTCCTCTCTTTTAGACGAGCGCTCAGAGTCTGTCATGTCACACCGTGCTCTTCTCTGTGAATGTGTATATTTGCTGTATAAGTCCTGCTCCCGCTTGCACCATCTCCTCCCCAGTTTGTGCTTTTGTCTGTGGTTTTCATTCGTCGAAGGCAGCCTGACAGCACTTGGCTGCTGCATTTTTTCTACGATTGACAGTCATCCCAGTGCCACAAAAATCTATTTAGTCTTGAGTGTTTGTGACATGGTGGCGGCTTTTTTTTAAAAAGCAGCATTGTGTGTCAGAGGTTCAGCCTCTTCTTCTGCATGACATGTTGGCAATGAAGGGCTTGTTGTGTCTTTCCAGCAACAGGCTCACAGAGGGAGACCGAGATGATGACAGATGTCAGCAGACTGCGCTGCGACTGTCCCACATCCACTGACACAAACAAACAGCTGACAGACATGATCCAATATACCACCAAGCAAGAGTGACTGCACAAGGTTCTGCACTCAAAATAGCTGTCATAGCATGCTATCTAAGTGCTTAAGTCAGTTTTTTTTCTTATGAAAGAAATGCACCTGTCTCCCATGGGGATGAAAAACTGAACTTTATTTGGGTAAACAGGCCGACTCACCTAAAAGGAGAAGACATATTATCTTAAAAATATAAAAATACAGCCTTTTAAAAAATTTGCTAAATTAAATCAGTGATGCTGTAGGATATTTATACAAACGCTCCCCCGCAGCAGCCTCTCTCCAAACTCTCACACACACACACACACACACTCTGCTACCCCAGACACACATTTATTGTTCTATTTTGACTTGCATGGCACAGGTCATGCATCAAACTTTGCCAAGAGGCTGCTCAGAGAAGACAAGCTCAGTGATCCATAGCTCTTGACCAAGCTCACATCCGCTCTGCCATTCATCATGAAAACTAAACAACACCACCTTGACAAAATGCACCTGAGGTGCTCGCATGAATATCTGTTTGTATATAACAATATAAAAAAATAATAATAGCCACAGGGAGTAAATGAGATGAGACTCATCCTGCACAAGACGGACTTGTCCTCCCCTGGGGACCGCTGACAATTATGAAGGAAGAAATTATCCGTAGGGGTGGTCTTAGTGTACAAGGACCTATTTATTTAGTGCCCTCTGTTTACAGATGCCTCTCATGACACCACTCAATTAAGAGGATTCGCCTCAGTGATGCTGAGAAGTAATGCTCAGCTGACTATGAAGGGGATCCCACGAATGGATGGGTGCTTATTAATTAAATGCTTTTATGTGACTTAAACGACTTGGAAAATAATCACACCCGCGCATGAACGAGGTCAACGCCGAGACCTGAGCTGCCAGACTTTGTGCTGAAAAAGCAGACTGGAGCAATTTACTGTCTGTGTTGCTGTTACTAAACCAAACACAAAGGAATGACATTGCAATTTTACACAGTATGTTTTAAGTGATTTATAATGAATGTGTTTTTTTCTTCTCTAACTCAGGGGACTACTGCTAAAACGGGTTAAGTTGTAATATTTGATGTCTGCATTATTTTTTATAAGCTAAGGCTGATGATGTATTTATTTTCAAGCAAATCCCATTAATAACAAACAGATCTAACAATAATAAACTGATTCTACTGTCAGTGAATGTCTTAACAGAGAAAACAGGATTTATCTTGTTCTTTAATAGAGTTTGATTGTTGTCCGCGCACTTAAAGCCCCAGTGAGGAGTTTTTGATGAGTTAAGTAGACGAAAATAAATCCTGATTCCACTTCATGTCCTACAAAAGCAAACAAGACCAACAGCAACAAGACTAACGCTTTTGAATTGTGATACTTTTGGGTGTTTTTGTCTTTATTAGAAAGGACAGCTGAAGAGAGACGGGAAATGTGGAGGGAAGAGAGCAGGGAAGACATGCATGATTTCTGAAACTGATGCAAGAGTTGATAGCTGTAAAACCAGACATCTGACAGCATGCTAAACAGCAGCCTCTCTTTACATCCTCGACAGCAGAGTTTTACAATAATTTACTGTATTTGACTGTCAAATATAAGAAGGATGAGATTGTTGACAGAAAATACCACCCTGACATGAACCAAACAAAATCATCAAAGAGTGAATCCTTGTCCGTAGAGTTAATATGCATATTTAATCACTACTGCATGTTTATTGATTATTCATGATGACCGAATAAAATACAACTACTACTTCTAATACTGCATAAAAGGCCACGCCACTTAAATCATAAACCAAAAGTGACTTGTAGCTTATTTAAAAACTTTTTTTTGCAATTTTTAAAGTTCTGGTTCTCCTTTTCAAGTCTGTTAAAAACTATTGAAATATTTCTACAGTTTAAACTAATTTTATAAAGAAATGTGTTAAATTTCAATGTTAATAGGATTAATAATTACAGGGTTCCTACGCAACTATGAAAAGTATGGAAATAAATTTGATCAATTTCCAGGTCTTAAAAAGTTGGAAAAATAAAGTTGGAAAAATATTTATGTTTCCAGACTTTTACCAGTTCTAAAATACTGTTTTCTAAAAAGTAGGTATTTCCAGAAATAATTCTAAAATGTCGGTATGGAAAAGTATGTGAAACTCCAACTGTGAAGTAACCTTGTAATTAGTCAAAATAGTTACAACTGCTGTGAGGAATTTATTGTTTGTGTCACTTTGGCGCCCCCTGTGGACAAACTGATTCCTCTTATCTCTTGTCCCCTACATGTAAAAGTATCCACTGAGCAATACAGAGCTATTAGACGACTAGTTTTTCTTTAGACATAATTTCAATTTCTGTATATTTTTAGATGGAATTTAGACAGTTGCACTTTAACCCATCATTCGATAACTATTTGTTTCAAAAAGTAACTGTGAGTTGCATAACTGATCTCCAAGTACTTAACCTAAATAGTTATGAAAGCTGTTGAGCAATATACTGTGTAGTATAGATAAAGCCCAGATTTAGATCTTAATTTAGACGTCTAAAAAACTTTTATTTTTAGACCTGAGATAGCCTGATTTTAGACCATTCATCGAGGCTACGTTTAGACTTCTATTCGACCTCTTCCAGGCCAAAAAATGCTCAGTGGGTATTGTTTTCAGACAAGAACCTTATGTCGTTGTGAAATGTATCACTCATTGTTTGTGTTTGCTCTGGAAAAAGGACAAAAAAGAGTTTGTTTAGCCTGCTGTTTATCATCCTGTCTGAAACTTTCCCCTTCATTTCAGTTTCAGACATTTAAAGTCACAATAGTGGGAATATTGGCCTTGTTGCAGATGGTCTCGTTTGCTTTTGAAGCTCATAAAAAGGCATCAGTACTAGTTTTAGTCTGTTTTTTTACTACTTAAAAACTCCTCACAGTGCCTTTAATCTATACATGAGTCCTGCCATTGACAACATGAGCCAACATGAGGAGTTTGGGGTTTTTAAAGGGGGTCTGTGCCACCCCTGGACACCCCTTTAGGTACTTACCCCCTTGCAGTGGTTTCAGGCCTCAAAAAGTACCATATAGAAATCTTCTTTTTCATCTCTAGTGCCTGTCTGCTTTTGGGACCATAAAGAAGCATCGGTATCAATTTCTTTCACAACTCCTCACAGACGCTTTTAAACAGATGACACTTTACATAATTGCAGTAAACACAAACTCTGTTGTTTATTGGACTCAAACACTATCTCACGCTGCTGTATACTTTTACTAAAGCAACAAATGTGTTTTCATCCATCAGTGAAAATAGTCCCCAACAAAAGCACTTTTAACGCCGTCTAAGTAATATCTGCTAAAAGCTGCATTGTCAGTCTGTTACAGGTTATTTCATGGCATTTTTGTTTTTGTGAGTAAAACATATCATTTACAACCTGCTATGAGATTTTTGTTATAGTAAAAACAAATGGGATTTTGGCTACTTTTCTACAAACAAGGTACTTGTTCCCAGCCTTATATTATTTAAACTTGAATACACAAACATCTGAGTTTAAAATCCACTAAGATGAACTGCACTGTGAACCATCCAGCTCCCACCAAACACCTGCAACATCAGCTTTACTGCCGTGTGTACTGAAAAGTGAATGTTTGTAAATAGTCTGTACAGATGTAGGATATTCATATGAGATGCAGCAAGCACGGTGTTGTTGTTTTCTTGTCTCCTCAGGAAGGATTTGTACTTTGTTTGGGCTTTGTGAACTGTACCGAGGTCTCTTTTTAACAACAATAAAAATATTTTGTTCTATATTTTGGTGTTTGCATTTAACCTGAGTGAGTTTCAACTTTACATTTGGCTCATCAGCCACATTTACATGGGAAAAATTTCTTTATCCGATTAAAGATTTGAGGAATCGGATAATCTGAATCAACTGTTTATATGAGAGCAAAATCAACCGATCATGACGTGCGTTTACATTCACCAAGTTTTATTCAGATTAGAAGCATTTGGACATGTGCAGAGTTGTCAGATTTCGCTAAAACAACTGCAGAAAAAGAAGAGTTGTATTGACGCCTTTGCTGTCAACAAACCAACAAACGCGGTGGTGGCAATTCAGGATGTTCTCCCCTTGTTAAATGCTGTCACTAGATGGCGCCCTTGTTCACTCATTTTACTGTTTTCTTTCAAAGGTTGCTCTGTGCGTACAGATGTGACATCAATACGCTGTATGTACGCCTCGTTAGCAGACATGACACCTGCGGTTGTGTTTTATGCATAGACTGTATATAGAACGGACGCCGTCTGCCTCCTGGCTGGGTGAAGCCACTCTGAGAACAGCACCCCCTGCTGACGGGCTGCAGTATAGGTCATAAATCCCGCCTCTGCCAGCAAAGCTTATGGAGCTGTGGACAAACTTTAGAAATTTATTTCACAGAACATAAATTTTTCTCCCCCCTGGTTGTGATGTTGACATGTAGTTACTGTCAGACTAGTTTGTGCTCAAGTCCTCTTTTTATTAGGGGGTTCATGTTTTCTATGATTGACACCTGATACAGCCTATGGGCGTACAAAGATTGCGTAGCTCACCTGGGGGATACGCTGTTTGAGCCGAGCGTCATCACAGCAACTCTTGGCAACTCTTCCGCCGAATGCGTACAACACTACTGCGCAATGTTGGTTTCAGGAAATGTCTAAAAAAACGCGGAATTACTGAGAGCTTTTCGGCTTCAAATCCGTATACTGGCGGAAGGCGGAACCAAGTTGTCCATAGTATATACAGTCTATGGTTTTATGCTGTAGTGTTAATAATGAAACCTCCTGTACTGACCTCAACAAATAAGCAAAAGGCTAAAGAGCAAGACCGAGTCAGGTAAGAGAGTCACGATCGGAATAAGTGTTTACATGGACGCGTTTCGGAATAACGATCAGCATAAACCACCCCTCTCTGTTGGAATACAATTTCTTTCTGTTGCCATTTAAGTGGAAGTGAGTTTGGCCTCTACTTTTACAGCAAACCCACTCTCTCAGACACGAGGATCTTTTGATTTCCGGATTTAAATGCCTCCACATGCCTGTTGACAATAAATCCACAGAAGCACCTATTTATTCTGTGGTTCTTCAGAATCACAGAGCTGTTTGCAGTCTGAGCATATTCCTGCACACTGTGTCTATAGTGCTAATTATGCATGGCGCCTGTGTACACCGGGCGCTGTTGTTGATTCTCGTCAGTCGAATCTGTTCCTTGAGCTTGTTGTGGAGGTGCGGGCGCGTGTGTTTGGATCACAGCTTCATCAGTCTCCCAATCCCCTGCTCCCACTTGTGCGTCACCTCTGATGAACAGTCCTGCTGCTCACTTTTGGAGACACTTCACGCTCGTCTAGCACTGTAATGAGTGGAGATGGAGTGCATTTGAGTACCTGGTGCTAGGAAAGGTTACGGCGTTGCCTGGCAGTTACACATGAAAGCAGTGATTTATGAAAAGTTTGGAGCGCTTTTATAAATGCAGCACTCCTTTTCTTTTACACTTTACCGTTCCTCCTGTCTTCGGCGTGTAGTGTTTTGTTTATGGCCTAAACAACTTAAATTGTCACACTCTCTGTAGTGTTGAAACACATAATGCAGTAAACCTCAAACGCTGATGTGGCCACCTTCCCCGGGCCAATTTGCATGTAAATCTGCTTGTGTTGTTTTAGTATACTGATTTAACGTGATTTACTGTGACTGCCGCAAGTAATTGTAATTGTTTACGCATCCCTTTGGAGGCATAAATTAAACTCAAACATAACTCAAGTGCGGTGTTTGCAAATAGGGCATTTTTTTGCATTGATGAATGCTGGTTTCCCCGTGCGTCAAACTGCACTCGGAGCTTTCCTGACTCGAGTGTGCAGGGAGCTGATGTTTATTTGACTCCAGAGACGGCCGTGGATTTGCACAGGAAAACTTAATACCACGAGATGGCAATGCAATCCTAATCCAATTTTAATTTAAATTCAGTCTAGCTCAGCAGGCGCGCATATTTTTCTAATTTTGATGCTATTTTATAGTTTGAAATAACATACAAGGTTCCACAAGGGCCAGACAGAGTTTAGTCGGCTGCTTAACCACATGAATAAAATTCATGATGCTGCTTTTCTTTTGTGCACTGCAGTGGTGGCTATTTCTGCACCACCAGAGGAAAGAAAGAGGTCAGGCATGATAGTCCTCATAAGTCCATATCATCTTTGTAACTGAGTGGTAAGTCCTCTGAGATCCATGTGTCCATCTCTGTCATGGCGTCCTTGAGCGAGACACCAAAACCTCTGACCTCCTTTAGTGGAAAAACACCAAGAGTACGAGTCTCAGAGGAGCGTGCATGAAACAAATTTCATGATTGAACTTTGCACACCAGGGCTGATGCAAAGAAACGCAACATTTAAAAATGTTGACAGCGTGACCCTGAGTTTATAGCTGCAGCCCGTGCCAGCTATCTCTGCAGTCAGGATGTCCTTGAGCGGGACAGTGAATCCCCAACAGCTCACTAACAGTAAATTGCTCGACATGACAGTGTGTAAAATGCAAATCATACTCTGAAGCTGCACTGTGACCACGGTGCTCCTCAACCCACAAGGGGGAGCCATGCGAAAGGCCTTCTGAGGTTATCTATTGATCACTTTCCACCATTTTTTTCACCTTGAGGCCTCCACCATCTGTGCAACTTTGATGGCAAGAGCCGTTTTTTTTTTTTTTTTTTAAAGAGCGAGCCACGGGCAACGCAAGCCTTTGTTTGTGGTCCAACACATACAAGAAAATAAGCAGGGAAAAAAATGACAGAAACGTGTGCAACAACAAGGAAATCCTCCGTCGTCACCAGCTTGTTTATAGATGGTAAAAGGTGAACGGCGCCTTCGGGGATTGCATATCAAACACAATCACTTCAAAGAATTTGGCTTTTATTGTAATCTTTTGTTGTTTCAATGGAGCGTATCATGTTGTGTTTCATATCATCGCCATGCTTTCTCGTTGTTTTCAGACCGACTCGTTTTCTGCGTTTCACCGTGAAATAAATCTGTAATGAACCTGAGGGTGTTTTATTGAAATTCAGCATTTACAGGCTTTGAAGACGAGCTTTAGTCTCCTCAACAATAAAAACAGTCATTTAATAATGCAGTGGACAGCGGTGGAAACAAAGACTCCACACTCGCCTTTTAAGACAAGAGGAACTTCACACCTACAAGAATTTTAAAGGAAACGGAGGTTTAGCCCCAGCAAGAAGAGGAAACAAAACACTCTGACTAAAGGTGACCATAAAACCGCCAAGACTTCTTTATCTGAAGTTCACAGAGCGCTGATACTTCTCCTTATAATGAAGTCGTGTGTTACAGTGAGAAACCGCAGTCAGCAGAAAATGAGAAAGATGATTGTATGAAAGAGAGCATTAGAAAAACGGAGCGTGTGAGTCAAGAAGAGAAAAGAAAGGATGAGAGTTGGAGGTTACAGAGGAGTTACTGGGAAACATGAAAGTTTTTGTTGCACACGTCCTCTTAACTTTCCTAAAGGTCAACAGAGAGGCACAAACTGCTTTCTGTCTTCAAACTAATTAAATTAATAAATCAGAATTTGGTATTGAGGTTGTCCTGCTGGTTAAATCTGTAGTGTTTCACTCCCTTGAATCATGTATAATATCTGGATTTCTTACCTTAGTTGGACGTTTTAGCTCAGAGTCGCTGCTGTGCTGTCCCTGCTTATCTGCTAAGATAGACTAGAGGAAGGATCTTTCCTCTAAGCCAAGATGAAAACAATACCTCTGTGGTCACTATGGATATGTTTATTTTCTTTGAAATCTTCTTTTGTAGGGTGGGAGTAGGAGGGTCCAGACTCAGACCCTGATGTCCACAAATCCAAGAAACACCCCTGGAGACACGCTGACACTCAGGTCACTGCGCTCTCAGCTACACCTAAACTTCAGTGATTTATAGATCATCATTACTGCAAAATTACTTTCTAAATTTTCTCTGTAATGTAGTCAAACATTAAACAGATGTCGTAGCTGGTAGGTCTGTTATAAACAGGCATCAGGAAAAGTTTATGAGGGATTAGTACCATTGGTGAAGTTGTTGCAGACAAGCTACACGCTACAGTTTCCTCTCATTGTCTCGTCAATGAAAACAAAACACCTTTTCCTCAGAGGTTTTGTTATCTTTCTGTTAAAGATTTTTATGTGGAAGATCTCCGTTGTGTAAGGATGTTGCAAATTAAAAATACAATGTCCATTATGCCAAATAATTTCTCTAGAAAAAGGTGAAGCTAAAGTGTAAGAAAGAGGATTAGGGACACAAGAAGAGAGAAATATTTACAGGTGGGAGTTTTTTAAAATTTCCATTTCGAGATTGAAGTAGAAATTTAAAAAAGCCAAAATTTTGACTTTAATCTTGAAATTTCAACTTTAATATCTAAACTTTGACATTAATATCCTTCCTGTAATTATTTTACTTCTCTTTATGTGGCCCTAACTCCCTTTATAAAAGTGAATGATAAAAAAAGAGAGAAGACAGGATCATTCTGGAGCTGAAAATTTATGCCAGAGGGGGGAAAACGACAAAGAACTGCAGTACCTTTAATGGCCACTTGTAGGAGCCTCTTGAAGTGAACCATTCCCTTTCGACCTCTATGTTAACATGCTTAGATTAACAGGCCAAAAGACAAGAGTTCACTGCCTAGTTTCGAAACCATTTACCGTCTCTGTTGTCGTGACGTGACACATGAAACTGATTCTGTGTGTAAGCTGCTTCCACATGGAGTAATTTCAGTGTGCTGCAAGGCTTCCTTTTTTTTTTTTTTTGAACAAATCAGAATCTTAAAAAAAGATGTTTTTACTGCGAAAAAGTGAGCAGAAACAGCAAAAGTTGATTTTATAAGTTAAACTCTAAACCGACTGAAGAGAAAACATCTATAAAGGTCCCTGAAGGTAAACAAACGCTCTCTACAAATGTGTCACAAGCTGGTGTGAGTAATGTTTAAAGCCATAAACGATGATTCAAGGCTTGACATTTAAATATAATGTTGAACAGCGACGGAGAGGTTCACAGCTGATGTGTAAACAATCACAGATCAAACACGATCTTTATGTGTGATACTTCTCCCTCTGCTGATGTGCAAATGTGCACGTATACCATTAAACAAGGAAGACGGGGCAGATAAAGTCAAGAGTACAACAATAGGGAGAGTTTAGAGACAGGTGGAACAACGCCAGACAGGAAGTCTTGTATATGATTAGTATATTAGCCAAGATAGTGTCTCCAAAGAAGAGCAGCTGGTTTCTACCCACAAGTAAACAAACAAACAAACGTGACTTGAAGAAGAGACTGGATCTGGAAATGTTTACACATCACTGGTGACGTCAAATTGAAGCAGATATCCAACTTCCTCATTCATGACAACACCACAGACCCCGACTTTGTTGTGCAAATGACCTGATGGAATTATACAGGCTCAAACTTATGCATAAGAGGCACAGATAAGTGGTTGTACTTCACTTTATGAGTGGTTAGACTGCACTCCTCGCTGCTTTACAAGTCTGGTCTGCTGGCCCACTGAAAATAGAGTCCCACACTGAGGGAAATTCTCCCTCTGAATGTTTTATAAGCTAGCTAATGAATTAGCCTTGAGCACAGCAGACTCTACTCCCAAGCGCCACAATTTCTGGTCACTTCTGACTGCCGATGTTACAAAACTGAAACGCCAAACTTGAGAGTTCAAAAGCAGAGCTCACGAGCCGATCCCAGAGGCTCTGCCCTCGTGAGCGAATATTTACAGTAGACCTGACAAGACGGTGGCAGCGGGGCCTCTGAGATGTGTTACTTCTTGCAAATTCACATTTTCACTTCTTAGAAAACTCATTTTTCTTTTACACCTTCACAGTTCTGCAAATTATGTCCAATCCACGCTTACCAGGGTTCGGTTTACAGCAGGGTTTTGCATCAATTCGACCGCATCTAAGTCAGACAACACATTTAAATAGAAGAATTCACCAAGAAGAGCTGCAGGGATCAAATGATGGATCCGTGGCAGCAGACAGCAGGTGGAGGACAAAAAGACTCAGATGAAAACTGTAAGTTTTGCAGATAATTATCAGACGACATAAAAGAGCTCAGTTTGGCCTCTCTGTGCAGCTTTGGTGGTCAGTGTGAGGTCTGATACTATATGTGGCAGTAGGAGGATGATTAAAGTAACCGTCTGCTTTACTGTCCTGCATACCGTGCCTGCAGAGAAGACCCACACACCTTTTATCATGAGGCCGTCAGTGCGACTGTAAACACTCTGCAGGACATACACCGCTAATAGCTAGGCTGATATCCCACACAAAAGAAGCTGTATGGATTGCATTTACTTCCTCGCTGGTTTTATTCTCCTTGTCTGCTTTTTCGTGAGCATGAAGCGGGTACAGAACGATCAAATACACTCCTTCGCTTTAATGCATTTGTTAGATTAAGTGTGCATTAAAAAAAAAACTTGCTTTGACCAAGTCTGGATCAGCAGGATCAATCAGTCATGACTTGAACAGTGTATGCACTGAAGGATGGGTCTTTTACAGCGACTGAGGAGCTGCACAGCTGCCGCCTCGTGCAGCAGAGCAAATAAACAAAGGAAGTTTTTTTTTTTTAATAACCTCACGTGCACTTCGACAACATGTGCTGTATGTTTCCTCCAAACAAATATCAGTGACCTGTTATCAGCTGATTGTGCGGGTCAAGCTTTTGTTTACATCCTTATTACAGTCCAGTACGTGGCCTCCATATGTTATCTGACATGGGTGTAATGACCTACTTTTGAGGCTCTGCAGCTCAGTCGAAAAACTTCTCAACTCTAAATATATCTTTAACTTCCACATGAGGTTTTGAGAATGTGTTTGACTGATGGATGTGTGAATTAATCTCCTTTTTTGCTGCTTGTTAAACCTTTCTGGTTTGCAGAGCCATGTCAGGTCAAATTTATTTGCACCGTCACAGTTTTAGTCTAAAAAAAAAAAAGACTCCATGGTCTAAAAACGATGACAACTTTAGTATTATCTCCTCCCAAAACATGATGTTATGAAACAAAAGAACTAAAGATTTAACCTCATTCACCAGCTAGGAGCGCTTTCAAAGAGCTAAAATTGGCCGTTGTGATTAATCGTGTTTGTTGACATACATATCTGAGGTGATTATATGTGCACACTCACCTGAAAATAAGACTCCATGTGTTTCCATGATCGTAAAATTAGCCGAGATATCAGGGGCAGCAGGAGCTCAGGAGCCTGCAGGGACTTGGCTTGAGAGGGTGGCTGGTTCAGATTTCAAAGAGCCCTCAGGTTGGTCCACATCAGAGCAGAACCTTTCGCCTGTTTGAAGCAGATACACCGGAGTATGCAAAGTTCAACGACTCTTGTGTTCGTGTTTATTAGGTTTCTTTCACTCAGTGCGTTTACATGCACAGCTTAATCGAACTGAGCTCATTATTCGTTTTTCTTTCTCGCTGAATCGGACTTCTCTCCTTGTTCACGTATACATGCAGCTGAGAAAACTGAACAATTGACGTGAACGAGTCCTCCTTCCCAAAACTAGGAGGCGATATGGGTCTTTTCAGCGGCACTGATTCCGACCAGATACAACCGTCAACAACAACAGATGTCAGAAGTGTCTACAACTGCTGCTGGGCATTTTCGAGCAAGAAGATGGAGCATCGTACATCATTGTTTTTGTCTTACATCGTAAACTCCAATTATAGTCGGACTAAGGTGTTTACATGAACTTCAGTTGTCCGGTCCTAACCGGAGTAAGGCAATAATCTCGATTTTCTTGAGTGTCATGTAAACGTACTGAGTGTTCTTTAATCTGTTCATTTGTTAAAGAACGCTGCAAGAGCATTTGCCATCAGAGCTGTCAATCAATCATCAATTCAAGAACAAATATCTAATTTAAACCGAAGTTATTGGATAATTGATTACCTGAAAATGAAACAGCATGATAAGTCTTTGAGAAAAAATATCTTTTAAGTTTGACCCATGATCCATCTGTTTGAATGGAGGAGGCGGTCTTAACTACAGCCGGTCAGCAGGGGGAGCTCTAAAAGTTTCAGCTTCACTCTTGAAAGCTGTTGTCCTGTCTGTGTTTTACATGGTCAGTAATCCAAGTACAGACCAAAGACTTCATCGACTCTGGGTTGTTGGTTGACTCCAGCATGAGCTGCTCGGCTCGGTGCAGGAAGATGCAGCATCATCACCTTGGTAACTTTATATTAACTTCCCCGCAAACTCAGTGTGTTTCCTCTTTTCACCGACGTCTTTAAGCTCTAAATTTACAGGTTGCCACATCTAGATTAGCTGGTTCTCATATTTCATTCGACCATGAGCTGAAATGTTCTCAAAGAAGCAGGTGACAACATAAGTTGTGGTGAAGTGTTGTCACGATGGCGGTTGCGCTCACCACGCTTCACGGTTGGTTTGCTGATACCACAGTATTTTATTTTCGCAGATGGTCAAATAGCCTCAGAAACCCAACACTAAACCGGTCATCTCTAATTCTCAACCCCACTTTTTGTAAAGGAACAAGACGTTGACCTTCTCCCTCAAGAATGATTTTTCCTCCTCTCAAAGTGACACATGTCATTTTTCACATGAACAGCCAAGTGCGATGCCAAATGTCAGCCTGTTTGTAAAAGTGCAGCTTTCCCCCTTATATTTGAAATCACACCTCGGGTAAGTTGAGGATGTGTTGTGCTAAGAAGATTTGTGCCTAACCTAATCCTTATATAAAGCGATGGTGGCAGATCTGAAAAGTATATCAAG